TTACCTCTCTAGCAATTAGTAGCTATTTTATAGGTTCTTGCACATCAATGGCTTTCAAATATTCGGCTTTCAGCGTTCCCAATAAAGGTAAATCCAGAAAAACGCTACGGACGCATAAAATTTACAAGTGTTATTTTCATATTTTTTATATCACCTACCATCAATGTGAAAGTCCCCAAGAATTACGCTAAAGTTTCAAGAGCAATATTGTTTCTAATTTTACTTTGCCGCTGAAATGCTTCATTTTGTCACTAATACTTAATAGTGAGGCATCACAAAAAAAAAGTCATCACTGTTCGAACAAACATAGTCAATCAGATTTGTAAGAGATAGGTTATGTATACACTAGAAAAATTAAACGTTTATATTCCAGCTATTCAGACCAAAGGTTTTCAACTGTATATTGTATGTCTGAATACACTTAGCCACTGTTGAGTAGATTTAACGTTTATTCAAATAAATGTTGTAAATCTACATTCTTCACCTTGTAACATATGATTAATTCTGCATAGGTCACGAATCAAGATGGGATCTCTTTTTTCTAATGTGCAAAGTAAAAAAAAGTATAGCAATTTGAATAATAATAATAATAATAATGATAATAGATTATTACACTATATCAGCCTAAGAGCCAGGCCTGATACTTAATACAACTGATACGAAAACTATCATGTAATGATCTTTGTATTATATACTTCCACTTCGAAAAAAAAAATCATTGTATGGAAATGTTTTACTTTAAGAAAAAATCAACTGCAACTAACCAATTTGTACTGCAAGTGAACAATATAGGCATTGGATATCGTAAGTTATACTGAAATGTTCATGACTTACGAGTGTTTTTACTCGTAAGATCTTTTGTGAAAAGAGTCGCTGGCATATATTAACGCGTCGGCCACGTCAGTTTGAAATTAATTATCCATTATTAAAGATAGCAACCTTCTTTTAATTAGTGTAGCGTTTCCACACCATCATCGTATCATTGGTTGCTGTCTGTTATATCCGTTTTTCGTTTATTGTTTTACAATAAATCAGGTGTTTGGAATTTTTCGTTTGAATTGTTTCATTTTTTTTTTATCATGTAGGTGCCTGTCATGATAGCTGACTAAACGGTATTGATTTTGATCATTTTAAAGGCCAGACGGTGACCCACAATTATTTGATATATTATTTATATTCTGTAGGATATTTGTCTCATTGGAATTCCTTTTTATAAAGTTTATTTCTGGTCATGCAAGTGCAAATAAATATATCAACATACAATTTCGTAATTATAATCATGAATGAGTTGTATTGCAATTGAACAATCGATTTTCACGTCTGTTGTTTAACTCAGTATACGCAGTGTTATTAAATAGTTAAATTAATTTTATTTTTGTTTTGTAAATATAAATTATTTGTTGAGTACCTTACAACGATGAAACTTATCACCTTCGTTAACAGTATACTATTTACTTAATATGAAATTAGACATATATTACATTATTTTTTCACAAACCTTACAATCCTGACAAAGACATTTCGAAAGAATATATAGTATATGTGCATTAAATTTTCTAAATGAAAATAAAGTCGTTCCTGGAGCAAATTGAGAGAAACTTGATTTGATAATTATGTCAGTATATTCAGAAAGTTGAATGTGGGCAGTATATGGAAGAAGGATGTCATTGTCCAATTGTGTTTATTTAGCCGAGAAAAGGTATAATTATGTCAATCTGAAAGAAATGTCAAAGTGGGGCGTGCCCTTCTAACACAGATTTGCAGAAAATAAAAATTGGATGAGTTTTTCATCCTAAAAAGAATATCTGACACGTTGAAAGAATCTACGTAATCCTGTCAACATCATGAAAATGAAAGTACTTTACAAACAGTTAATGAATATAGCCAAGTGAATGGGAATATGTTTTCGTTATTGAAACAGCAATAAAATGAAGATAAACCTAGAACATTGAACAACTGACAATCAACCAATGCGTAAATGGATAAGCTTAACCTTCCAGGACACCTGATATCACTCAGGGTCTTTACGAGAAGCTTACATCTAATACATACATGTGCCGGTGATTGCGTATTTATCTTTGGCTTTGATAGATTGGTATAGGTGTTTTCATTTTTTAATCAATTTTTGCCTGGGTTGGACGTCAAAAACCAGCCTAAGATATGATGATGTCGGCCGGGCGAAAAATTTGTGTACTCAACTCCTCCTACATGATATAACAGATAGTAAAGGCTCCGATAAGACAACTTCTTCCAAAGATGATGAAAAACTTTATTTAAAGTAGAATTAGTTTTAATAAGGAATAAGATGATAACAATGTGAGCAATATTTTCCACAAAGAATCTGTAAAGAAAACAATACCTTTTTACTTCAAAGATAAAACTGTATATTTCATTTCACACCTATTGCATCCGGGTTGTTCAACCGCAAGAGAGTATTAAAGACATTTACCCTCAATGATATACAATTCAAACCTCTTGATAGCTCTAAGCACCTGTTCATCGTCTCCATACAAATATAATCCCGCTGGGGATTAAAATTATATTTTGGAAAGCACCGCACTGAATCCAACAATAAATAAACCGAAGATGATAGCATCAAAATGCTGGACTTTTTAATCGACAACATATTTGATGAGTTTGGTTGATTGGTATTTTAACAGACAGTTGGTATTTCAATGGATACTTAATGTGTCCCCCTACTAGGCGACTTGTTTTTGTCCTCATATGATGCAGAATTCAGACAGAATCTTCTCAAAGACAAAAATCTTGCAAAGTTCTTTAAGTTTACTCTCAAATATATTGATGATGTCCTGTCACTCAATAACCTACATTTCAGTGAGTGCTTACATTTCATATCCTATTAAATTGAGATTTAGGATACTTCCGACACTAGAAGGTCTGCAACATGTGTTGATCTTTTCATCGATATTGACACGGAATGACAATTTCAAACTAGACTCTTTGACAAACATGATGATTTCAATTGTTCAATTGTCAACTTCCCATTTCTCATGAATAACATACCCTCTGTCCCATTGATAACGTTTACTCATCTCAAGTAATTACTTTACGCTCGTGGATGTTCACACTTTACGGAATTAATCAATAGGGGTGTGCCCTTTACACAAAAAACAGCTCCAACAGAGTTATGAGGAAGAATGACTATAATCGACACTACATATGTTTTATTGTCACTACCTCAAACCGATGACCGATGCGATGTGTCTGTCTCTACTCACTAGCGACATGCTTTCACGGTATAAGAGACGTTTACCATGTCGACGTTGTTCAGTTCATGCGCTTCACACAGTTTTGTGTTTTGTTTTAAAGATATGGAGATCGGTAAACTACTATTGCCTCAAATTTACACATAATAATTAAAAAAAAAAAGAAAAACCAATCAGACTTGTTTAAGTTATTTTCTTCTGATGCAAATTTTTAGAATATATGTTTTCTTAGTCATAGTGTAAGCTTCATTTTCATATTTTCGGAAACCCTTGCATGAAGTTTGCTCTTTGCTCAAACGAATAAAGGAAAACTTGTGCGAGACTATGACAAATGTTTCATGGTTATCGCATATGGTTTTTATCAAGTGCAATAGCTTCTTGTTTTGTATGTGATACTAGGTAGACTAAACTGTGCATCTATCCTTCTTTACTTCATGATTTTCAATTGGACCTTTATCGTGTATAACCCGACAAATTCGAGTATGTGTTGTTCGATCTTCTTGGGAACTTCATAAATCGGTTACTATGTTCATTTGGACAGGCTGTTGAGAGCGGTGTTGTTTGGAACGTTTTGATAATTGTAAGTGATATATTTAACGAATCCCGGATCGTTGCAATTATTATTTAAAACTTGATGTACGAATGGGCCCGCTCGCAAAAGGAGATGAAATTTGTGAAAGAAAGTCCGTATAACTGTTATTTTCACAAAATTTTCAAAGTCCATTAATTTCGTAATTTCGGCACACCAGCGGAGCGGAACCAAACGTAAACTCGATCTGTATCTCGCATACTAAAATTCAGCTCAATAGGTGAAGTCGTTTAGAAAAAAGTCTGTATACAATGTATCTGTTATTTTCACGATATTTTCAAAGTCCAAAGCCCATAATTTCGGTAAAAATCAGCGGAGCAGAACCAAACATAAACTCAATCTATAACTCATCATAGTAGACTCATATACTAAAAACAGCTCAATATATGATATGAAACGTTTAGAAAAAAGTCCTTATAACTGTGATTTATACGAAATATCAAAGTTCAAAGCCCGCAATTTCGGAAAAATCAGTGGAGCGGAACCAAACGTAAACTGGATACCAAACTCACCATAGTAGACTCACTTACTAAAATTCAGCTCAATACGTAAAGTCGTTTAGAAAAAAGTCCGTATAACTGTTATTTCCTCGATATTTTCAGAGTCCAAAGCCCGTAATTTCGTCAAAAATCAGCGGAGTGGAACCAAACATATTAAACTCGATCTGTAACGCATCAGAGTAGACTCGCATACTAAAAATCAGCTCAATATGTGAAGGCGTTTAGGCGGAATGACGGAATGACTGAATGACAGATAAAGGTAAAACTATACGGTCCCGACCCCTTTGTGGCGGGGCCATAAAAAGTAAAAGATGTCAAACCCTTGGCAATGATTTTACAATTCCTGAACAAATAAGCAAAACTACGATTCTTAATACAAATTTCAGGGTACATATCATAACAAATAAATGTCAAATTATAGGTTTTATGAATTATTGTTGTTTTAGAGTTGTGGCACTAAACTGTTCATAAATACAATAACATTAACGGTATCAATTTTTTTTTACACAAGATGCATATTTCGACTATTTTAAAATGTCTCTTCAATGATTCTCGAGGCCGAAATACTTGAAAATCCAAACCTAATGCAAATGAGCTTATTAAACCAAACAGGACTTGAAACATAACCAAATCCGGACAACCTGTTGAATTTTATTTTCTCTGAAAAATATAAGCACAAATAAACCTTCTTAAATGCATGTTTATTGTTTTAAGTTTTACACAAATAAACCTCTAGAAAGCTTCTTGTTTTTCATTTTCTCCAAAGGTCTGTATATGCTTCTCAGCAAGAAACAAATACACGCATAAAATAAATAAAAAAACCCATCATTAACATAAACAAGACAAGACATACCATGATGTAATTAATTTCATAAACTAAATCCAAATGCCAACGATCAATTTCAAGATTACCATTTACTTCTTCCAAATTATTCATTTTCCAATATTTTCTGTAACTTAAAGTGTGTATTGTTTCCTCTGTCACCATGATTTCTCGTTTAAAGTTCCCTTTTAAAGCATGTTTGAATGCTTGGTAAGCATACTTAAGAGCATTTTGAAAGTCTTTATTTATCAAGAAAATTTTTGATTTAGCAATATAGAGACCCCATTTCCATCGGTCAGAAAGTTCTCCAACATTAAGCCTGAATAACAGTTCTTCAGCACTCTCAATGTCTTTTCGTGTTATGGAAACACCGTCTATATTATTCCCCAAAACACCTATTCCTAAATGAAGATGAGCTAGTTTGATAAAAAATATATTATGGAAATCTGATGCAACTGTTTGATACTCCCTACAAAAATGATCAATAGCCTTTTCTGCAGTAGCAAACAAAATAAACTTTAACTTACTTTCATGTGTTTGCTCATACTCTAAGCATAAAAAGTTATATTTAATATAAAATACAAGTCCGGTTTCACGACAAGCCGGTAAATGGTCAACGTAATGTTCTGCCGTTTCTATATAGTCCTTATATGCTTCTTCGCGAAGAGCTGGATTTGACATAATTATGGCAGAACCTTTTCGTGCTAAGTACATCATTAACACCAGAACTGGATTTGATGTGAATGGAGTTACTTTTTCAATTTCGAAGAGAACATTTGTACAAAGAAGATTACTGTCATATTTCAATCTCATATTTTCGCACTGTGCATCTCTAACGAAGAAATATCTATCTGCAAGCTTTACTTGCTCTTTTCTCGTCAATGTTCCGCGGTACGATATGTCTGTCCATTTTTGTACCACATCGTTTACTTCTTTGTCAAATGATATTTGGTTCCCTGTCAGAGAATATGTTTTAAGGTGATGTCTAAATTCCACTAGTGCGCGTCTATCTTTTGTGAAAAGTTTAATTTTAATGGCATAGTAAACCTCTTCATTTTGGCACCTTTTAATTTTTCTTTGAATTTCTTCAATCAAAAATATGTACGCACCTTGATACGAGAAAATCTTAAAAACATCTTCCAAAGTCAAAGAGTTAAGAGCCTTTTCTATAAAATAATATACTCTATCGTGTCTGTAACGAAACGTTCTTAGTTTAGAGCACACTTGTAATGGCAAAAAACTGTATAAACACGGCAAAACATAAAGTGGATCAAAGTCCTCAACAATACTAGGTAACATTTCCTTAATTACATCCTGTTCCGTTTCATCCATTATTTGGTTGTCTAAATGACATTAAAGCTTGTTTCAAATCCAATAACATACCAAATAGACCTGTGCGGCGGTCACATTAGGCGTGATAAATATGCTAACATGTAATCTATATATGCACAGATAATACTGCGTCCGGAAACAGATCAAGTATTTTCACAATTGCCCGTCAACTTAAAATAGAACAGTTTCGTTTATTTTTATGACAAATAGTCCAAAGATAACCCTATCAATCATCATTACGAGTTTCTTATCATTCAGTTTTTGATCTGAACTCTTGATACACGCTATAACCATGTTAAGAGCTGGTAGTAAATTAAAAACACTATAGTAACATATTTTTTCAAAAGGTCAAATGAATCAACAAGTTTTTTTTAATTCAGTAACGTCTTAATGTACACATATACACATGAATAAATATTACATAATATGAGAATAAAATGCTCCGCGGATTGCAGCTTGAGACGACAGAAGAAGAGGTCGAACACTGAACAGTTGGGGCAAGTATGGTGACAACATTCAAGCTTGATACAGCTCTGAATTTGGATTGTGATTAAATATTTGACACAGCATGAAATTGGTTATTTACCTATTATGGTGCAATAACCAAAATCTAAATACATGTTTAGATTCAGCTTATCAAAGCACCCCAAATTTCAATTTTTGTTGAAATCAAACAGTGTAATTTTGGACCCTAATTTGGACCAACTTGAAAACTGGGCCCAAAATCAAAAATAAAAATGCATGTTTAGATTCAGCATATCAAAGATCCTCAAGAATTCAATATTGTTACTAAGTTTAATTTTGGACCCTTTGGACCTTAATGTGGACCAATTTCAAATCCAGGCCCAAAATCAAAAATCTAGATATGATCAGATGTACGGTTAGATTCAGCACATCAAAGAACCCCAAAAATTCAATATTTGTTGAAGGCAAACAAAATTTGATTTTGAACCCTTTTGACCTTAATGTGGACCAATTTGAAAACGGGGCCCAAAAGAAAAAAAAATCTAAATACACGGTTAGATTTTGGCATATCAAAGAACCTAAAGAATTCAGTTTTCGATGAAATCAAACAAAGTTTAATTTTGGACCCTTTGGACCTCAATAAGGACCAATTAAAAAACGGGGCCCAAAATCCTAAATCTTGAATTTAACTCCATTAGGATTGGTCAAGGAATAAGCAATTTATACAAAGTATTATTGGTTTTGCCCCCTTTTTGGGTCCATAACCCCAAAAATCAATCTCAACCTTTCGTTTATGGAATAGAACCTTGTTGTACATTGACTAATACCCAAGTTGTTGTCTTGAAACCAGAATATCCTTGTTTTCGGCCCCTTATTCTCAAACTGTTTTGGCTATAACTCCCAAAATCATTCCCAACCTTCCTTTTGAGGTATGGAACCTTGTGGTACAATTTCATAGAGATCCATACACTTATACGCGTCAAGTTATTTTCCGGAAACAAGAAAATTGCTTGTTTTGGCCCCTTTATCACTTATTCATAAAGAATTGGGACAAAAAAAAACCAAATTCAATTCCAACCTTCCTTTTGTAGTATGAAACCTTGTGGTACAATTTCATAGAGATCCATTTACTTATATCCGAGTTATTGTCTGGAAAGCAAATGTCTTCGGACGAAAACGACGACGACTACTACGACATCGCCATACCATTATACGGTCGCAAATTTTTGCGGTCGTATAAAAACCACTGGCGTGGGGATCGAGTTGTGAGTGCAGGTGGGGGTATGGGACGATTTCATAAATTGTAATTATAAATTAAAAATCTATAATTGATACGTTTCCGGTAAAAGTAGTCAATTATAAAGATCATTCGATTATCGTACCCCTAAAAGCATTAGTAAATCCATGGTATCACACTTAGTAATACATGTTACAGAATGTATAATGCCATTAATGAGAAAAACGCTTAATTTTTTTTTTTACTTTTGCACATGAAGAACAAATTGCTTTCTTTGATAAAAAAAATTCTCTATAGGTGAACCCGAGACCGCTGACAGGTCATCAAAAACTGTTCATGATTTGTTTTACTTTTTATATGAAATAGATAACTGTGAATAAGGTATAAATGAATTAAGACACCTTTATTTAAAATATTCAATTGGGTACATTGTTGGTTTAGAGTCGTTAATTTGTGTAAATTCTTGCACAATTCAATTAAAAGCACTATTGGGTTTCAGTTGTAAATAGAAAATTGAATACAGCTACCATTGGATTTTACCTTTTATGCATTGACTAATTATTTTCATCGTTTTTCCTTCGCCTAGTATACCAAGTCCTAATCCTATTGCAAACAGGATGGCCAAAGAAACTTAAATGCAAGTTGCAAAGACCAATCTTATTATAACTGAATATTAGCACTTACGTTGCTCTATTTTCTGGATGCATTTATTATATCGTTCATACCTTCAATTTTGTTTCTTGGACACTTTCAATATATTGCAACTTCAGTGTTGGTCGTATACTCATTATGCAAGCAGTCTGTGACAACCATACCTAATTTATTTGTAAATGTAAGTCCTGGGAGATATGGGATATCAGGACAGTGCCTTTGTGTTAACGTCTGTACAAATCACATCGCGGAAAATTGAATATGAATTTTCGCACTATTGATTAATTGAATTTAGGACACGTAGGAGCGTCCCATGTGACTTTAAAACATGTTCGTCATTGATATATATTGACATCTAGTTATTTCTTTTGTTGTTGTTGTGTTATTGTCATGTGACTTTTACCCAATACCGGTATATCCTTTCATATAAAATGGTTCTTTTTAGAGCTTGGTCAGGTATTCATAAATCTTCTGAAACCAAGATATTCTTCCAAACTAAATTTTAGTCCTTATGAGGTGTACAATTTTCCTTTTTATTCTTCAAAACTCAGTTTGCAATGATATCATTAAGTGCCTTACAGTCCCGGCTTCAATAACATATATCCTTAATGCTACCTGCTGACACAATTGCACGTTTACTGCTCTATCACTTGTGTTTCAACGCAGGGATGTGAAGCTCGGCATGAAAAAAAACCCCAACAGTAAACAAGACAACCAGGGTGCTGGAATAAAAAAAAAATCAGATAAAAAGACTAATGCAGAACTAGTTCTCTCGGATGTATAATAACTTCATACAGTACTGACCAAACTGATCACCAACATCAAAGACAGATTCGTTGACATAGACGCCATTGATCTAATTTCAGTTATACATTTTAGTGTGCACCGATGTCCTCATAGGTCTTTTTGGAATCAATGAGAAGATGACTTTCCCATGGACCCAGACGAAAAACAGACACAACGGCAAGATTATTCAATTAATTAATTGACACAATGATATTACAGTACACGTCATTGCCTCAACAACATTCTTCTAAACAACTCCAAGGAAACAAGGCTAAACGACATCTACCCATGGATTTTCATACTAAGTGTCGCAATGACAGATTCCACCACACTTAGTTCTATCACAGCTGACGTAAAACGGATATTCTCTCAGGTTTTGCCTAGCCTTATTAACCAAAATAACAGACGAACAGTATGCATTTCTTTTAATTTGTTGTATTTTGTGTTGCTTTCTTAGGTCTAGGAAAAATTATCTGTGAGATGAAATTATAAGGTGAATGTCTGGGAGAGGCAATACAAAAGTGATGTGAAAATCCCTGATATTTGGTTTATATTGTGTAACAGTACTAATACGAAAGATTCGTTGGACTATATGAAATTTATTTCTGGATGAGTGTCTGAGAGCTACAGTTCAGAAGTTTTTAGACAACTACTAGTGCTGAATATACATTGATTTTTCTGGATTTTTGATTTTTTTCCATTGTTCCTATGTTGTGCTATGCTGTGAGGCTATAATGTGAAATGTTATTTTGTGTTTATGCATATATGAGTGAGTTAATTGTCTGTGCTCTTAAGATGTCATAGTTTTTGTTTTTACTGATGTGAGAAATGAGTGTGTATTGTTATGTATACTGTAACATATTTTATATAATAATAAATAAATAACACAACAACTTATGTATTTTATTGGAAACATATTATGCAGAAGTGAATTGTGAATTAAAAAAAAAAAAAATAGAAAGCACACAAAAACGTAGACAAAAAGTACAAAAACTGTCGAGTGACCTTCCGGATCCACTGGCGCCGTTTCCTTTTCAATTTCTGTCCGGGCACTGTTACGCAAATGTCAAAGACAAAAGAGAGAGATGTTAAACATTGGCGTTACAGTAAAACAAAATTAAGGAAGTAGACAAAAAGAACAGTTTTCAAATTCAATAATGATATATGAAATTTGTTTAGCATCAACAAAATATAGTATTTATACTACTAAAATAACGAGGTCCAATTCGTTAGCCGGCATGACGTAAAAACGACGAATCATTATATATAACTAATATAGGACAATGGTTATGGTTTTGATTAAAAATTACACCACTCCAGGCCCTTTTGTTTTCCACATAATTAATATTACCAATAATAAACAAGTTCCGGGTCGAATCCCATTCCGATACCAATAACAAATAAAATTGATAATGGAAATGGGGAATGTGTCAAAGAGACAACAACCCGACCAAAGAGCAGAAAACAATAGCATATGTCACCTGTTACCTGTTACTTAATCTGTACGTTCCGCCTATGTCAGGCGCACCACCAAACGGTGTAATTGGGATTTGCTATATACACGGGTCAGAATCACACATGAACTTCGTCATTATACAGGGATTTACACTACTAAATTCAATTCACATGTAGTTTCCGGTTGTAGTAAGAAAGCCAGAACGGGTTCAAACGGAAAGATTTTGAAAGCAGAGAAAACTGTGCACCTTATAATCAGCACGACTTTGTCAGATGACAATACGAACCAAATTACGCGTGTGTGTTCTAGTATACCTTAAAAAGATAGTATTAGAGAAGTATATACACATCGCTTCGAAAATAAGGTATGCATTTCATACTTGAATCATGAGCTATATTTTTTAGTAATCACATGCTCTGAAAGGATGCCTTAAAGAGGATTGGATAGGTTTCAATTTTATTTTCAGGCGAGTAGAAATTCAACATGAATAGATACAACAGCACACAGTATGGCAATTTCAATATACCAAACTAGTGATCAAAGAAAAGTATTAAAACGAAGAATAGTCACTTTGTTTTAGTTTTATTTATCAAGAGTGACTATACACTGATAAGAAAAATAAAAATATGAAATATCTGTTAACGAAAGACCAGGAAAGCAGCAATATCCATAACGAAAAGAAATAGTGGGTAACGAAAAAATAACCTTTTAAAAAGGTATTTATCATGGGGATATAATAATTGCTCCCAAACTGCGACTCGGGGTCTTTTTCAAAAAAGGGATTTAAATCTACATCTAAATATAATATCTTAGCTTTTTGTGTGATTTTTCAGTTTTATAAATTTATAAATGCTCTTCGATATATAAGTAACACTTTAAAACGCTTTTCTGGATTTATCTTCACCAGGAACGCTCAAAACCAAACATTTGAAAGCCAAAGATGTACTAAAAACTGAACACGTCGGGAACGTCAAGACCAAAAGGAACCTGAAAAGTATAGCCAAATTCATCTCAGGTCGCATTTGTCTTAGTAACATTAGTTTCTTAATAATTTCCAAAGTAATTAATAGAGAATATAAGAAAAGTAAGATAAATATAGACCTGTACTTTTAAAATTTTTTGGAAAATTTTGATTTTTATCTCAAAACTGAAAGCAAAGGACATTTCAAACTAACAAATTATAACGAAAGGATATCTATGCACATTTTTTAAATATAAAATTGAAGTTGTGTGGTTTTAAATACTATTTGATGCATGCAAAATTGTATATCAATGTGAAGTTTGCAATAATCTATCAACATAGCAATATTTTGAGCTCGCTAACATTAATATTTTTTAACGGATAAATATATAATGTTTGAAATTCTTTTAAGCACAATATATATATTTTAAAAATTAAATTCCACAAACTTTAATAACTGAAAACAAAAACTGATTATGGTGGAAAGCGCGCCTCTTTTGCGTATGAAAGACAGAGCTTTTACGGATATTTTTTTCTGGTGATATACTACTTCATCTCTTTGGAACATAACAAAATTCCCATGATTTCAATTGATGATCTACATAACACCATGGCTGTCCTTTTCCGTCTGGATCCCGGCAGTAATTTGTCACATGATCATCTGAGTTGATAGGTAAACGAGAGTTTTTTTGTAGATTCCAAATCATACAGGTTGTTCCATCAACTGTACAGGACACTTTTCCGTTGTATGTAGTGCTATTAAGATACCGATCTTCAACTGAAATCAACGACAGAGGTAGATAATGGCTTCTTATTTTAAAGTTTTGTCTTCCGCTAAGACTTAGTAAAATGCAAAGATTTAACTATAAATAAGGGCAACAGTAGTTTAGGCAAAGTGGACCGTACGTGATTTGGCTGTTCTGTTTGGGTAATGGCGTATCTACGCATCCCTGGCTTTCAAATGTTCAAGTTTGAGCGTTCCTGGTGAAGGTAAATCCAGAAAAGCGCTTCAGCCGCACAAACGTATAATGACTTATTCCTTATTTCATTTATTTTAACGATGTTCAAAACACGTAAATCTAATTTGCGCTGCAAACGGTAGAGGGGTTCAACCGTTGACAAAATAAGTCTTCTGTTATGCTCGCATAATTTCCATCCAAACTTGGTAAAAAATCACGATAGGGAATAAGACACTGTCTGCATTTAAAAATCTAACGACTTTTCTAATGTCTATTAAAAGATCTCAGACCACTTATATGAGATACGGATGCATCACAAAATCTAACCAATTCATTATTGTGGACATAAAACTTCGAAGTTGGGATTTCAGTCGCTCTTCTTCCTAACCCTAGCCGGCCTGCTATGGAGACGTTTTTGCGTTAGGAGTACATCCTTTGAATGAGGTCCGTATAATGCAAATATGCATGCGCGTACCTTATCAACAGTCTATTATGAAATGACCAACGTACTTCTAATGGTTTGAATTTTTATCAAATTTATGACAATCGGGACTAAATTGTTAATTTTCGATTCCTGCCTAGAGTTTACATTCTTTTTTTTTTACTGAGATATGATATGAGCAATTACGTCTTATCTTTCATGAGCGTGATATGTTTATTCCTTAAATTTTTACAACCATCAAAGCTTGTCTTTATGTTGTTTTTCCTTTTTGCCATGCCGTTGTCAGTTTTTTTTCGACTTATGATGCTTTGGTGTCTTCGGCCTCTCTTTCATTCGGAAAATGCCAGAACGAAGTCGGGAGTATGACAGTTGTTTTCCAGTCATTCGGTTGGTTGATATAGTCGAGCGTCTGTAAATATAAATACACAAGCACGTGCAATCGTACTATAATGATTTTTATTCTAGATCTGTTTGATTTCGTGTCACAGATTTAAAATATGGAAATCATTGTTTTTTACCTTATAAGAATGCTTTTTTGAGGGTCAAATAAATCAACGAAATGACTCCCTTGTTTCACTTTCAATGTTGACATTCTTTACTTTTTTATAGACGAACACGTTTAGCACATTCTTTACCCATCTCCAGGTAAGGGTCAAATTGAAGGTTGCGTGAATACAAATTCAAATGAGGTTGAATTATTGAAATTCAATTATACATCAGCGATGTTTTTGAGCTTATTTTGACAAAATTGAACCAAATTGACTTCTGAAAGCGAAATATTTATTTTACTTCACAATTCCGCTTTTATCAATGTTATACCAAAACACATAATATTTCATGTTTTTGGTCTAAATCATAGCTAATGCCTCTTTAAAAAAATCAAATATACAGTGAATACAGTTTACCCTTTCAAAACGTATACCGTATATATAATTTGTTCAATACTTGAATATACCTTATGTTTTTTTTCAGTCATTCTGTTAATTGATAGAGTTCAGCGTTTGGATTTGTTTGCTTTTAAGGACTACCCTTTTCTTAATTTACATTGGAGTTCGGTATTTTTTGTTATTACATTTTGTTATACAATGTGTACGTACCAGAACAAGATGTGTTGAACTCCGACCAATGGTTACCATTGGTACATGTAGATATTGGACAATGTGGAACAGACACTCCTGGCTTAAAAGACTGGCATGTGTATATGGCAGCTACAACTCCATATGTTATATTATAACTTACTATTGTTCCTGGTTTTGCTACTGGCGGCATAGTACAGTCATTACCTGAAAATTACAAGGCTAAAGATTTGAAAATAAGAATACATAAGTTTTTTGTGAAGAAATATTCTTAAATGAGTTAAAAAAAAACCTGCGCGTATCTTCAAATATGTATGATATATATTGATGTCGTCTAAAATACAGGTATTCTTGGAAGATTTTTGGGTTCGCTATCTTATGTCTATGGTTCTTTTACTTACTGAATGTTATTAAATACCAGTGTAATCGTGCATTAAGTTTGTGCATAATATGTCAGATAATATCATCAAAGGTTGTAATCATGACTTCATTTATGCAGGTTTTTTTTCATTTAGAAAATATTGTGTTGATTCCAGAACCTTCACTTGAAGCGATATAATATGGGTGCTATATGCTAACACTTAAAATGCCTTTTTATATCTTATTTCTTGTTAAGTTTTAAGGTTTTATATTGTTTTGTTCATTTTCTTAAGTAAGATTGAAGCTAGTTATTGTTATGTATAAATACATGCATTGTCTGATTGGAAACAGGACCCGGTTGTTCATCTCTTTGTTAAATTTTAACCAAAGGTTAAATATCATAACCCTTGGTTAAAATTTAACCCTAGGTTATTTTGTGTTGTTCATCCTGTGGTTAAATTTAACCCTTTGTTAAATCCTTGGTTAAATGATTCAGATTTAACCTTGATTCGGACCTCTGTTAAAATTTTAACCAAGGAATAGTTTTGTCTAAAAGTACGATTCCCTGTTTATTTCTAGATTGGGAAGGTCACTAAACGTTTGATACAACATATTCTTCGTTTTCTACGACCATTAGAAATCAAAAACTGTTTAAAACTGATTATTACGTTTTACAGTCCTTCCCCCTTTTTGCATCAGGTTTACGTCTACCTAGACATTTTCAAATCGATATTTTTTTTTACTCTTAAGATTTTTGGTGAAAAGAGTCGCTGGTATCTTCTGATGAGTTTTTACAACCACTGGGTAAACGTCACTGCCGGTGGAAGTTATATCCCGAGGGTATCACCAGTCCAGTAGTCGACACTTTCTGTTGACATAAACTATCATTGATGTGGTCATTTATTGTAAATTTCTTGTTTATAAAATATAATTATTCGAAACATTAAGGTTTTTCTAACCAGGCAAATACAGATGGCCTTAGCCGTAATTGGTAAAATTTGTCTGAATTGTTAGCTGCAATATGCTCCTAAACTTCGTGTTTTATTTTGCCTCCCAACTTTTTTTATTCGTGCGCCACAGGTGAGTCTCATGTAGACGAAAAACGCATCTACCGTCACAAACTATAAACCGGGTTTCTTTGAAGAGTTTTCAAAAGCAACAACGTACTTATAATTGTAAAAAATAAACGCGTCTCATTGAAATACGAACATTTAAATACTGGACAAAATTCCCAGCGGAAATTAGGGTCCTCTGTATAACACCATGGTGTACCATGCGTGTAATGATGGTTGTCCCTACAATAGCTTGTGTTCATGTCCTCGTCATTATCAGGAAGGAAATATGCTATATGAGGAAAATTCCTACTCCAAATCTGACAAGCCCTACCACTCACTGTATAGTTAATTGTTCCAAAATACTGGGTGCTGTTCGTTTGGTAGCAATCTGCTGTAAATAATAGGCAGTTTCGTTAACAATTAGAAAAATTCAAACATTTTCTATCTGGTTAACAAAATTGTGTTATATAGTGCATGCACAATTGTCCTTGGTAAATTAATATTGTGATGGTATACAACCATCGTGTTATTACAGTGATTTTGCATTGCGTGGTATATAACCATCGTGTTATTACAGTGATTTTTACATTGCCTGGTATATAACCATCGTGTTATTACAGTGATTTTACATTGCCTGGTATATAACCATCGTGTTATTACAGTGATTTTACATTGCCTGGAATATAACCATCGTGTTATTACAGTGATTTTACATTGCCTGGTAAATGTTCACCTTTGAATATATGACTGCAATATATGTTAACACGAATTTATAGACTATATATATAATAGCATCACAAAATTTATTATAAAAATCATTTCTTTAAACTTAAATGTAGTTTTCGTGGACTTGATTTAATGAATATTCCTAGTATATATATTAATTTTGTCTCAATACTTTTGTACAAGATAATATTCCGTATCAACTTACAAATATAATACATGATGGTTTTAGAGTACAGATTCTAGGTACTGACGTTGTTTATAATCTTACTTACGTGTTAGTATTTTTTATTTATCTTTGTACATTTTTAACCTTCATGTTGGAGAGCACAAAAAATCAAATGACCAAAACAAAACTGTCTATAAGGTTCACCTTCCCAAAGGGAGATGCAACCTTAGCTTTTACACGGTAACTTAATTTTATGAACTGCAAACTTACAATATCGTTTAATTCATGTTTATTGGGTGCTATAAGCTTTGCAGTTGGTACGCTTGGGTACCGATAAAGTGGTAGTTAACACATACTTTATGATTTCCATAAACGTAACACGTGTTTCTGAAATAATCGTCATCCTAAATTACGATTGATTGATTGATTGATTGGTGTTTTACGCCGCTTTTAGCACTATTGGCTATTTCCTCGCGGTCAGTTTTAATTGGTGGAGGGAGCCGGAGTGCCAGGAGAAAACCACCGACCTTCGGTAGGAAAACTGGCAATTCTAGCCAATTAAGAATCATTGGAGTCGAACTCACCCGCCACGTGCGCGATTAATGATACAGTAGTTGTGCTACTTAGACCACTCGACTACCGAGGCACCCTCCTAAATTACACAAAAAACCGGCCAAATATATTTCGATCCAATTCATGTTCAGTTGCAAACAATTATGTTATGCTAGCTTATCAACCAAGAACAGAAGTCACTTGTGGAGCAGGAAGTTCTAACCCTTTCATGAGTTCACCCGGTTTTTGGTTTGGGTACGTGTTGTTCTACCTTAATTTTCAGTGCAGTATTTGTTGGGCCTGACTTCAAATAATTTATTTTTTCTAAATATACCTAGTATCTTATGATCTGTAACCACCAGTGCTTGTTCGCGATAATTTGAAACAATTATTGAAAACATCTAGCAAACTTACATTGTGTTAAATAATTCCTTTTTACATATTACATTTTTTATGTTTTATTGTTTTTTCTTTGTGGTGTGGCATGCATTCACATATATTTATCTATAGTGACACATAATCAAGCAAGCGAGATAAATAAGCATATGAATCAAGCAAATGAAAGAAAAACCCATGCATAATATGATATAAAATCTAATCAGTGACCCTAAACCAGGGGTTCCAGTACATGCTGTATTCTTCCAAGCTCAAATTTTTGGAAGAAATATGCTTTTTAAAGTTGAATTTTCTTTTATACAATTTTTAAGTCCCTCTATATGAGATTTTTCCTGTTGCATCTTTGATCTGTAGATGAGGTAATCTGCTAGTAAAATGACTTTATTTTGAAAACAATTTTAATTTATAATATTCATAGAGGCCAAAAATGACAATATCCTTATTAAGCGGAATTTCAATATGTGTTGCTTCAAAAATCGAAACATGCAGTTGATGCAAGATGTCTGCTACAATATGACAGCTCCACAGCACGAGTTCTACAGTTTCTGGTTTTTCTTTTCAAACTGTTGATAAATTACAATGTTCAAGGGTCATCTTTAAAAGTAAAGTATTTGTACCTTAAATACGGCGAATAATTCTGTATTGAAACCAACAGAGCTTGGTATTTTTTTTAAAACTTAGTAACACCATTATGTATTTTTTCCAATCTCCAACATCATGAACAACTTTATTAAATATATTCTCCCATTTTCGCTCAACTGCAAGAACAACTGGTATTTTACCTTGGTTTAAAATATTATAACTGTCTTTTGAACCTTGTCAGACTTGAAGAAAATTTTGATATTAAAAGGCAAACAAATTTGTTATTTTTTCTCCCTTTTAGTGTTGATTCCTATGGATTGTAACCAGTTTTTTAATGCTATTAAAAGCCCATAAAACTGTAAAAATGTAGGTTTTTAATTATATTTTTGATTTTGATAAGACAATATATTTCCTTGCCCATCTAACATGTCATTTACAGTCCATACCCCATTTTGTGCCCAACTTCTACAATATACACAGACATCTTTATAATGTTTTTCCATATAGATGCCGAAATGACCTCCTCAAAATAACAAGGATGTCGGAGTCTTGACATATTTTTCCAGGCATGAAAAACTCCTTTCCGAAATTGATTTCTACTTTTCTAATTTTTCAGTTGTTCCAAAATAAGCCAACTCTGTAAAATTTATATTTTGTGTAGAAGTAAATAATTTTATCCACTTATTATTTGAAGTGAATAATCTTCTAACTCAAGTCCATTTTAGCCCTTGTACAAGATTTCTCAAATTAACAATTTTTACCCCCCCCCCCCCCACTCCTCTATAGTATTCTTTACATAAAAGATCCCGATTTACCTTGTCAAGATTACCATCCCAAACGAATGAATAAATTTTACTAATGAGTTAACGTAATAATTTGTCGTCTGGACTTGGGATGGATAGAAACAGATGATTCAATTTCGATATTATTAACGACTTTATAATTGTTAATTTACCAAATGGTGTAAGTGACTGTTTTGACCATTTTTGTATAATACTGTCTATTTCTTGGATTCGAAGATCCCAATTTAGGTTTAACATTCTATCTAAATCAACACAAAACATAATACTTAATAATGTAAAGGTTCTAGAACCCCATTTCAGTCCCAACTTTACACATATTTCATCTTGACTTTGTTTTTACTTCCTATCCATATGAGATTTGTTTTATCTAAGTTAATTTTCAGTCCTGATATCTCGGCATAGAATTGTAAAATACAGAGGGATGCATCTAAAGATGAAGGCGATCCATCTAATATAAGTGATGTGCCATCTGCATATTGAGACAAGATCAAATCTGTATCATCTATCGTAATACCTATCCAATAGTATATTGCTTTGAATCTGTATTTATCTACATACAATATATTTTAGAAAACTATTGCTCACCTGCTAATTTTAACGGCTGTGTTGCTAGGCCTAAATGGATTAATATTGATATAAAGCAATGAAAGTACATGTATAAGAGTTAACGATGTTTAGTAATACTGGTAAAAAAAATAATAAAAAAAAACTTAAAAAAAATTTCTTTGACTATTACTAAAACTACACATGGTACAAAATTGCAGGTAAACGAATTTTGGGGATCGAATAAGATTTGGGGATATTCTGTGTGATAAGTTGGCAGATACCCTTTTCCGAATTGGTGCTTTTTTACATTTGGACAATTGTAGAATCAAAACCTTAACAAATGAAAATAACACTTTCAAATGTTGTGCGTCCGACGCGCATTTCTGGATTTGACTTCATCAGGAACGCTCTTACCCAAACATTTGAAAGCCAAGTATGTATAAATAATTGAAAACGTACGGAGCGACATGACCAAAAGGCACCTAACAAGAATAGCCAAATTGCATCTAATGTCAACTTAGCCTGAGTTACTTAAAACTTTTGTTTTTAAATTACTTCTTAATTTGTCAGCAGAGAATTTAGAAAGTATGTTCTTGATCGTGTTACTGACGATCGCACTTACTACTGAGCTGATGAAACCTTCGGGGACTAACAGTCAGCGGTATCGACAAAGTGCTACATGTAGTAAATGGAAACAACATTTTTTTTTTTGTAATTTCGTGCGTCCGAAGCCAGTTTGGTTTGATATTCTTTTTACATATACAAACAACAGCTCACCTGCTAATCCTAACGACTGGGTTCTTAAGCCTAAATAAACGATAAAAAAGTATAGCATTTAAAAACAAATTTATTTAAGATACAACAAGCTCTGTTTTATATTATTACTATTTTTAATGCCATATTGAATATATATTGAGTATTTCTTTTTATATAACTTATTCTGTATTAAAGGGAAATTATTTGGAAATCATAAATCTGGTCTAGCTTCTGCCATTTGGTATAAACATATATATGTAGGACTCAAATCTATGGCGGGTTTCAAATCTATGGCAGATTCCAGATCTATGGCAAATATGACGTTACAAACGCCAAACAAATCAAATATATGGCAGTTTTTTGTTTTCTCCAAATCTATGGCAGAACTTGAAATTGCGTAATGTTTCGGGAAAAAAAGTAACATATAACGTCACAATGAAGGGCATACGTAACAGTTTTGATCCCACGGTGATTTTTTACGAAAATTTGCATACAAGCTATTTTTCACCTAGTCAATGCAAATATGTAATAAAAAATATACCTTCATGTGCTACTTTAAGAAATAAATGGGGTCGAAATTTTAGACATTTACTCAAAATTTGGTTTTATTGGACCATTTCTATCCTTTAAATAGACATACTGTACTTTTTTGTTTCAAAAGATAAACACAATAGGATTTTTGTAAAAACATTTGGAAAATCTCTTTTACATAAGTATGCTCTAAATTTTTATAAAAATTCTTTGGAAATAATTATTTTTTATCAAAGTTTCAGGATTTTAGGAAAAAAACGTAATTTTTTGCTGTATACTTATCTAATTTTAAAAAATCTCATCGGTGACTTTTTCATAAAAATTGGTACAAATAATCTTCATACGTAATCAATCCTAATCTCATTTTAAGAAAGAGGGGTCCATGAACTCGTTTTCAAGTTATATCAGTCTGAACGATAAAAATAAGTCGAAAAATGCATCTGTTCCCGATATGTCGCAGTTTGACGTCGCGAAAAATAACATTTTACGTTGGCAACGTCATTACCTCCCCTGTAACTGTATCGTATGCCTTTTTAAAATTAAATAACGCCATTACGTCGTCGCCGCCGCTAACGATTTGAACAACATTTATAGATTATTTTTTCTGTAGAATGTAAATCAATAACAGATATTTTACACGGGGCTCACAGATTTTTACAAACAAATACACAGGGAAACACTTTCCGCTTCCCCTCTAGAACAATTTGACCTTTCATCCAGATGAGGGACAATATGTGCTGTATTGTCCGAATACCGCGATGAAGAAAGGCACCGCTGTTTTTAGTAGTGGATATTTTAGGAAAGGAGTTTTAGTAAATATCTTAGCGTCTACGGCTAGCAAAGTACATAAAGTGAGAGATGAAATTACATGATACCACTTTGACTTAAATCGTCATCAGTTAAAAAAGATTGATTAAAGCTCAAATAAATATTTATGTGAAAAGTCGAACTGTTTAATTCTTTTTATAAAAAACTACTTTCTTGTTTGTTAAGGGACTTCCAATTTTACTAGTTGGTTTAATAAATGGATTTAACAGGTACCATGCACAGATTAGGAAATGCTAATTTTTCCAGGGCACATCATACACCTTATCGCTATTACTTAATATTTGAACGTAGGATATTTCCGCAATAGATTAGGAAATAACAAAACTTGCCATATATTAGGATTTTTAAAAATCTGCCTTAGATTTGGGATGGCATGACGTCATATTTACCATTTATGTTCTAAATTCACTGTGTTAAAACGAACATAAAGTATTTATGTGCTAAATCTCTCTAGATTTTTGTATAGCATACATATCTGAGCACATTCAGATATGTACCTTTATACGATAAAGGCATAATAGAAAACTAAATACATATTTAGGTACTGTTAGGCGCAATGACCATCTCAATTTTAATAAGATCCAGAGATCACAATTTTTTATCAAATATAAATAACAGTTTATGTTTTGAATACGGAAACCATGCACATCTACGAAAAAAGTCCTTTATAAACATCACAAAATCTCAATTTGATCAACAATACCGGTAAAAGACAGCAATCAAACATCTACAAAATATATACAAAACATATTAATTCTTTACATAAAACTTCAATACATTAAAAAAACAGAATTCTTAATGAAAATTAGACTTCAATACAAAAGAAACGTGCGACAATGGTCACTGCCCAAACCTCGATAATTAAATCTCGTGCAAACTTTCTTTATATACTGACCGCCAAAACCGGTTTACAACTATTGTGAAAACACAATAGAATAAATTACATACTTCAAAAATCATACGCGAACCGCACATAAATATATTTATGTTCTAAATTCACTGTGTTCAAACGAACATAAAGTATTTATGTGCTAAATCTCTCTAGATTTTTGTATAGCATACATATCTGAGCACATTCAGATATGTACCTTTATACGATAAAGGCATAATAGAAAACTAAATACATATTTAGGTACTGTTAGGCGCAATGACCATCTCGACGCACAAAGAAAGCAAACTTGACGTTAAGTACATATCATATACCAAGATTTTGAGATACTGACAAACGCTTCTGTAAACTTTCTAATACATAGCCGTCTTTAGCTTGATCGGATTTCCACCGATCGTGTATTTTAAATAACCTATCTGAAATATTGTTTTGAGCGGCAGCTGTGGCACCACCCGATCTAAAACTATGCAGACCAAAATCTTTAGAGTTACAACCAATCTCTGATAATGCACATTTAATCAATTCTCTCGCTCTGGTATACGACAAACTATAGTTTTTCTTCCTAAGAACAAAATTCTGTGTTTTCTTCAAAAATGACAAAGGTCTAAATATATACATATCTGAAGAAAAATCAATATTTGCTTCTCTTAAATAGCAGTCTAATATTGTACATGGACATTGTGGAGTGTCAAGCTTTGATATCAATACATGTCTGCCTTTCCTGTAACAGTCTGTTTTACTCTTCTCAATAAAAATGTCTATATATTGATTACAAAATGAAATGTGCTTTGCTTTTATACTACAAAGTTCTTGGTACCTTAAAAATCCGGTATAAGATAGTGCACACATTGTTAATAGCCGTAAATCTTTAAGAGAACGACCAACTGAATTGTACTTTGAAAATAATTTGATCATAATATCAGAAGTAACTGGACTCTTTTTCTCTATAGGTTTGTTCAATTTTCTTCTTGATGCTTCTACGATCAATCTAACCATTTCAGAATCACATGGATTAGCTACCCCAGCAAGATTATGTGCCCATTTAATTCCATAAAAAGCGGATTCTATAACGCTATAATGATTAGCTGATTGCATTAAATTTTGTAAATATAGACCTACATATAATTCTTGACAGGGTAAAACACATTTAATTTCAGAGTATTTTTCAGTCCATTTAACGAATCTTTTAAAATATCCAGCATATTTTTCTACTGTAGATTTTGCACGAGCATCAAGAATGGTTGAAGATAAACTATTAAACAATGATCTAAGTTCAGGGTGTTTAATCTGTTCGTTCTGTGACCAAAATCCAACAGAAAATATTGTCTGCAAAATATATATACAATCGGTAGAATAAAGTTATAAATATAAAATACAGTACCTTGAAACTATATCCATACTAGTCAGTGACTTGGTCAAATAATAATACAATCTATAATAATATTCCAGCGACCAATAAGATGAGGGTCCAGTGACCAAAAAAGGCAGTCCAATGTGTGTACACAGTAACACCGTAGCAAAACGCAATACCCAGTGGTAATATAAATCTGTAAAATAAATATACATATTACACAACCGAAGCATTTAAATGTACAGCTAATATTTTCCCGTGAAATTTACCATTAGCAAACAAAGAGTTTAAATTGTTACCAGCAACAAAAATTCTTTCCACTTCATGAAATTCTAAAACATCAACAACATAACAAGCGTATTCCAAGTTCTGTTTAAAAATCAAAGGCCAAAATGCAGCAGACTGCCATTTAGGAACAACAAGTGTACCGTCTGCTCCACAAGAGACTAAATGGTTAATACAGTTACTAACTAGACTAATTGGCGGAACTAACCAGTTGTTCTCGCCATGTCAGTTGCAAGTGAATGCATCTATCGCTGATGTTGTAGGATTCCAATATTTCGAATTAAACCTAGCCAGCTTAGTATTATGCATGTTAGCAAACCTGTCAATAGTGAATGGTCCCCAGATGCTATTCAAAAAATCGAAAAATGCAAAAGATATGCCCCAATCATCAATGTCAATAATTCTACTCAAAGCATCAGCCTTTTCGTTTTCCTCTCTAGGAATCCACTGTGCATATAATGAAATATTACGCGACACACAAGTATTAAAAATTGATAAAGCTAAACCTTGCAAGTGTGGTAATTTGCTTCCTTTCTTAATAATACTAACAGCATTTTGATTATCTGTGAAAAAAGTAACTGAACTGTGTTCTAATACTTTCGCAAAACTATCTAAAGATAATTCAATGGCTTTCACCTCTCTCCAAGTGGAGCTTTTTGTTGCCTCTGTCATAGACCACTGTCTGTGTGCAATATAATCAGTACCTTGTAAATAACCTCCTGCACCTATATCACTTGCATCAGTGAAATCATTAAATTCAGAATTATTCCGTAATAAAGGTAATGGCTTCAAACAGTGAATATTTTGTTTCCAAAACAAAATTTCTTGAATACTATCTGAATGGTGTCTCAAATCAACGTACTGATCCCAGTCTTGTTTTAAATTTATAACAGAAAAAGTACACCTTGTCATAATTTGAGTAACATTTCCAATAGCTGGTGAAAAGGAAATAATTTTTCCACATAATTTAGCTAACAACCTAATTTTAACTTTAAAAGCTTTAGACAGAATTACATCAATCAAATGGATAAAATTATTTATTTTAATCAACGGCAACTCCATCAAAGAACTTTTCAAATTCCAAGTGAAACCAAGCCAAACTAAAGTTTGAACAGGTGTCCATATACACTTGTCCTTGTTTGGAACAAAACCTGACAATATCAAATCGTTTTTGACCCTCACTGATTGTTCGCAACATAGCTTTTCAGTCTCCGCTAAACATAAGCCATCATCTAAATACACTGTAATTTTGATACCATCTTTGCGCCAGTGAGCAATTAAAGGTCTTACAACTTTAGTGAATACGTATCCCGCTGAACAGAGGCCAAACGGCAAAACTGTAAAAACAAAATATTTTACCGTTTCACCAAACTTCCAAGAAAACCCCAAATACTTCTGATGATTAGGGAAAATGTTTATGTCATGATAGCCTGATTTTAAATCAAAGGCAAAACCAAAACAATCGCTTTTCAAAAACTGACTGGCAGTTTTCCAGTCCTCAAACTTAATTTTACTATAAACAACTTGCTTGTTTACGTGTCTCAAGTCTAAAATTAAACGACCTTTACCTGATGAATTAATCGATACAGTTAACGGGTTAACAACATGCGGTCTGTTCGATACCTCTTTTATCAAGCTAGCATCAATTAATTCTTGAACTGCCTTTTCTACAAAATCTTTATGGTCTAAAGCAGATTTATTATTTCTTAGCAAAACGCTCGCTGGTTCATCAATTAAAGGTATTTTATAACCATTCTCAATTAAATCTAAAATAAACTTTGAAGCATTAATATTTTTCCAAAAATCTAATAAATTTTTCAGTCTATTTTTAACATTTATACAAGATTCATAATCATAAAAAGAGTCAAAATTGTCTACATTCTGTACCTTAAGAATATCTGGAGATCTCTCAGTATGGTGCTCCTCTGGAAGCTGCTGAATTTTCCCCTTTTTTACAGTCTTTAGCCCAATGTCCATACAGACCACAGTTGTAACAGATGTCCCTAGCTCTGTTCCGACGAGATGTGATGGGGGCGGAGGCCCCCGCGACAAGAAAGGGCTGTTGCTGTGAAAAACCACCATTATTTCCATTGTGAGCAATACTAGATTGACCACCAGCAGATTCCGCGGGTCTTTTCTTTGTGTTTTGACGCTTATCCTGCTTCACGGTTTTCAATTTCTTCACTGCTCTGCCATCAGCCGCCCGAATGCGCTTCTCATCCTCTGAGTCACTAGCCACGTCATCAGACAAATACTCGTCTACAGTTTTCCAACCACCTTCGGATTTATCTGCTATTCGAATCAGCTTATTCCTTTTCTTCAAAGATTTACCAGATTCTTTCAGCACTTTGACGGCCTTCTCATATCTCCGGTGCTCTATACAGTCTACAGCAATATCAATATTATCTAACATATCAGAATTTAAGTCAAACTGAACTTTATTACCCTTGAACTTGAAGGAACTCTCAGATTTCTGTACCTTTCGTGCAAGATCATGTGTGGTATCTGCAAAATTTCTCTCAATTCCCGTCAACTTTCTGGTAAAATAGGTTTTCATCAACGACAACAAATCAGCATTTGTAATTTCATCAGAATCAGCTTGACACGGCAGCTCTACACCTTCCATATCAGGTAGTTTATCAGGCTCGATATCAGACATAACGAAATTAGACTTCAATACAAAAGAAACGTGCGACAATGGTCACTGCCCAAACCTCGATAATTAAATCTCGTGCAAACTTTCTTTATATACTGACCGCCAAAACCGGTTTACAACTATTGTGAAAACACAATAGAATAAATTACATACTTCAAAAATCATACGCGAACCGCACATAAATATATAGATTAGCAATCTGCCGTAGATCTGGAACCCACCATAGATTTGAGTCCAACATATATAAAAAAAAAGAGTACTCTGTTCCACTGTTTTAATACCTGGTAATTCCAGAAACACGTATTGTGCACATTAGAATTAGCACCAAACGTTCAAGGACGTTTCGTGACACTTGCTATACTAGTTATCACTTTCTAAACGCACGACGGGTGCTACTCGTATAGCAGGAGATGTTCAAATTGTCGAGGCATATAATGATTTCCTTCCATTTTGAGTTTTATTCAATTAAGGTTATTTTTACTCTCATGGTTTCCGTTTATTTCTGGACTTTCGTTGTTTGAAGCGAAATTGGTATACTGCGTTCATATCTAAACGCTTCATTTGTTTTCATCTACTGTCACTGATCGTTACTGCTAGTGGACTGATACTTCAGACAGTATCATCAGCCAATAGTCATATCTTTAGCATTTATTTATTTACATGCATTTTGAGCAATGATCAGTAAGAATATGTTACTTTTTGTACGAGAACAAACTTAACGTTACAAATTCTTCGAGTAAATCTGACTTTCCAAACGTTTGGTCTTGGTAGCACCTGATGAAGGTTATACCAGAAACACGTGTTGTGTGATCAGATATCATACCATACATTTTGCCTAATTTGTTAGGGTACGTTCTTTTTGTTGCCCTTATAATTTGTATTTTTTGTATTGTATTATATAGGGAATGGGCGAATACTAATTCCCAAAAGTGAATAAAAATAGTAAAGTCTAAGTATTTAAAGTTTGAAATCTTCATTTAAAGTTCACAACAATAATACATATAAAGGATAACGGGAGTACAAAAAAAATGTATTTTGAACAGTACAACAGACCGCATCAATTATCAACATAATACTCTTCCGTAAAATTTTTATAGAACAGTACAACATGCAGACCGCATCAATCAACAACATCCGATTCTTCCGAAAATATATATTGAACAGTACAACAGACCGTATCAATCACCAACATCCGACTCTTCCGAAAAATAGCCATTTAACAAATACAGACAACGACAAACAGTTACTGTACATTGTTGGGGTAGCATTATTTGGTAGAGGCGGAGCATGAATATGCATAAAATGACCACAAGTCGTAAAAGTAGAATACAATAAAAAAAACCTGTACAGGTAAGCTACCACCAGGATAAACTGTCACTTGAAGAAGGAAATAAAAGACATAAGGCACATAATTTGGAAATCAGGGTTAATATGGGCTCGATCGCTACTACAGAAAACAACAGCATTTGGTTGAATACTGCCACGCAATAAATGTTAATTAAAAACAAATAAACCCCTAACTGGTTTCATGAAGTTTCATAATGAAATTTGATTAAGCCGGCAATATTTGCGAGGGCCAAGTAAGTAAAATCGTCAGACCGCTCGAAGAAATAACTATAATTAGATAGTACACCACGCATGTATCCCTTGTCGTTGAAGGATGTAAGAAGTTTCCCCGAGTTGGAATACATAATTTTTCAATGCTTTACTATTATTATCCATCATTGGCTTGCAAATATTCTGCTTTGAGCGTTTCTGATGAAGGTTATTCCAGAAAAACGCTTAAGACGCATTTCAAATTAGTGCTGTTTTCATTTTTTACACGCCATATAAGTATTTATACGAACCATTACCTGGAGAGTTACAGTTTTTTGGTTTTCCTTTGAGACTTAAAACTAAGGATAAACAACCAACAAAGATTGCAAGGACGACAATAATTACACCAATAAGCCGAGCCCTTGGAATTACAGTGTTTCTGTTGTTGCTTTTATTTGTTCTTTCATTGTGTGGTTTACTAACACATTCTTCCCTCGGCATATCCTGGTGAGTATCATTATCTTGACTCGTAGGAACGAAATCTTTGTTTAAATTTTGTACCACATTTTGAACATTCTGACGCTCTGTAAATCCCCTTACATAAGAGTAATCTGGTTCGTTATTAACGCTGCTTTCTTCTGATATTTGTTTTCTGATTCCAGATTTTGCAGAATCTAAGCTATGTTTGTTTCCAGTATAAATGTGCAGTTGTTCATTATGATATTTCAGATTTTGTTGAGCGATATTTCTATATTTTTGCCCAGATGTTCCTGATTTGTTCTCATGATCTCTAGGGCATTCAACGCTGTCTTCCCTTTCAGCACTATTACGTCCAGTTTTTGTTGTTGAATCTAAAACAGTACTGTAGTCATATATATTGTGTTCTCCAAGTATATCATATTGATCTTTTGAGGATATGGATTTCTTTAGTTCTGTATATCCATTATTTGGATCTTTTGAGGATATGGATTTCCTTAGTTCTGAATATCCATTATTTTGATCTTTTGAGGATATGGATTTCCTTAGTTCTGTATATCCATTACTTTGATCTTCCAGTGTGTCATATCCAGCAATGTCATGTAAAGACGACCTTATTCTCGTCAGATCTGTATAGCCAAAAACATCTTGTGTCCCTTCATCATTATATTCACTTCCCATTTCTTTGGACTGTGTCATCCGATTGGCAGTATTCTGGTCCATTTGTTTTGTAGAATGTTCCAAGTCTTCGTCAGTATTCTGGTCCATTTGTTCCGTAGAATGTTCCAAGTTTTCGTCAGTATTCCGGTCCATTGGTTCTGTGGAATGTCTTATATCTTCGTCAGCATTCGTTGTTGGTTCTCTATTTTGAACTTTGAACAATTTTCAGATTTACTTCATTGTTGTTTACAATACGACAGAGACAGTCAATTAAAGTAGAAACAATACATTGTAACTTCTACAGATGGACGGAAACATACGTAGGAACAATCAGCGGGATATGAGCATTTAAAAAGACAGTTTAATCGGATGTAGTTGTATATAAATAATGTCGGTCCTACAGAAACTGTCGCCAATACATATTGTACATATATGAGGCACATCAAATGAAGAAAGGATTATATAGATATATATGTTGTTAACGCATCATAAAGATGCTGCAATGAAAGACAAATTTGCATTTGTCTCGATAACTTTAAGTCACTTATTTATTTCTAGAATGTTTACTGTTCCATCTTTCAAATTTTGTGAAATAAGACTTTTATAAATAAACGATTTGACCCGATTTTGATAAACATTCAAATTCAATGCTGTATAAAGTCAAACCTGTATTACTGACCACTTTTATATATAGTTGGTTGTAATATATGACCGTAAATTTCCCCATGTATTTTACTACATTAATAATCTGTTTATAGTATTTTATTATATTAATAATCTGTTTATAGTCACCATCTGTGTGGTAGAAAGTAGCTTTGGTTTTTCTCCCGAAACAATACCATCTATTAGTCTTGAGTGTTTGAAGTTTTATTCCAGTAGTTTATTCAAATCATTATCATTTTAATATCAGATGCCAAAAAATAAACTTCACAATGTGTGATTACCTGTTTTATTTCCATTTATATTAGTCAGTTATTACCTTATTCCAACAACAAATGCACCGAAGACGACATCAGTAAAAGGCTTTCACATTTTGATCGACAACATATTTGTCGAGATTGGTGGATTGATATTTTAACAAGCAGTCGGTATTTTAATGGGCTTATTGTGCAACCTTTCTGTTTTTCTTCTGATAAGATCATAATTTATATATAAAACCTTCTCAAAGACAAAAAAATAAAGCACCTCACCAAGTTCAGATATATCGACGCTGTCCGATAATCAACATGTAATCCAATTGAACTAGAAATTAAGGAATCAACCAAAACAAAAACGTCTGCTTCATATTTGGATCTTTTTTACGTATAACAAACGCGATTTTAGTTTTCATTCAGTCTAATTTTTAATGCTTCTGTCATAACAAATTACTCAATTAATATGTTAATCGCGTGCATGTTCACTTTATCACTTTTTACGGACTTCATTGAATGTGTGTTTCTAACGCAAATACTCTACTAGTAGGGTTGTCAGAGAGTGAAACCAAAATCAACACTACACAGTTTATAGGTTTTACTGTCACCATCACTAATTGGTTTACCGATACGACACGTTTGTAACTCAAATTACAAGAGACATGTTTCATTGTGTAAGATCTTATGACACAAGAATAGCCTTATGATCTGTAAATTAATCAATCCCAATTCCCGATCCCCATTCGTGATATGTACATGTTTTACTGATATAAAAATAAGATGTGGTATGATTGCCAATGAGACAATTTCAACCAGATACCAAATGACGTAATTTTGTTTTTGCATGGCGAGTGATACATGCACAGCAGGAATTAGATATGGAACGCCTCAGCTGTCTTATGTGGAACTCTGATATTACTTTATGTTGTTTTATTATTACTTGATGATATTTTGTCTTTACTTAATATGTGGTTTTGACATTACGTAATGATGTTTTGATATAACTCAATATGGAATAGTCATTACTTAATGATATTTCGATATTACACGATATGGTTTCGTATTGACTTGATATATAGTTTTGTCATTACTCAATATGGTTTTGTCATTACTCGATGTGGTTTCACCATTATTTAATGTGGTTGTGTCGTTAGTCAATGTGGTTTTAACATTACTTGATGTGAATGTGACTTAACGTTATGTAGTTGTTTCATTACATGATGTGGTTTTGTTATTTTGTAATGATGATTTGCCTATTCTTTATATGGTTTTAACATTACGTAATGATATCTAAAAATTTGACGATTTTACACTACATGATGTGTTTGTTTCATTATTTGATGTGGTCCTGTCATTCTTTGATGTGGTTATCCCATTACTTGATGAGGTAAAACCACGTGACCAATTCGGAAAAAAATATGTTCTATTTTTAAACAGATTTCAATATATCATTTGTTTAATGTGCTTTGGATGGGTATCGCTATCCATTGAGTTAAAGTTCAAATTAAAGCTCGAGTGGTTGTTCAGAGTTATTTAGCATGAAAAAGGTAACCGGCAGACAATAATAAGAAAAAAAGTATTAAAAAGTTTACAGTATTTCTTACATAATTGGGATATCCCCAAACCACTTTGTCTTGTTGTTTTTATCCTAAGTTCTCAAACGGAAGCAGTATTTTTGTAATAAATTTGTAAAATATTCCACGGAACCCTATGTCTCGCCTGATATTGCTGCTGTAAGTGTAAAAGCGTCATGTTGATCGGCTGTACATTTATCTATACATTTATCGGTAAAAACAAAATTAAAAAAAATGTTTTCTGTAGATGCTTTTTCTTGAAATTGAAGAATAACTCCTATACTCCTATACAAGTTTTAAAACACTTCATGGAGGTTTACAAATATCATGTCAAAACAGTTTAATTCTGTTTTATTTAACTAAAACAAAACTGTATGGTTTTCAACAATAAGCAAAACCCATACCATATAGTAAGCTATAAAAGGTCCCGAAATGAAAAATGTAAAAAACTAGAAACCTAACGATCTATAGATAGATAGATAGATAGATGGATAGATACTTTATTCTCTAAAAACTAATTACAAGTTTACAGAGAAACATACAATATAAATACAGATACAATAGTTGAAGTAAACAAATACAGTATGATATTCTAAAAGTACAAAATTATAATGGCATACGTGTTTAGTAACATGTATAATGAAAGGTTAAACTCAATAGAAATAAAAAAAGAATTGAGATGGAGACGCCGGCGCCACTATCAACGACGAAATATAGTGTTGTTGGGTCTCACTGCCGCTACATTGATGTCGCAGGCTCGACACAAATCAAACGACTTGAACTTTAATGTTAACAAATGAAGCGCTTCAAATCAACTCACACTAAAGTTACAGGGAAACAGGGGGAGGGGGCTCGGACTTAGCGACAAAGCATCAATACTATAAAATAAGAATTCTAGTTTACATTTTTTTCTCGTGTTGTGCTGTTACACAAGTGTAACAGTCCGATGTAAGGTTAGGATTTAGCGCTCACATACATGTTAAACTCCGCCACATGCACTTTCTTTATGTACCTGCCCCAAGTCAGGAGCACGAAATTCAATTGTTGTCGTTGTATAAATGTGTGTCATTTTATTTTTGTAGATTGTTTAAATATAAATAAGACCGTTTGTTTTTTCGTTTGAATTTTTTCACATGGTGCATGGTGGCCTTTTATAGCTGACTATATGGTGTGTTGAAGGCTGTACGGTTGCCTATATATGATTTCTTACATCCACTGCATTTAAACTCTGGTGGAGAGTTGTCTCATTGTCAATCACACCACATCTAACTTTATTTCAACTTCTATGTTGCGTTTTGTATACTGTAACATTGTTTATCTTTTGTACGCATACCCCGGAGCCCTCTTTTCGGAATCCCGAGCAAAAGTCCTTGTTCCGCGATAGAAAATTTAATTACGAACTCATATAAGATAGCACAAATTTCAACTCAAAATCTTAATTAATCTTAATGAGACTTAAATTCGAATCTTACTCAAACTCAAAAAGTGACTCAAATTTAATGGTGTAACTATAGAACTCTACCTTTATATGTGATTCAAACTTGAAGTCCAACTCGAAACTCAATGCTAACTAAAACTTTAATTCTAATAATGACTTAAATTCGGTACCGGAGACTAACTCAAAGTTCTACTCAAACAGTAACCCTAACTTTAATTTGAACTCTAATTCGATGGATGGCCGCACTCATCCAAGGCACATACAACATGGAAATCTATCTAAAAATAGAACAGGTTTTTTTCCGAATTGGTCACGTGATTTCACCTCATCAAGTAATGGGATAACCACATCAAATAATGAAACAAACATATCATGTAGTGTAAAATCGTCAAATTTTGAAACATCATTACGTGATGTTAAAACCATATAAAGAATAGGCAAATCATCATTACAAAATAACAAAACCACATCATGTAATGAAACAACTACATAACGTTAAGTCACATTCACATCAAGTAATGTTAAAACCACATTGACTAATGACACAACCACATTAAATAATGGTGAAACCACATCGAGTAATGACAAAACCATATTGAGTAATGACAAAACTATATCAAGTCAATACGAAACCATATCGTGTAATATCGAAATATCATTAAGTAATGACTATTCCATATTGAGTTATATCAAAACATCATTACGTAATGTCAAAACCATATTAAGTAAAGACAAAATATCATCAAGTAATAATAAAACAACATAAAGTAATATCAGAGTTCCACATAAGACAGCTGAGGCGTTCCATAATTAGACGTTAACCCTGTCGATGAATTGGTATTGCTCCGTTTGGAGTTCGTGGGAAATAGGTTTTTACTTTTGGTTTGTGTATTCATAATTGATTTACGATTTTTAATTATAAGCATTGGTATATTGTTGTTGTCACTGGTTTATGAATGAAAGGCGATGAGAGGTATACATCAGTGAAAGGCGATGAGAGGTATACATCAATGAAAGGCGATGAGAGGTATACATCAGTGAAAGGCGATGAGAGGTATACATCAGTGAAAAGCGATGAGAGGTATACATCGGTGAAAGGCGATGAGAGGTATACATCAGTGAAAGGCGATGAGAGGTATACATCAATGAAAGGCGATGAGAGGTATACATCAGTGAGAAAGCAACGACACAAATATGCAAAGGACATCTCGAAAGCAACGACACAAACAAGCAAAGGACGTCTCGAAATCAACGACACAAATAAGCAAAGGACATATCGAAATCAACAGAATCCAGAAATGTCTACATGCGTCTAATCTGTCAAACTCCAAATCGCATCGACAGTCTAAGACCTTGTACATAAATTGAATAGAGATTATCGAATTTCTACAAATTCTCAAAATAATAATAAATATAAAAATATATTAAAAGACAACCAACGTCAAGGTTTCCAACTTGGGATAGGCACATGATGATATGGCGGGGTTAAACTATTCAAGTTTTTGAGATCACAACCCTCAGCCTTCCAATTTCGATCTTTATACTATCATATTTTAAATGGTACATCAAAGGACATGCACAAAAAATCAGTACAGTAACAGCACATAACTCTTAATTAACTACATTTTTTTTTATATAATCGATAACAAACAAATTTAAATACAAACAAAGCAATACTAAACAGGATCATACATTATTAAAGAACACTAGCAGTTAACGGAAGCAAGCCCAAAGAACTTAACCTGCTTATTTGAAATCGTGCGGTCCTACACTTAAATATCGTGGTTGTAGTTCATAGAGGATTTCATACAGTAATATGATATACTTTATAGGAAGACACAATCGTGTGTAATGCCCAGAACAAACTGTACATAATTCTAATGCAGAATAACAAAAGAAACATATGTTATGTTTACTAGTATCTGGGAACAGTATATCTATATATATGTTCCTGCTAGTATCGAATTTTTTTAAAATCCTTCTTATTTTAATTATATCTTTTTGCTAAATCATATACTGGAACCGGCCAAACAGGAGTCCACATTTAAAAGGAGTAACTATGACCCATGATATTGATTGGGAACCGCATATAAATAAAAAGGCTGTTATTTTGATTCGGTTCACATATAACAATACAAACATATAAGCTCTTGAGAGCTTTTTACCGAATATAAATAACATATACATAACATTAAAACACAGAACATACAGATAAGACATATAAGCAGCAGTTATCATTTCAATGCATAGATAAAGCACAGGCATATTGAAATACATGCAAACGGCATTCCGATCCATTCCAGGACTGTATAAGGCTCTTAAAATTGAGAAAAAACTATTTTCAGTCCTGAAATGGTCAGGGAGGCTGTTCCACAACGTAGCAGCTGCAAATTTAAAACTTTTCTTACCAAATTATTTGTTTTCCAAACTTGTTTCCGAATCCTATATTTGAATTTCATGTAACATTGTCATACTTTATTGTTGTATTTTTTCATTGATAAATACTGTTTAAACTAAAGGCAAGTGGATCGACGTCTAAAGTTAAAGTTAAAGGCCTGTTATACTAAGACAGAACATCAGGAGTTTTTAACATGAGTATTCCTTACAATAGTTTTCCCTTACACCATCTCGGACTGAAATTCTTTACCTGACTAGCATATTCAACTGTATCTGTGGTATATTTTATTTCAAGTTCGGTGGATATTAATTATCCATAGGCTTCAATCCTTGAAAAATAAATTTATCGGCAAACAGTAATCTCACACGATAGAGTACTTTGATTATCTTTGAATTTGATTGGCGTTAGGTTGATTTTGGACTTCCGGGTTTTCCCGTTTGATATTTACACTACTTCCGGGAAAACAATAACATGTTTTTTTGTCCAACTGAAATGCATGAGCAAAAGCAAGCTGTTAAGAGCGTAAAACCACCGAAGTCACAACATTTTCCTCTTGATATATAAATGAACTTCATGGTTCTGTTCATTTATATAGAAAACAACGACTGTCAACTTCTATAGTGTAAGAAAAAGTGCCCCGGGAAATTATTTCATAGGGGTTCTGTTAGAATTTTATATTTTTTTTACATGTGTATGATTTTGATTGTTTTGCCTTTATAATCCCACTATATCAATTCAGGAAGATATAAAGATTTTATACAGAAACATTTAGATAAAGAACAATTTATCTTCAAGATTTTTGTGATTTGTATGCAAGTCTCTACCATGTCTACTGGTCCAGTACCAGTTACTACATCAGAAATTCATAGGTTTTCCATTTGGACATATTTTTGTATCATATAATTGGTTACCAAAAGTGAGTTCTAGCACCATAGACTCTGACTTGAAGTCTTCGATTCTTCTTCTAAATAATGTAACGCAGGGTAAGGGTGTCATGAAAAAGAAGATCTTCATAATATAAGTTCCAAGTGGAAGAAATATTCTGTAATATTATTTCCACAGGATTTTTTCCTTACGGGAAAACAAAGGGTATAGAACATTTGTTCCAACAGGAACAGATATTATGACATTGTTTATAAACAAATTTTCTAGGGGAACTTCTGTTAGGCAGAAGAAATATACAGTGACACTGGAGTGGCGATTTTTGTGTATATAGTCCTTCCACTCAAAATCCAGGAGCTGTTCTTCCTCATGCTAAATCTGAATAGATCATGAATCTTGAAATCAACCAGTTACATTGTGTCTGAAAAAATTCAGTTTTCTAAAATCAAGGATGCCATAAAGTGATGATGTCATGCCTTGCAGGCATATCTTCCCATGTGTTAAAAAAAGTGAAAAAACTACATTTACTTCTTGTAATCTGATAAAAAAAAAAAAAGTTTCTAGAAATTAAATAAAAGTTAATGTGTGCAGATAATAGCAGTAAAGAGAAGCAAAAGATACCTGTGTGCAGATAAAAGCAGTAAAGAGAGGCGAAAGATATCAAAGAGGCTATATTTTCGAAACTTGTCCTTTATTGCATAAAATGACAGCTGACAGTAACTGGTCCTCAGCGAGTACCTTTTGATTAATTACAACATCCCCCATATTTGCATACAAGGAATTTGCATATAAGACAACACATTGTACAAATGTTGTATTCCTGAAGTTGAATTGTACTTTAATTGAGTAAAAGTGACATATAACTAAAATTCAAAGTCCTTATAACAAAAATGTATCAATGTTATCTGTATTATCCCATATAAATTAAAGTTTTCAGTTAGTATCAATCAGTTTTATGGTTTTTAACCAGTTTTTTTTTTTAAAGTTCTTTTTTGTACCCACTGTATACTTGAAAGCAAAAAATGAACAATTTGTAAAAGCTCCCTGATTTCTGTTTTTTTCCACAACAATTTCACAACAATTTAAAAAAAAAGCCTTCAAAATATTATTAGGTGAGTAAAAATGTATAACAATTTTTTCTGTAACATTGACCTTTTTATTCTTCGCATTTATTACTAGTACATGGCCCTGAAAAAATAGGGATGCAAGAAGTTTCAGCCACAATACCACTAAAGCCCTAATCATTTCAACCAAGTTACCATTTTGGCCTTTATAATTATTTAAGTATTTGGCCATGTAATCATGTTATAAATAGTTTAATTCTGTGAGGGAAATGCAGTATATCTGTGTTTACAGACAGACATTCATGAACAAATGGGGAAATTAATTCATAAATGATGCACTTATTTTCCTGATTAAGAATTTTTTTAATTAAGAAAATTGAAATCAAACAGAGACATATATTAATGGTTTCAATTAATCAATGTCTAACAATATAAGTAAAAGGGGGATGATTATTTCAAATATAAAAGATTGATTAAGTGGGGAATAAGTACTCATCATAATTATCCCACTGATCATTTCATTATTGTTAGTAAATAAAAAATTTCTCTGAAGTATTAATTATTTTCACATAATTGTTGAAAAATACCAAAGGCGAGATCACTGTAGAAAAATGGAACCCAAGCTGAGTTCAAGTAGATCTACAAAAACGTAGCAGTAGATATATTATTGTAAGAAAGCAAACTTTGAAGTACCGACATTGCAGCATAAATGAAAATCAGAATGCTTGTTCCAATCAAACAACTGACCATTTAAAAATAGAATGGGCTAGTTAATCTAATATTTTATACATTCTTCAAAATTAATGCATAATTTAATAACCACTTAAGATGGTTATATAACAAGGTCAGTGCATACATTTATAATAGAGACTCATAATTTAATAACCACTTAAGATGGTTATATAACAAGGTCAGTGCATATATTTATAATAGAGACTCAAAATTACATTTTGATATATTTTTTCAATTCAAAATACAATACTACATGTAAATTATAAGAGTTTTTCTAATGCTAGTAGACATAGGCAACAGGCAAATAATGTTTCTTATATAAATTGACCTGCAAATCTTTGTGTGAATCTTATAGTGTTATATGTCCACTTTTGACAAAAAAACAAGATAGCTATATATTTGAGATCCAAGTGTAATCTTATTACACATTGTGACTTGGATGGATAGTTGTCTCATTGACACTCATACCACATCTTCTTATTTATATATATCTCCCTTTACAACTATAAAACAACATTTCTAAACTCTACAAGTTTGTGTCAGAACTAAACTGTTCTATCTCCACACACCCATTGGATAATAATGGCTTATTCATCTGGTTAGTTCAGAGAATACTATTTTTATAGTGTTGTATCTCCACTATATCTCGTGTATTTTTCAGTAAAATAATTATCAAAATTATTTTAGTAGTACTATGATTAAATGGTTAACATGGTTTAAACTCAATCTATGAGCAATTCTGTGCAAATCCAGCAGTACATATTTGGGGATATTACAAAGTTAAAAAATCCATGGTCTATTTTCAATAGAAATACAATGTATACTGTAGGGATAAATTTTTAAAACCAGATTGTTTGTAGTGAAATGTTCTTTCTCCAAAAAAGGGGTGCTTTATTTATCTTAGTGCTTGTCTATCAAAAAAATGATAGAACAAAGAGTTACTCTTCATGTACGTAAAATTGATTCCTATATAACACATTATGTCTCCGTCAAATATTTATGATATTGAGCTTTTAAACTTTAAGTTAGATTTTTACCACTATTACCAAATGGGAAATGCGTCATTTTAAGATTCACATGAGGAAATATGTTTTAACATTTTGGCCACAAAACCAAGTCAACCACAGGTCATTTTAAATGAGCTGTGGTTGACCTGGTTTTGTGGCCAAAATGTCTTGAAAGCAAAAATAGTCTGAAAACTTTCATAAAATGAGGCCAAATGAGTCTTTTAGCAGTCCTGATCCTGTGCAAGTATCGAAAGACTTGATGGAGTAAAAGTAATTACATTTTGAGGAATAATTGAAAATAAATAAATAAAATAACAAAAACTGCTCTACAGTGTACATGCTTTATGACCAGCTCAGTAGGGAAATGATCTCTTACTGAATCAAAACTTTTGCTTTGTGTTGAAGTCCTCAAGGAAAGTTTGAGTTGGATGACAGCAATGAAAGAACTTTTGTCAAATGCAAATGTAGGCCGTACAATTGCCTATAATTGCTTACATCCACTTCATTTGAACTTTGGTGGATAATTTTCTCATTGGCAATCATACCATATCTCCTTATTTTTATATAAACATAATATACAGACTTTGTTTCATGAAAAGGTATACTTTTCTCTATTTTTCAATTTCAATGAAGAAAAAAGGGAATATTGTACTTTAATATTGCTTAATTTTTTCAGATATCCTTGATTTATCATGAATCAAGAGCATTGTAGACGCCTACATGTCAACCCAGATACAAATATTGGTGATTTATCGAGTAGATTTATGCTCAAATTACGTGATGACCTAGATTCTAACCCAGAAACATGTAACTGGAGAGCATTCTTAGCTAAGGCAGCTGATAATCCAAATTATAGATTTAGGTAACTATTGCCTAATATATATATATATATATTCAATGTGATAGATATTAGAACATTAACAAGTGTGTAAAAGGGGGGAAAAAAGGTAAATGTCTCCTAGCTTCTTAGATTTAACACACTTGGTTCATTTGCAACATGAATTTGTGCAAATTTTAGTAGCTTTTACCATAACTTCTGTTCAGTAAAATTGTGGGTAACCTTTTATAACATGTTAAGTTCCTGAAATATACATAACTATCGTTAGGCTCTTTGATTTTTTTTCCACATTTTTTCTCAGAAGGAAGGGAGAATATTTTTTATTTCTTTAGATAACCTAGCAGTATGAGTCTTTGTTCATTGTTGAAATTTTCATAAAATGACCTTTTATTAGATTTACAGTTTATCTTGAACATGTTGCATTTGGCTTTGATAAGCAGTTGTCTCTTGAAATTCATACATAGTTCCTTTATTTTATTTCTTAACTACAATCATAATGAAGAAACATTTTTGCATGATTACAAAATCTTTCTATGTTTATATATGTTCAGCTTGGCTTCAACTGTTACATCTAAAAGATTGACCTTATAAAAAGCTGATTAATTGATGATACAGGAATTTTCAAAATCTTCAACAGAAAGCAAAAATATATTAAAAAATTTCAAGTGCAAAGACATATGCAAAGTTTTCTGACTTTTTTTTGGTAAAATAAATGGAAAGATATGTCTTAATTGTTAGTGTCATTAGATTTCTGTCTCTAGATTTCTGTCCCTAGATGAACATGTTACAGATTTCTGTCTCTAGATTTTTGTCCCTAGATTTCTGTCCCTAGATTTCTGTCTGTAGATTTCTGTCCCTAGATTTCTGTCTCTAGATTTCTGTCTCTAGATTTTTGTCTCTAGATTTCTGTCCCTAGATGAACATGTTACAGATTTCTGTCTCTAGATTTTTGTCCCTAGATTTCTGTCCCTAGATTTCTGTCTCTAGATTTCTGTCCCTAGATTTCTGTCTCTAGATTTTTGTCTCTAGATTTCTGTCCCTAGATGAACATGTTACAGATTTCTGTCTCTAGATTTTTGTCTCTAGATTTCTGTCCCTAGATTTCTGTCCCTAGATTTCTGTCTCTAGATTTTTGTCCCTAGATTTCTGTCGCTAGATTTCTGTCTCTAGATTTCTGTCTCTAGATTTCTGTCCCTAGATTTCTGTCTCTAGATTTCTGTCTCTAGATTTCTGTCTCTAGATTTCTGTCCCTAGATGAACATGATACAAAATACCATTTATAAACAGAAAACAAATATTGATCTTCAAAATGAAGGCCAGAAAAAGTTACAAATCTAAAAATCTATCAAAAATTAGAATATTAAAATGATCAGAATAAATATACAAAACATCAAAGCCAACCAATTTAACCAGATTCCTGTCTCTAACAGTCAGATAGGTTTGTACAAATGTTTTAACTTGACTTTTACCATCATGTGTTCAAACAGTAGTGCAGATGTAGAGAGAAAGTTTGGAAGCCAAGTTTACCATGGCAGTCCTAGCAATAAGATGTTATGGGAACTTGGATCTATGGGAATGACTGCTGCTGAACTGGTTTACAGTCTAGATAAGTTAAAGTTGGAAAGTGTTCTTATGGATATAAAGAAATATGGTAAGTCCAGACTAATTATATATGTTGTTGCATGTACCTAATTCTCTATCATTTATGATTGAGTTTTATTTGCCATTTTAGACCCTTATTGGTTGATTTTTACCTCAGTTTTTTAGATTTGACTTCTTAAACTTTTGGCTTAATATTACCAGATGACGATAATTCCAGAAAGATCTGTTGGCTCTCTGAAATGATTATCATACATTTATATTTCATTATAAATCAAGATAGGACAATCTATATAAATAAAAAAAGATGCTGTTATACTGTGGATTCATTCATTTCATGGTTACCAATTTTCATGGATTGAAAAAAACCTTCAATTTCTTGGATATTTGATTTTGTGGTTTTGCAAGAGTCATCATACGAGCCTTTAGAAAATTTGAAGATTTATGTAACATTTAAAATTGTGGTTCATCTGTCTAGTATGAACAGAAAATGGTATTCCACGAATAATAATGAATCCACTGTACGTTAAAATAATTTAAATTATTCTTATACAAGACATGAAGGATTATATTTGCATTGTATGTACTTCTGTTTAATGTTTTATTTCAGAGCCAATTGTAATAGTTAATCAACCTGCTGAACGAAAAACTGTAAATAAAGGAGAAGTTTTAGAATTAGAAGTCAAAGCTATAGGATTCCCTTATCCTCGATACCAGTGGTTCAAAGAGAATGAAAAAGACTGGGATATCTTAGATAAAGAAAAAAGCAGCATACTCAGAATTAGAAATGTCAGGTAGGATATGTATAATTATAGAATATCTAATTGAAGAATTCAAATGTAAAAAAATATTCAATAAGTGACCTAACAACTAATTAATTCATAGAACATGAATTAGTTATTAGTGCTGTTTGGTCATGAGTTTTTTCTTTTTATTTCATTGACCATGTCCTATTTACTGGAAATAAAGAAGAAAATACAAGGAACTATATCTTTTTCTACACATTCCAAATTCATTTTAATGAAACATCATCATCAATGTCTTGACAACAACCATTGTTGTAAGAAGTCAGAGGAGTGAAATTATCTGTTTATATTTAACTGGGAAATCACAGTATTTCATTGCAACCTATTTTATAATCTGTTTTAGATTGTAGGTCACATTAATGTAAGCTATACAGATATTTTCCCCACTTTATGTTGATACATTGTAATTGTAAAATACTTGATTTTTCAATCTAAAAATAAATGTAACCACATTGAGGGAAAAAATTGAGGAATTACAAAAATGATCAACTCTATAATTGATCTTTGCATGTTTAGGCATACGCTTCTTAGATTTATCTCTATAGTCAAAAGTTTGCATTCATAATTTTCTTAATTTGACGTTACTGTAGCTTTTACATTTGTTACATAGTTATACATGTGTACAACATATAGATATACATGTGTACAACATATAGATATACATGTGAATGAAATATAGTAATACATATGTACACCATACAGTTAAACATGTGCTAAACATATAGTTATACATGTGAGCAACATATAGTTATACATGTGCACAACATATAGTTAAAATCTGGACAACATATAGCTATACATGTGCACAACATATAGTAATACATATGTACAATATATAGTTATAGATGTGTGCAACATATAGTAATGCAGGTGTATAGTATACAGTTAAAGTGTGTACGCCATATAGTTAACATGTGCACAACATATAGTTAAAAATCTGTACAACATATAGTTAAAATCTGTACAACATATAGTTTAATATGTGTACAACATACAGATAAAAATGTGTTCAATAATTAGTTAAATGTTACAACATATGGTATAGTTATATATGTGTAAAACAGTTGTAGTTATACAGGTTCACAACAAATAATTATATATGTGCACAACATATAGTTATACATGTGTACAAAATATAGGAATATAAATGTGGGATGTATAGTTATATTGTTGATCCTTTACAGTAAGTCAGATGCAGGTGTGTATTGTTGTCGGCTACATAATGGAGATATTAATTCACAAGTAGAATTCACCAATCAGTCTACAGTGTCTGTAGAGATGAGTAAGGACCCAGGGGCTTGTACGTATAATCTTATAAATTCTCTTTAACACAATAAAACAGATTCCTTCCATACATATGATCTATATTTAAACTTTGGAGGGTTTAAAACTAAAAGCTATTCACCAGATAAAAATTAAATTAAAAAAAAAAGTTATGAAATTAATGAAATTATTTTAAGCTGAAAAATTAAAATCTATCAGTCTTCAATTTTGAGTGTTAACATTAATGACATTGTTAAGAGAAGATGTATATATACGAACTCATAAATCATAACATTGTCAGGACTAAAAAAATATTTATACTATACACATGTTGTGCAGAAAAAAATAGCTACCACAGATATTTTAATTACCACTAGGTCCATACTGCAGCTGGTGGACTCTAAATCTTATCTACTTCAGATATTTTAATTACCACTAGGTCCATACTGCAGCTGGTGGACTCTAAATCTTCAATGGTACCATTCTTTAGGTTACTGGTGTGTCTCTAATGATATATTGTAACTGTGAATTTCCAATAATTTATGTAACTGCACTAAAACACAGGTTGCAGCTCCTTCAGATAAAGTGATTTCAGACCTTTTTAATTGGTATCCTACTTTTAAATACAACAAGTATGAGTGTATTTTGAATCAGACAAACTGTATCAAGTATAACTAATGTTATTAAATTTTCTGAATGTATATAAATGTTTAACTTGAACAAAGAAAACTGGATAACTTACATTTTTTTGTATCACAGATAGAGATACTTTTGATGAGAGACCATCTAGATATGGTAAGACTATAAATAGCATTTATAATAACTCCTACATCACATATAATACTACCACAGATAACCCGCCGGCATATCAGCACATTTTATCAATTGCAAGAAATCTTTGAGCTAGCAAAAAATTACATGTTCACAACAGGTCCAAGCAGCTATCACCATTGCTTTCAACAGTTTTTAATTTTCAATTATTTTTAAGATTCAGGTTCAGTTTACAATTAGGTTTGTTTTTATATTAGGATTAGGTTTTTAAAGGTTAGGACAAGTGTTAAGATTAGAGTAAGTTTAAGCATAATTTATAGGAGTTGAGGACCAAGAGAAAAAGAATGCTAAAAAACAAGTATGAATATATATATGTTGTTTGTGTTGTATTTAGACCCCTCTACCAAGAAATTTGTTTTGCATGCACACGTATAAAAATTGCGGTTTTTATCCAACGCAATCATAGGTTTGAACGTTGTTTTCAATTTAGACTTGTATATATATATATATATATATATATTAAAAATTTTTATTTACAGATTTGATTCCATCATTTGAAGTACAACCGAAGAACGTGACTGTACAGATTTGTGATGGTTTTATTTTAGAATGTCGAGTTCTTAGTAAATATCCTGTCATTTATGATTGGTATAAAAACCATGAAATAATTAAAAGATCTGATCAGCCATTTTATGAGGTAATTTATTTTTAAGCATGGGATATTTCAGATAGAAATTCAATAGAAAAAATAGACCGAAAAAGTAATTTGAATACAGGATAGATGCTCATTACAACAACAACAAAAAACCATTACATACTTCAGTTTTTCTGAACAGTCTTTTATATTATTAAGCTTTTAACTGCAAAAATTAAATTCCAGAAAATAATGAAGTGCACTAATAAATGTAGAGTATCCTTTCAGTGCTGATGAAAATAAAGAAAAAACAGCTAATATACAAAATAATGTTAACAGAATAGCTCTGTGTAATATGCTTTTAGTTCTAGATTTAGAAAACAGCTTTCGTACTTAAACAAATTAGTTTAGAAAAACAAACAAGAACTGGATGTTAAAAAGAATAGCACTTATTATAGTGTGTGATAAGATTTGGTGAGGGAATTTGAAGTGTGTACCATAAATTGCTTAAACACACATTAGGACAACACCACTGAATTATAAATCAGCATGAATTTTTTGCAGTACATTAAGAAATGATTTTGTTATGTATCTGTGTATGTAAGGTATGGAAAGTTTGATTTGCCAGGGTTTACTTTTTTACAAAAATTTTCATGATTTGAAAAAAACTTTGTTGATAATATATTATCATTTTTTGAAAATATTGTTATTTTGATGAGAAACATTAAAATATATATTTCACTTATGTGCACTCCATGAAAAAAACTTCTGTGTCTTAGCAGAAAATAAAAATAATATTTTTCAGTCTTATTAAGCTGTATCATTCCAATTTGACCCAAAAGAACCAGTGAGTTAATGAAGTCAAATATGACCTATCTGCCTAATTTTGTACATAAAAATGCAACTTGATAATACAAGGCCAGATTCGACTACCTCTCAAAATCTTGTCAGGCACTATGATATGGACAAATAAATTGTCTCTTTGTTGTCTTCCTTCAAATATTAAATTTTTTGAAGGTTAACTAATGTTAACCTGTTGTCTATAAAGTCTTTAAATGGAAGTGTTAAAAACTTGGTTAAACTCAAACAAATATTGACATGTTTTATGCATAGTTTTATTGCGCTTAAATATTGTGACAAAAACTGAAAGTGTCAATTACCCAGAAAGTGTACATGAATTATAACAGTTTCTGTTACATATCAACAAATTGATAAAGTAATGAATGTTGATGTTCTGCACCAGGTGAAAGCCGCATATAAAGCAGACATGGGTACATATGAATGCAGAGCCAGGAACCAGTTAGGTGAAACAATGAGTGATGTTGTTAAAGTAACAGTTATGTTGGGAAAAAGTAAGTTTTATTGTAGTTTTCAGGCATACAATATATGAAAATGACGATAAATGGGAAACATAATAATGTAGAATGGTCCTATTTAGAAAAAACAAATGGTTTATTTTGTAACATTTTTGTGTGACTAAAGCTCACTAAAGAAAACAATGTTAAAATAATAGATTGAAATATAACTTGCATTCACTTTATAAAAAATATTACCCAGAATGCTTTAGATTTAGATTTTTTTAAGCACTGGATGTTTCTCTTTGTAGTTTGCTTTAGGTATGGAACCATTGACTATACTAAAGGCAAAGGACAAAACAGCTAAAAAAGAAAATTAATTGAGGAACCTAGTTTAAATTGTAAAAATAATTATTTGTTCTTTGAAAATAACTACCTTATGGTAATATTTCTGATGAAAATTTAATTTGTATACTATTTTTTCTCTAGATTCCTCAGCTGAAGAACCAATAGTTGACCCTGTTGGACCAACAGGTCAGTATATGAGTTTAACTACAAATTCAGAAATTTTTGAAAGAAGAGTGATGGGTAGCAAACTTACTTTTTTGATTTTGTGATGATAAATATCGTTTATGATTACAATGATAAATGCATGCCATTATTTCTGAAATAACTGGGAAAGATGTTTGACTGATTTGTTTACCCATTGTATTACCAGTAATGACTGATTTGTTGACCCATTGTTTTACCAGTAATGACTGATTTGTTTACCCAGTATTTTACCAGTAATGACTGATTTGTTTACCCAGTATTTTACCAGTAATGACTGATTTGTTTCCCAGTATGTTACCAGTAATGAATGATTTGTTTACCCAGTATTTTACCAGTAATGACTGATTTGTTTACCTAGTATTTTACCAGTAATGACTGATTTGTTTACCTAGTATTTTACCAGTAATGACTGATTTGTTTACCCATTGTTTTACCAGTAATGAATGATTTGTTTACCCAGTATTTTACCAGTAATGACTGATTTGTTTACCCAGTATTTTACCAGTAATGACTGATTTGTTTACCCATTGTTTTACCAGTAATGACTGATTTGTGTACCCAGTATTTTACCAGTAATGACTGATTTGTTTACCTAGTATTTTACCAGTAATGACTGATTTGTTTACCTAGTATTTTACCAGTAATGACTGATTTGTTTACCCAGTATTTTACCAGTAATGACTGATTTGTTTACCCAGTATTTTACCATACTTATGTTAATCACTTAATCAACATGACAAATTGTGTGTATCATGTTCTTGTTTCTTTGTTACAGAGATAGAGATCATATCTAATCCTAAAACAGTCATTATAGAGTTTGGTGGGGATTGTTTATTTAGTTGTGAGGCAAGATGCAGCATACCTCTAGTATATCAGTGGTTAAAAGATGGTGTTCCTATTGAGGGTGAGTTTATTAAGATGCAGCATACTTCTAGTATATCATTGGTTAAAGGATAGTGTCCCTATTGAAGGTAAGATTATTTATATGTAAAGTCAAATGATGAATATCTCAAGGTCACAGTAGCAATTGGTGAACTGAACTTTTTGTTTCCAACTGATATTTGTATAACCATATATCCAACCTTTACCAAACAAAAGACCCTTATTGTTTTGGGGTCAGTAGGTCAAAGGTCACAGTGATTATTAGCCTGTCAATCAAAACAATTTGAGAAAAAAACCTATTGATTTTTTTATCATTAGGTCAAAGGTCATGGTCACAATCAATATAGAGTGAAATTTGGGCAAAGGATTTGTTTTTCTTCATTTGACATATAGTATCAGCTGAATTGTCAGTCTTCATCGCCAAATCAAAAGCTTGAACAAATGCTGCCACAAATAACTTTCTTTCACTACAAATACATAAAGTTCACAAGTTAGCTAATAAATGTACACATATGCATCATCTATATGTTTTTATTTACTTTTAAGGTGAAATAAAACCATCTTTAGTATTGAAGAAAGTACAGAATTATGAACATCAGGGGTTGTACACATGTATGGTTTCAATACCTGGAACAAAAAATATTAGATTATCATACCCTGCCAGTCTGTCTATTAAGACCAATGACAAACCAGAGTTTAATCGTGAGTACTTAATACCCTAGACAGTAAAAACTTCATACATTTAATTGAAATGAAAAAATAAGGAGCTAGCTGGATATTTTTAGCCTAAAATAAGACTTTAATATGCAATCACTGTATAAACCAAATATAGACTTTAAGCAATTTTCAAACTACTCAAACTATGCAAGAAAACTGACACTGAAAAATTTAGCAGGTTAGTTTTTCAGTAAGATATTGTGTGAATGGGTGTGAAAAATTTATATATGTTTTTGCAGGTAGATATCTCGTGGAAATTAATATTACAATTTCAATTAAATTGTATCCCTTAGTAAAAATCAGTTATCTCCGTTTTGGTACTCATAAAAGAAATGGAATATACATACATGTATACAATAATGATAATACAGTAAATCAAATTTAGAATGACAGAAAACTTTATTAAAAAAATGAATAAAAGATAAGTGCAAATTTGAATAATCAGATAAAATGTCCTTTCTATTTTTAGCTAGCTATAAAACCAGGTGTGCGTCTGTTCGTTTGTCCGTCCGTCCGTTCGTCCGTCCGTCCATCTGTTCGTCTGTCTGTCTGTCCCTCTTCAGGTTAAATTTTTTGGTCAAGGTAGTTTTTGATGAAGTTGAAGTCCAATCAACTTGAAACTTAGTACACATGTTCCCTATGATATGATCTTTCTAATTTTAAGGCCAAATTAGAGTTTTGACCCAATTTCATGGTCCACTGAACATAGAAAATGATAGTGCGAGTGGGGCATCCATGTACTATGTACACATCCTTGTTTTTATTCAGTTTCCTAAAATACATAGACTTTGATTTTCTATTTATATTAAAAGATTTCAGGTCAATAAATTATCCTATAATAGAAAAGCAACTTTTTTCCCTCTATTGATAAAACATTATAACATGATTTTTGAAATATTTTCAGCTAGCGACAAAGTTGCTCTACTTATAGGAAACTTTGACTATAGATGTGAGTCACCATTAAGTGCTCCAAAGTCAGATGTTTACACCATGGCAGAAATTTTCAGAAGTTTGGACTTCAAAGTTGTTTCATTGCTTAATTTAACAAAATTGGAAATGCAGTCTGCAGTTGAGGAATTTGTAAAACTGATAGGTAGTGAGGTATATGCTGTATTTTATTTTTGTGGACATGGTTTTGAGGAGGAAGCTAAATGTTACTTAGTTCCTCCTGATGCTAGACATGGATATACAGTAGAAGACTGTGTTTGTGCTGAGGACGTGTTAAGTCAGATGCAGAATTACACAGAAACCTCACCAGCTCTGATTGTACTCATATTGGACATCTGTAGAATCAGGTATGTTATCTTAAAGTTCTAATATTCTTACAGTAGCAGGTGGAATATATGGGAAACTTTACAGCTCTGATAGTTTGTTCTATCACATCTGTAAAATTAAGAATATTTGGGAAATTTTTCAAGCTCTTATAATGATATTTAAGTATTTTGATATTATTTGTTCCTCATTCTGTTATTCAAGTTCAAAATAGTAACATTTTAATATTTTCCTTGATTTAATTGTATTCATCAATATTAACTCAAGCTATTCACAAACAAATGTCTTTTTTTGGAATGACATACTGTATACCTGAGAAATCTATACCCCTGTGTTGATATGTATATATATGATAATCTGTTGATTTTATAATACTGGTTAATACAGATAATAATTTATTTTCAGGAATTTGCAACCACCTACAAATCGAGAACAGGATGCAATGGCCTCTAATCTAAGCAACATTCCAATGAAAGGCAACACAGTGTTCTGTTATGCTACGTAAGATTTTTAGTTATTGTGTAATGTATATATCATGTAGAAATGACAAGTATATGCAAGATCTAGTTTCTACATCTTTAACTTTCTTTTTACTGTAATATAATTTATGAAGCAACTTAGATATCTATCTTTCTTTGAAATCTTCCATTTTTGCTTAATAGACCTTTGAAAAAGCTTTTAAATAAATTGAAAATTGGAAATCTGTGCATATTGAGTTCTTGATTGGCCTTTTTACAGTTTGAAACACAACTAGTTTATTTCAACTATTTTTATCGGTCGTATATTGGTATGACGTTGGCGTCGTCGTCGTCGATGTCGTCGCCGTCCGAAGACACATTGGTTTTCGCACTCTAACTTTAGTTTAAGTGAATGGATCTCTTTGAAATTTTACCATAAGGTTCAATACCACAAAAGGAAGGTGGGGATTGATTTTGGGGGTTATGGTACCAACAGTTAATGAATTAGGGGCCAAAAATAAGTATTTTCTAGTTTCCAGACAATAACTGTGGAACGGTGTATGGATCTCTCTGAAATTATACAACAAGTTTCCATACCACAAAGGGATGGTTAGGATTTGCTTTGGGGGGTTATGGCTCAAACCGTTTAGGAATTAGGGGCAAAAAAGGGGGAAAAACAAGGTTGTCCTGGTTAATGGACAAATACTTTAGTACAAAACATAATTTAAAGCAGTGTAAGGGAGATAAATCAAATACATCATTGAAATTATCTCCCGTACACTGCTTTTAAATTATGTATAAAGTAATGGTTAATGAACAATTAAGATAATTTAAAACAGTGTAAGGGAGGTAATCCAAATACAACGTTTTGGTTACTTCCTTTACACTGCTTTTAAATTATGTTTAAAGAAATGCATATATATAAAGGAAGACCAGTAAAAATATCTGCAAATGTTGCATCTTTTTTTTTACAAAAAAATCCATATGAAAGATTTGACACTAAATTTTAAATTCTTTTATAAAATAGATTAAGTTAGCACTATGGTAAATTTAAATGGGTAATTATGGTTGCAAACTCCATTGGAAATTTGAATTGAGATTATGACCATATCTTGAGGGAAAGAATTTTTTTGGGGAAAAAAGGGGGGGGGGGGGGGTGGGGGGTGAAAAGAAATTGTGGAGGGTTAATTTTTTCTCATTTCAGATTTCAGAAATTAAAAAAAATTATTCTTCAAATATTGAAAAATTTCAAGAAGTAATCTTTAATTGCACAGTATGGCGCATTAGATTTGTAAAATCTTTGACCACATTTATTTATTTGTTATGCCGAATCTAACCGTGTATTTAGATTTTTAATTTTGGGTCCAGTTTTCAAATTGGTCTACATTAAGGTCCAAAGGGTCCAAAATTAAACTTTATTTGATTTCAACAAAAATTGAATATATGGGGTTCTTTGATATGCTGAATCTAACCATGTATTTAGATTATTTATTTGTGGACCCCGCTATCAAATTGGTTCATATTGAGGTCAAAAGCGTCCAAAATTAAACTTCGTTTGATTTCATCAAAAATTGAATTATTGGTGTTCTTTGATATGCCAAATCTAACCGTGTATTTAGATTTTTAATTTTGGGTCCTGTTTTTTAAATTGGTCTACATTAAGGTCCAAAGGGTCCAAAATTAAACTTAGTTTGATTTTAACAAAAATTAAATTCTTGGGGTTCTTTGATATGCTGAATCTAAACATGTGTTTAGATTTTTGATTATGGGCCCAGTTTTCAAGTTGGTCCAAGTTGGGGTCCAAAATTAAACTTTGTTTGATTTCAACAAAAATTGAATATATGGGGTTCTTTGATATGCTGAATCTAAACATGGATTTAGATTTTAGTTTTTTGGCCCAGTTTTCAAGTTGGTCCAAATTGGGGTCCAAAATTAAACTTTGTTTGATTTCAACAAAAATTGAATATGTGGGGTTCTTTGATATGCTGAATCTAAACATGGATTTAGATTTTAGTTTTTTGGCCCAGTTTTCAAGTTGGTCCAAATTGGGGTCCAAAATTAAACTTTGTTTGATTTCAACAAAAATTGAATATGTGGGGTTCTTTGATATGCTGAATCTAACCATGTATTTAGATTTTTTATTTGTAGGCCCGCTATCAAATTGGTTCTTATTGATGTCAAAAGGGTCCAAAATTAAACTTTGTTTGATTTCATCAAAAATTGAATTATTGGTGTTCTTTGATATGCCAAATCTAACCGTGTATTTAGATTTTTAATTTTGGGTCTTGTTTTTTAAATTGGTCTACATTAAGGTCCAAAGGGTCCAAAATTAAACTTAGTTTGATTTTAACAAAAATTGAGTTCTTGGGGTTCTTTGATATGCTGAATCTAAACATGTGTTTATATTTTTGATTATGGGCCCAGTTTTCAAGTTGGTCTAAGTTGGGGTCCAAAATTAAAATTTTTTTGATTTCAACAAAAATTGAATATATGGGGTTCTTTGATATGCTGAATCTAACCATGTATTTAGATTTTTTATTCGTGGGCCCCGCTATCAAATTGGTTCATATTGAGGTCAAAAGGGTCCAAAATTAAACTTCGTTTGATTTCATCAAAAATTGAATTATTGGGGTTCTTTGATATTCCAAATCTAACCGTGTATTTAGATTTTTAATTTTGGGTCCGGTTTTTTAAATTGGTCTACATTAAGGTCCAAAGGGTCCAAAATTAAACTTAGTTTGATTTTAACAAAAATTGAATTCTTGGGATTCTTTGATCTGCTGAATCTAAACATGTGTTTAGATTTTTGATTATGGGCCCAGTTTTCAAGTTTGTCCAAGTTGGGGTCCAAAATTAAACTTTGTTTGATTTCAACAAAAATTGAATATATGGGGTTCTTTGATATGCTGAATCTAACCATGTATTTTGATTTTGGACATTGGACCATAATAGGTAAATTAAAAAAATTCAAGTTCTTAGACCACATTCTTTCTGTGTCAGAAACCTATGCTGTGTCAAATATTTAATCACAATCCAAATTCAGAGCTGTATCAAGCTTGAATGTTGTGTCCATACTTGCCCCAACTGTTCAGGGTTCGACCTCTGCTGTCGTATCAAGCTGCGTGCAGCGAAGCATTTTATTTTTACTAAATTGAAATTCTGAAACAGATTTACTTTGTTCATGGTACAAGATCAGTTTTTTTCTCTGTATATTGTTTAAATATGTATGAAATCTATTTGATTTACAGCAACAAATTTTACAGTATTTTAAATTAGGTGTTTCTGTATTGGCCAATAGTCAACAGATATGAAACAAAACATGTCATTAGGAAAGGGTTTGAAATTTTCAGGTTTCAAATCATAGTCAAATATGGAACTTAATTTGTTTTTATGTCATTTTAAGAAAAAATGATATAAATGATATTATTCCATATTGGTATAATTTTAGTAGGGTTCTCTAAATGAAATGGATTTTGAATAATATAGCATATACACCTGAATAAATTATATTCACTGGACTAAACATTACATGTTTTAGTCATTTATATGATGAATATTAATATTTATTTTCTTTATAGGAGCAAAGGAATGTATGCCTATGAAGATATTCATAATGGAATATTAGTTAAATATTTGAAGAAATATTTGCCAAAACAGATGAGTGTTTTAGATGTTTTCACAAGTGTACAAGAAGGTATGATTCAAAGATTTTCTAAGCTTTAAACTTCTACATGTCCTTAGAAAGGGAAGGTGTAAACAGGAAAAGAAGGTGTGGAAAATGCTTTCTAGTGTGACATATATGTAGTTGTCTGTATGTTTTGCCATCCATGCAATCGCCTGTATATCCAGAACAAATTTGACATATATGGTGCCTCTATCCCTCAGTGTATTTTCCTGTCCATCCAGACAGATATTTTGGATTATAATGATAACCAGTGAACATGGTAATGCTATGTTGTCTTCATTGATAAAAAGAAAAATTAATCTTTTTTAATGAAAAATAACTATGCATGCTGAATTAAAATTTGTTTTAAACTGAACACACTGAGTTATGCCATCTTTATTCCACCTTTTTTATGAAGTCAACATTTAGATTTGTTATATACCTAGTAGTTAATACAAGTAAATTGTGTACATAAAATAACCAGTGACAATCTTTCTGTATCAACCATCTATTGCTATCAGTCATGGATGGCCGAAGGACCAAGTGAGCTTTTATCATCACTTGGCATCTATTGTTGAAGTCCTTGGTTGTCGTCCTGTTCATCCATTAACTTTTACAAAAATCTTCCCCTCGAAACTACTGGGCCAAATTTACATAAAAACTGTCAGATGATGTCATATAGGAGAAAAATCTTGAAGGTAGACGGATATGAATAGATAGAAACTTGTGAATTACTTAAGACTTGAAGTTATTTATAATTTGTAACCAAAAACAATTACGTAAAATTATGTTCCTTAAATAAGTGTAATTACTAATTCTTTTAAAGATGTATAAAATAACTTATTCAAGTAATATTTTTGTCATTATTTTTTAAGTAACCCTTTATGTCTATGCTCCTCTCAAATCTAATACATTCTTAATTTTATGTAATAAAATGATGTAAAAATTCATGAAAACTACATTTAGTCCATGTTTCTATTGATATTTAAAATAACTATTGAGTAATTATATATTTTTTAAAAACAAAAATTACTTGTTTAAGTAACGCCCCTGACTATTAGGGTTATTGCCCTTTATTGACAATTTGTACCAATTTTTTGCTTTAATGCCTTATATTTTAAAAACTATTATAGAAAGATAGAATCTTCAAATGGCAAAAATGATCAGCACAACAGGATCTAAAAATAAGTCAACATAGACAAAATCTGCTGTCAACTACTTATTAGAGTTATTGCCCTTTAATGACAATTTTACAAATTTTTTCCATTTTTGCCTAACATCTTTAAAACTGTAATAGATAGATAGAAACTTTGAAAAGCAAAAATGATCAACAAGGCAAGATTTACAAATAGGTCAACATAACTGAAATCATAGTGGACTGCTTATTGAAATTATTGCCCTATAATGATGAATTTCCCCATTTTTATCGCCTATTATCTTGAAAACTGTAATAGATAGATAGAAACTTTTAATAGCACAAATGATCAGAAGATCTAAATGATAGAAAGAAACTATAAAAAGGAAAAAATTATCAGCAGGATAAGATCTACAAATATGTTTGCATGACTGAAATTGTCAGTTAACTCTTAATAGAATTATTCCCCTTGAATGATGATTTTTACTAAAAAGTGGCCATTGTTGAAGTTGTTTCTGGTTGATACTGGTGTGATATTGAAACAGCCATATAATATACTCTATTTATTTTTTTCAGATATAGGAAAGGAATCTCAATATTACCACATTCAGATACCAGAGATTAAGTCTAACTTATTACAACCTAGACGATCGCTGGCAGACAGGATCTCTACAAAAGGCCATACAAAAGCTTACAACCAGAGAACGTTATTGTGGAACAATGCTCATGGTAAGTTTAACTTATTACAACTTAGACGATCGCTGGCAGACAGGATCTATACAAAAAGCCATACAAGAGCTTACAACCAGCGAACGTTATTGTGGAACAATGTTCATGGTTTGTCTAACTGTTTTCAGCCTAGATCTTTGCTGGCCAAAGAAAATGATTTCTATGAAAGAACATGTAAAAAAGCTTATAATTAAAATGCTGTACTGTGAAAAAAATATGAGGAATCTCTGGGCAATTAAAAATATTAGTTAAAAAAGGACAGGAGTTAAACCAAGTGATGGAGAAGAGTAAGCACTTCCTGTTAATTTATTGGTGCCACTCTGTTTCTCATTTAAAATGTTGAATATTTATTTTTAAAGAGTAATGGGTATTGTGACCGGTAAGGAGTACAGGATTATGACTATGATAATTGAAACCATATGATAGTAGACTATGACATAGATATTCTGTAATGGTCCATCAAGTCACAATGATTATGGTGACCATAAAACTTACAAAGAGATGACAACTATTAAATCATAATTCAGTAACTTCCCTGAAAGAATGATTATGTAAAAATACAAGGTTAAACTCACCAGAAATTTATATTTTCGGTATTTCGGACACATAGTGAAACAAGCATTAACATACATGTATAGAATAAAATAATATTCTATTCAAGTATATTATTTTTTTAATTGTATTTGATAGAATTAATTACATGATTATAAACCTTTTTTTTTAGAAAAGCCTCGATCAAAAGAGATAGAAATTCCTGCAATAAATGGAAAAGTTTTGTTAGAGTTTCAGACAGAATTCTCTAACATGCTGACAATATTCTGCACAGTTATGCCAATGACAATGGGAAAATCCTTAAAGTATCATTTAGGATGTATTGCTCATTTACCCAAGGTAAATTAATCATTATCTTATATAAATAATGTCGTATCGTCTTGCTGATCACATTTTGGAAATCTTGGTAGTGATATATCATATAATCACTAATGATTAACCTTATCTACACACTTGTTTTGCAATTACGTCAATCTCCATTGGAAAATAACTGAAATGCCATGTAATAGCCAAATTTATGCCAAATGAGACAGAAATTAAGAATTTTTGTTTCCATTCCTGACTTATATATGCCAGCATAGGAATGCCACTTGGAACTTGTGCCAGAGCTTTTATTTTTTACCAAATGAACAAAATCATACACTTCAGAGACAATTCTTAATTCTGAAAGGTCAATTTTAAAGATCTCCTGTTGAACTATATGGCCAAATTGTTTCCAACAGGAATGTTGATTGAGCTACCCTTTAAAAATACCAGTATTCCTCATTTTGAGTTTATAGGTCAGCATACATGAGGCAGTTTTGATTTTTAAAACAATTTTTGGTTTTAATTTGTGAAATTTTCAAATTTCTTCTCTGGAACTTTAACTCCTAATATTTCCAAACTTAATAGGAATGATTATTAGTTTGTTCTTTACCAAAAATGTTATATTTATGCTGATGATGTTGCAGTTATTCTGCTTGGACAATTTTTAATTCTAATGCAATCATTTTGTATCAATGATTTTGATTGGATGACAACAAGTGTAAAATCCTCTACCTGTCCTGAACAATGGGAAGCCTACATTTTTAATTCTGGAATGTATTGACCTGTTATTTCCTCAATAATAAATAAAAAAACTCACATTTTTCGCCTAAAAGTGTTCCTTTTGTCGAATTTTATTACATTCTGAGGCATACAAAAAGACTGAAAACACCCGGATTTTACATTTGAAGATGGAAGCATACATGTAATGTCACTTTGTTTAGTTACTAAAGACAATAACATCATTTCATGGAATGTTCGTTTTATGAAATTTTACACTGAAATAAAGACTGATATTGACTGATTAGTTGATTTTGCATTAGAATAGAGATAACCATATTGTATTTGAAGCTTGGCCTACGTAAAACTTGGTTTTACTGTCGCAAATAGCCGTTTTCCAGCTTTGCTGTGTAAACTCAATTTGCAACAGTAAAACCCTCTTTTAACGTAGGCCAAGCTTCAAATACAATACAGTTATCCCTTAAATTAAAAAAAAAAAAAAAGAATAATTAAATATTTTTATGAATTACAAAACATAAGGTGGTTGAAATAGCTGTAACAGATTAGTGTGTACCAATTATTATTAACAAAAGACATGGATACCAGTCATGGTAGCTCTTTTTATGCCCCCGCCGTAGCGGAGGTGGCATTAAGCTTTACCCTTGTCCGTCTGTATGTCCGTCCGTCTGTACGTCCCAAAGTTGGTTTCCGTACTCAAACTTTAGTTTGCCTCAATTAAATGTTCTCAAACTTATACACAATGCTAATTACCGCAAAACACAGATCGAGTTTGAATTTTGGTGGTGTCACTTTCACCGTTCAAGAGTTATGCCCATTTACAAATGGAAAAATTGCTGAATTTTTCGTTTCAGTTCTACAACTTAAGTTTACCTCAACCAAATGTAATGAAACTTATACACAATGCTTATTACCACAAAATACAGATCAAGTTTGAATTTTGGTGGTGTCACTTTTACTGTTCTAGAGTTATGCTCCTTTACAAATGGAAAAATTGCTGAATTTTTCATTTCTGTTCTCTTAGTAAACTTAAGGTTGCCTCAACCAAATGTTATGAAACTTATACACAATACTTATTACCACAACACTCAGATCAAGTACAAATTTGGGTAGCATCACTTATACCGTTCTTCAGTTATGTCCCTTTATAACTTTAAATGATATGCAAGCGGGGGCATCATCTGTGTCCGATGGACACATTCCCCATTTATTAAAAAACAAAAGCACCTAAACACAACCTTGCAATATCCTCATCAAATTATGTATATCTTAATAGAGGTTCGTATTTTTATAACCAGAGATGTTAAAAGACGTCTATGTGGAGTAAGTGGAAAGTATATGCAAAAATTAGATTTCAAATACAGTCGACACTCGTTATCTCGAAGTCAGTCGGACCAGAAATATACTTTGAGATACTCGTAGTTCGATTCTCACGAATAAGTTGGAAGTTTGATAGTCCAAGGGATACAACTCTTGCTTAGCTTGGTAAGGCTAAAATAAATCTATAGAGGAATATGGGTAGGGGATCAATATTATGGTCTAAGATTGCTGAATCTGTATGTAATGGTCTTTTATTATTATAATAAAATCATATGTTTTTTGTCTTCGTAATTTCTTTGTACAGGAACAATATTTTTCTTGTGGTTTTGATTTTTAAGTTAACAAATTGTTCATTCTCATATACAAGTGATTTGAGAAAATTTGGATTTCATTTTCTTCGGTTTCGATCTTCTTCTGAAAGAAAATGCAAAGGATTTGATCGCTCAATCCTCACTTTATGCACAAACAAGCTTATTAATGTTTGATTACAGTTAAATGATTATAAAACATTTAAAATAATTTTTCCTAATCTATGAATATGTGTCGCTAATTATTTATTATGATGATGAAAGATCATCTTAGGTAGACACTCATGGGAAAAGAATGTCATAAATCAATACAGTGGTCAGTTAACGAAAATTTGATAACAAGTGTATTGGCAGATAAACTCGTCAAGCCATTTAAATCCCAGAGATCAGGTTTTGACATAAGTGAATTGGTTAGAGATAGAAAATTTTATGCAATTTAAGTGTTTTGGTTAACCTTGTCTTTTCGTTGTTTTTAATTCTCTGCCATAGCATTGTCAGTTTGTTTACAACTTATGAGTTTGAATATCCCTTTGGTATTTTTGTCTTTTTTTTTTACATATTATATAAAACCCTGTCTATTGCTGAAGACTGTATGTTGTATTCTAATGTGAGAGAACCCAGTTTGCACTGATTTTGACAGTTTATTTATTTAAGAAACAGACAAAACTTTCCATTCTGTAGATATATCCTTATTTACTAGATAGTTCCATAAATTTAATTTTGAATTCATACTAAAAAATGGAAAAATTGGTTTGAACCAATCTCCAAACGACCCAAGATTCTGTAATGAGGATCACCTAAATTGCACCCATGATGAACTCTACACTTTCGTAAAAATTGAATAACTGATGTTTTGTTTTATTTCTCAATTTTTTCTTAACAATTTGACAATAGTTCATGCACTTGTTATGCATTTTGTATGAAATGGATGTCTGTGACATATTTTAATTTCGCATCTTTAAAAGTCAACTTTTTGTAGACAACGCATAACAAAATCATAAAAATACAAATTGTTTAGTCTCTCAGAAGAAAACCAATAAGATGCAATTTGGAGGGGGGGTCGGACCTTTATCGGGACTCCGGGATCGGGTGTTTTTAAGCTCGGGATTTCGGGATTGATCCTTTCGGGATTCGGGAATTCTTTTTTCGAATTTCGGGATGCCGGGATTTAAATTTCTTTAAATTTTGGGACCTCGGGATTACATGTTTTTAAGCCCGGGATTTCGGGATCAGGACCCCTCCGACCCCCCCTCAATTTGGGTACTGTTATATTAGATGTCTTTTGTGTTGTTGGGTTGTTGTCTCATTGATGTGCACCCTACATCTCCTTTAATTCATATAAAGTTGTATGTGTGTAGAGTAGGGGAGAAGGCATTAAAAGATGTCTACATGAATAATTGATTTAAGAACAAATTGAGACTAACAATTGCTGTTTCAGGTTGTTCTGGTAAGGTGTAAAGTGCTTAACTAATGCTTATAATAGTGTGATTAACAAATTATTGACTATATTAGATTGTTTCATCTCTAAATATTTTCTTCAACACCTGTCAACACCATATTAGGAAGTTCAATTGAATTTCATTTAGAAAAAAAGAATAAATTTGCACGCTATCCTCTATTTATCTTTCACACAGGGAAAACTTAAAGTGTTTTCAAACCTTCAGTTAATCATCACATTCAGTGTCAACTTTACAGATATAATGGACCAGCTTTTTACCTCCGTCATACATAACTTATCTCTTGTGGTGGTTATTTATTTGTAATATTGGACAATAAATATGTGAACAATAGAATACTCCACAGAGAATATCATGTAAATACACAAATTAAAAACTGTACAAAACAAACAAATAATATCAGACTTGGGTGTCAAAAGCTGAATTTAAAGTTATATGTTTTGTACACTTGAATGGTTAAGTTTTAATATAAAACACATGTACATGAACTTCCTTTTAAAAGAAAATCCTTTATCTTTTCAAAATCTTCAGAAATGCTCTGCTATTGAAATATTGTTGTCCTGTAGGCTAATTCATTGATAGCTTTTCCGTATGCATTGACCTTAATCACAATACCTTTCGATAGAACTTCTGCAACTACACTGCGCAAATGGGAGGGGAAACCATGATGAAAGGAATGTAAACAAACCTGCACTAAAAGATAAAAAGTGTTAATTGATTCTGAAAGAACAATTTAATACACAGAATCATTTAACTGTTAAGACAAAGTTTAATTAACAAATAGAAACGCATGGAAAATATATTTTAAACAAATTATACATTGCTATTGAATGTCTAATTTCACTTATTTTCACGTGCTCCACAAGTCTGTGTTGATTGTTTATTAAGGTAACATTCAATAAACTTCGATAATAAAACAAAAAAGTTAATTAGCAGGGACAGTTGTTAACTTATTACAAGATTTATCATGTTTTGCTGAAATTGTAGTTAACACAATTATTGAAGCTATATTGCATCAAATATTGGTAAAATTACCCTAAATTGTCTAATTTATAAGATAAGATTGATAATTATGACTGCAAATCAAGATGATCACAAGTACTGTGTTTTGAAAATATTTTTGATTTGTTTTGTTCCCCTCCTCTCGGACTGGATCGTAACACTTGGCTAGCAAAGATGTGTTTTTGTGGGTATGTCCTGATATTTTGCATTTGTTTTTGTCCACTTTTTGTCCTCAGTATTTGTAAATCATCACTTAACCTTAGTGGATTTGGTATCTTTTACATCAAACCTTGATCTGTCATTCTAGGTGGGGATTTGTTTTTAGGTATGGCTGACTATTGTAAGTGGTGTATAGACAAATATTAATCACCACAGTACTTATTTTAAAGCAACGGATAAATAGCTTTTTTCCTTGCGGAAATGAATATCATATTTCACACTACAAACGAGCTAAATGCTTTAATTGATATCCAAATTCCTAAACGAGCTAAATGCTAACAATATCTAATAAATTTAATGTTTTTTGTCAAAGATATTTTGTTAAGGAAAATGAGTCAGAATTGTTGATTGGTAGTTATAAAAAGGATATGTGGACTATACCTTAATGATGTAACAGCAACCCAACGACACATGTTTGGTTCATTATAAACAGATGATCTGACTGTCAACCAAAACTCAGAGGAATTAACATATCTCTGCACTAAATTTGAAATGAATTATATCTTGTTTAAAAACACATTTACAAGCTAAAATAATTTGGAGGCAGTATATTTATATAGAAAAGTTATATTTATTTACAGACAATATCAATATTTGGAAGTGTTAGTCAGGTTCATGATGACCCACCTAAGACAAAGATAGTTTTACAAGACTTGCAGAAATTAACAGTATGTATAACAATATTTAATTTTTCTGTTTATTAAGTGAGAAAAGTTTACTGAAAATATTGTATACTGCTGTTGTTTTAAAATGATACCACTATTGTCTATATTATCATAAAAAGAAATACAAAACAACCATATAAAGGTTCTGAGAAATGACATTATCTTACAACAGTGCATTTGATTTGTTAATTTTAAAAATGGTAGATACATTTAAAATAGGAGATGTTGTATTTTGCCAATAGAATTGCTGTCTACCAGAGACCAAAGAACGAGGATGTAAATAACTATTGGCCAACATATGGCCTTTAACAATGAGCATAACCCCTACTTTGTAGTAAGCTATTAAATATACCAACTTATTATTATTATTCATAGGAATTACATATCAAAAATAAGAAAAATGGTACCAATAACAAATGATAAGTTGTCATTGCAAACAGAGCTAGCATTTAGGGTCTATATTGGAAAAGGATGCTAAACAAGTTATGCAGAAAAAGTTCTACTTTAACAGCTTCTCATTACTTTTTATCTCATTCAAATGCAACCAGAATTTGTATTACTCTTTATCAATTACAAGTCACAACATGAACCTAGGATGCAGTTTGCAATTTAAAAGAATAAATTGCCTTCAACATTCTTGGATAATTTTAACCAAAGCTGGTCCTAATAAACCTTAAAAATCTGCAAGGTGTTAAATGTTCTACTTATCGAGAAAGTATAAAGGTTTCTGATATATTTGTTTTTAGCATTCATATCCAATTATATATACTCTGGTTGCATAGAAAATATCATAAAATTCATTGAGATTGCCTATTTATGTAACTGTTACCTTAAGCTTAATGTTAGTATAAATAATATGTTAAGTTTGAAATGTCTTATGGTACAAGTTAATGTGAATAGTTAAAAAAAATCTTAATTGAGGGTGCATTGTGATGATTTTATCAGTGAAAATAAAGTATTAAAGCCTTCAGCGAACTGTCTAGTGGAAGATAAAACAACTATTTATTTTATAGATGGTTACTCTCAAAATATATCTTTTTTGCAGTTATTTGTTTTTTTTTTCAATTTTAGAAAGATTTAGAAGTTCAAGTATTTGTTGTGAATACAGAGACAAAACAGAGATATGAAGGGCCAAAAGTCAACTTAGGCAAACCTTTAGTTGGAATTTTAGATTTGTGGAAACCAAGACGACAACCAATCGAATGTAGTGAATCGATGTGAATAGTTAATATGTAAACATCAACCACAACCAATATAATGAAAGAATCAATTTGACTTACAGCATTTATTATTGTGACTTGCCACCAGAAAAACCTCATCAATATGGTTTATGTAACATGCTGTCAGATATATTACCGACTTGTATTAGATGTTATGTTTATTATAGTTTGACAGGAAGGGTAAATACTGGTTTATATCTGACATTAGAATTGCACGTATTAATCAAATGATGCTGAAAAGCAATCACTTTCAAACTCCTACATTCCTCTTTTTCTTTTGACAGGGCTCGACAATAACGCTTGTCCGATTGTCCGGTACCAGAGAAAAAAAGGGCGGACAAGTAAAAGCTATATCAAGCTTGTCCGATGGGACAAGTCAAATTATTCTGCATAAAATAAATTTAATCCAACTTTGATGAACAAAGTAATTATAAACAAAAAACAAGAAAATAAAATAAAAACAAGTATTAATTTGACATGTTTACTTGCAATCGATAATTTAAAATTGGTTCTTTGTCAGGTACTTTTTAACAGGTAAAAGACATACTATTATCGGAAACCAGTCTTACTGATCCGAATAAGGGATGCGCTTTTTAGATAGATAACTTTACAAGACAGTTCGCCACCAGCTTGGAAACGATTCGGCTCCAAGTTTAATAGACAGTTTGGCACCGTAGGAGACATATTTAATAGACATGATAAATAGACAGTTTGGCTACGCAGTAGAAATTTCGGGACCAAGACAAATCAGTACGGGACCAAGACAAATCAGTACCTCGCTTTCCTACCTTGATTCTGTTGCTTTATTATAAATATCAAACCAGTAATTTTTTAACAAAAATATTTTTTAAATAAAAATGAAGAAATTATTTACCATAAAATTCACAAAATCATATTTGATCATATGTAGAAAAAAAAACAATACTTGCAATACAGTGACCTATAGTTGTTAATTTCTGTGTCATTTGGTCTCTAGCAGAGAGTTGTCTCATTGGCAATCATACCTCATCATCTTTTTTTATTGATTGCATTTGAATAAACTTTTTTCAACTTAAAAAACAGGATACAAATCCAATAAGTGTACATTGACAGGCCTATCAGACGGTGCCTCATGTGCAGAGTCTGATGGCATTGATGAAAACTAGAACCTTAAAGTCCTGTGACATGACTAGATTCAGTTGTTCTCAACTCATATTTTTGAAAAGCATATCAAAAGATATAAAACTAACTTCTGTTATGTTGTTTTAATTCATTTTGTTCCTTGAATCAACTTAAAATGCCAAAAAAGGTTATTATTAAGATTTTTTTTGGACAAGTTACAATTACATTCGGACAAGTAAATTTTGGTATGTACTTGTCCTACTGGACAAGTTGAAAAAAAAGTTATTGTAGAGGCCTGTTTGAGATGTTTATCTTTCAGAAGTTAGAGCGAGTCAATATCTGTTCTAAACATAGAGATCTGTCCATATTAACTACTATGCCACTTTAATATACATTTATACAGCAGTTACAGATTTTTGTTGTACTTAGGTATACCATATAATATAAGGATATGTAGAATGTTTGCCAATGAAACAACTGTCAACTAGAGACCAAAGGTCAATGATATAAACAGCTACAGGTCATTGTATTTTCCCACTGTTAAGACATACAATGTATTTTTTAAATTCTTTAATATCCCTGCTGCATGAATTTGCAATAAATGCCTGAATTCTTGGACCTTACTTCAACACATTTTTATTTTGGTGGTCTTATTTGACCATAGGATATTTGGACGATCACTTTTGAAATGCCCCTTTAAACATTTTTAGCTCACCTTGCCCAAAGGGCCAAGTGAGCTTTTCTCATCACTTGGCGTCCGTCGTCCGATGTCCGTCGTCGTTGTCGTCCATGTCCGTCGTCGTTAGCTTTTTACAAAAATCTTCTCCTCTGAAACCACTGGGCCAAATTTAACCAAACTTGGCCACAATCATCATTAGGGTATTTAGTTTAAAAAATGATTCCGATGACCCCGCCAATCAACCAAAATCGTCAGTCGACCCCTTTAGGAGTTATTGCCCTTCATAGTCAATTTTTAACAATTTTTCGTAAATTTTTGTAATCTGCTACAAAAATCTTCTTCTCTGAAACTACTGAGACAAATTTAACCATACTTGGCCATAATCATTATTAGGGTATCTAGTTTAAAACTTTGTCCGATGACCCCGCCTTCCAACCATCATGGCTGATTTGGTTGAAAATAGAACATGGGGGGTAAAATGCAGTTTTTGGTTTATATCTCTGAAACTAAAGCATTTAGAGCAAATCTGACAGGTAGCAAAAATGTTCATCAGATTTAGATTTATCTGCCCTGAAATTTTCAGACGAATCCAACAACCCGTTGTTTGGTTGCTGCCCCTGAGTTAGTAATTTTACAGAAATTTTGCTGTTTTTATACGCCCGTCAAATTTTTGACGGGACGTATTATGTTATACAAATGTCCGGCGTCCGTCCGTCTGTCTGTCCGTCTGTCTGTCCGTCTGTCTGTCCGTCTGTCTGTCCATCTGTCTGTCCGGCGTAAACATGTCGCACCGTAACTTGAGAATGACTTATCCAAATTTCATGAAACTTAACATAGTTGTTTCTTATGATGGTCAAACGATCTGTATACTTTTTGGTGAAAATAAGATTAAAACTTTTTGAGTTACGGGACTTAGTAACTAAAACAGGTGTGTGTTTTTTTTCACCTGTCGCGCCGTATCTCAAAAACAATTTATGATTATTGCTTAAAACTTTACACAATTCTTAGTTATATTAATCTTAAGATCTGTATACTTTTTGGTGATGATTCAAAATTTTATTTTTGAGTTATTGAGTATTTTGTTAAAAAGGGGGAGGGGTTTTTCACATGTCACGCCGTATCTCAAATACAGTTTATGATTATTGCTTAAAACTTTACACACTTCTTAGTTATATTAACCCTAAGATCTGTATACTTTTTGGTTTTGATTCAAAATTTTATTTTTGAGTTATTGAGTATTTTGTAAAAAAAAGGGGGAGGGGTTTTTCACATGTCGCGCCATATCTCAAAAATGATTTATGATTATTGCTTAAAATTTTACACACTTCTTAGTTATATTAATCTAAAGATCTGTATACTTTTTGGTTTTGATTCAAAATTTTATTTTTGAGATATTGATTTTTTTTTTTTTAAAGGGGTGTTTTCACATGTCGTGCCGTATCTCAAAAACGATTTATGGTTATTGCTTAAAATTTTACACACTTCTTAGTTATATTAATCTAAAGATCTGTATACTTTTTGGTTTTGATTCAAAATTTTATTTTATAGATATTGAGTTTTTTGTTTAAAAGGGGTGTTTTCACATGTCGCGCCGTATCTCAAAAACGATTTATGATTATTGCTTAAAATTTTACACACTTCTTAGTTATATTAATCTAAAGATCTGTATACTTTTTGGTTTTGATTCAAAATTTTATTTTATAGATATGGAGTTTTTTGTAAAAAAAAAAAGGGGGTTTTCGCATGTCACGCCGTATGTCAGAAACTATTTATGCTTATTGCATAAACATTCACACACAAGACGACGGGCGTATCATACGCTCATGGCGCAGCTGTTTATTTGTTATTATCTTAGATATCATTATAATATCTGATATCTAATACTATTAATTATAATTTTAACCTTATTTTACATGATTTCCAAAGCATCAGTAAATACAGGTGAGCGACACAGGCTCTTGAGAGCCTCTAGTTTCTCATGTTAGAAAACTCCTTTTGGACAATGCTTTGTTTTCTGCAATGGATAACAAACCCTTGAGTTCATGTATATATCCCTTTATTTTTGATGATGCATATTTTTTTAGCACCATGCCTTAATTCACCGTTTTAATGGTCATATATCAGCTCATTATTTCACTGCATGGATATACTATGTTCGTATGGTTGCTCAATTTCAGTCATATTTATTTTATAGTAGACTGAAATTTTAAAGATATCTTGTTAAAGTCATGTCAAAGTCTTTCATCATCATCCAGTGGTCAGTTGTATGTTTAATGTTTTTGCTTCAATGTACTTTAAATTCAGAAACTATTGCGGATTTTTATTAACGCGAATAATGTGACTGGGTGAGTATCACAATACTAAGAACTCACATTCTGATATACGATACATATATCTGTATTCAGATTTGCCTGAAGTCGCAATAATTAAAGTCTCATTTCTGTCTATTCTGTAAAAATCACAATAACAAATGCACTCAATAATTTCTGAATTTACAGTATTTGAATGTTTATGTTAATTATGTCTGTCTTAAGCTTAACTATATTTTTATTGTTATTAATTTGTATATTGTTAATTGATAGATTATCTGTTTTGTTGAAAGGACCTTATTAGTATATGAAAGATATACTGTTTTTTTAATGTGTCAACCCACCAATAATATGGAAAATCTTTAACCAATCATTATTGGAACATCTGATTGGCTGTCTCAATTGTTACATGCCTTTGAAGTGAAACCATTGAGTTGAACCAGGTTATACTCATCAAGTGAAAAGGATTAGGGAATCTTTCGTCCCTCTTTTATGAGGTCCTACAGGAACAAGACTGGATGCTTTGACAGGATAAGCATCTCCTTCTATGTAAACATCAATAGCATCTCTAACCATGCGAATCTAGACTCAGTCAAAATGTCATGACGGAAGAGGTCAGAATTAAAACATTTACAAATCAGGTTTATTAAGACAGCAAACACATACCTCTAGTGTTAGTTGAGTAACACACACATTCTATTTGTGATGATGACCATAAAATTATTGCAGTGTCGTTCTTCCTCATAACCCTGGTGAACAAGTTCTGCCTTATTAAATCACTCCTGATAATGAAGTATTTATAATATGATCATGCATGCCATAAAATTTCAAATGAGATATGTGAACAACACATGATGGAGCAGGTAGTATGTTATTAGCCATAAATGGAAAGTTGTTAATGGGGCAACTGATATTCAGATTTGTCATAGATTATAGTTGAAGTCGTCCACATATGTCAATTCAAGGATCAGTGTGGTTATTAACAAATTAAAAAATCAACATTTCCATTTTAGTAAAAAAAAAACATTGTTTAATGGGTTGATGTAGTCGATTCTATCATTTGGGCATGAGAAAGAGCAGTGTTATGTGTAGAACAAGTGTTGACATTATTACAAAATGATAATGATTGTGTTTTGAGATTATTGAATTTTTAAGAATCAACGTCTAATTAACACTGCTGGTTGAGTATACCGCATTTCAATATTTTGGAAGGCCATCTTTTTCCATACCAAGAATGGTTATTAGAATTTAAGAAAGGTGTATAGTTGAACCTCTAAATGAGTCTGCTATATATTCTTGATAATGATATTGTGAAGTTCTGGTAACCAAAATAAACAAGCTATATTTTCATCCTTTTTTATGCCAATATCAAAGATATAATGATACTTGATTCGATTTTTTTTAAAACTTCTCTTTATAAAATGATGTAGGTATACAAATGGCCTGCCTTTTACCCAAATACTGGAACAGTTCTGAACTGGATCCTTTAATAACCCGAAGTTCTTTTTCTACTTGATAGCTCATGCGATTCGCTATTTTGAGCCTTTGGCTAACAATTATCATTGTTTACAATGTTAACGTTCCTGGTTACAATATGGCCAGCAGGAATTTTTGTATTGGGACGAAGAACAACCAGAATCGGAGGGGTTGGATTAGAGATTAGAAGACATTGAGTGTCTTTAATTAATCGCTCCCTGCACACACAAAAAAGCAAAAGACAGGCGCTTTTATTCAAAGTCACAGTGAGGCCTTTAACAGAGAGCCAACATTCTAGCCTCACTGCAAGTTCAAGACGGCTGCTATTGATCTTTTTAATATTTGATCTTTTTTATTTTTCTCTTTACATGAACATACACTTGATCAAATCTTCAAATATATATCAGGATACTGAGTCTCAAGGTAACCATGTATATTATTTAATTCAATCATTCTGAATTATGGTGAACATTGAATGTAACTTTTTACATCAATTCATTGTGTAATAATTCATTCAGTAGAAGACTATTAAAGAACTGCATAAACTGTTTTGCAAATAACCTTTGATAAAAACTAGTCAGTCATGAGAATAAATTTGTACATACATGTTCTCGAACTATGACCAACAAATTTATTTATTTTTGTAAAAAATATCTCCGTACTAACAACAAAATTATTATATTTAAATTTACCTGTGTACGTTATTTTATTTAACACCACATTGTCCAAGGTTATACTTGTCTTTTTGACATTGTTTTACATTCCCCCTTTTTTATTTGATATTGTATTTATATTGTGTCATAGATCAAATTTATTCGTTTCGTGTATGTTTACTTGTTTTTGTTAATATTTCTTTTTGATTGAGTTAATCCATTTCAATTGATATTTTATAGTGTGTCTTTCTATGTTGTAAGGTTACACTACTATTTCAGGTTAGGGTGAAGGTTGGCGCCTGTTAAAACGTTTAAACCCGCTGCATTTGTTTGCACCTGCCCTATGTCAGGAACCTGTTTCAGTGGTTGTCGTTTGTTAATGTTGTTCATAAGTGTTTCTCGTTTCTCGTTTTTTACATAGATTAGATCGTTGGTTTTCCTCTTTGAATTGTTTTACACTAGTCATTTTGGGGCCCTTTATATCTTGCTGTTCGGTGTGAGCCAAGGCTCCGTGTTGAAGGCTGTACTTTGACTATAATTGTTTACTTTTTACACATTGTGACTTGGATAGAGAGTTGTCTCATTGGCACTCATACCACATCTTCTTATTTCTATGGGCAATTATTATATTATTTAAAAAACATAACGGTCGTCAGCATAAAGGAGCGGATCTTTTCACAAAAAATTGTACTACCAAAATTGATATGATAAAGAAAATTTTCATGACTTGCAAGTGTGTTTGCGTGTTATAGAAATATATAAAATGTGATATGATTACCAATGAGACAACTATCCATAAGAACCAAAAGGGCAAATATCAATTTATAGGTGAAAGATTTTTTGAAAAAAAAGCAATTGAACATTTTTTTGTGTATATACAATGATGTGCAGATGGATAATATTACAGATCCATAAACCTTTTCTAAACAGGAGCAATTCCGTCTTGCAGCCTTCCATCCAGAAAAAAATCTCACTGTTAGATTCTGCACTGTTATCTGTGTAAATAGAACAATACCATCAGTTCCAATATAGTCCGTTTTTCCATGTCCGATTTAATTTTATTACGATAACCATGTGATAACGTCAGAAATCCATGCAGTGTTTGGTACAATTCAATGTCGTCTGCATAAAAACATCAACGTATAGATGATGTCATCTTATGGTTGGTTTTCTTCAATTTGATGGGGTCAAGAAAAAAAGGGTGGACGAATATATAAGTTGAGATATATTGAAAAAGTATAACAAAAATACCGAACTTAAAGGCAAATTTAAAAAGGAGAAGTCCATAAAAACTGACAAAATCAAACGCCATCAATCAACGGAACAAGTGCAAAACAACTACCATATTCCTGACTTGGTACAGGAATTTTCCGAAGATAATGGTGGGTTAAACCTGGTCTTGTAACTAGCTTAACCGCCCACTTGTATGACAGTTGATTGTAGTTCCGTTATTTTGACAAAATTGCCAGTGGCAACACAATCGGACATATCAGGTAAATGTGACAATAATTGGGATTCAGCAGCCAAAACTGTATAAACATATATCACAGACATACAGCACAACTGACTGTAAAATTCACAAACATACAAATTAATATAAAAAAGACTGCAACAAAGAAGGTGTAGTAGATAGTAAATTTTAAATTGAACAATGACGTCAACAAAAAAAGTTTTTGTCGTTGGCAGAACATACCGTATATAGTAGATTTATATACATTTTCTCGATATTAAAGTAAAAATTAAGTAAATACTGGGACATAATATGTAATAGTCCCAGGTAATATAAATACAAGAATAAATGAAATAGAAACAACACTGTAAAAACCCTTTGTGTTTGAATTGCATCACAGGATCCACCGGCACCAGGAATCAAGCATTCCATTTGCCTCATTCGCCTGTGAAAAATTATGAGAAAACTTTATTTGCGTCCTGAAGTTTTCCAAAAAATTTAAGTAAATAAACAAAGTTTAGACATTGACATTATTCCGTTTTGACTTAAATAAAGATAGTTGTTGAATAATTATGATCCTCGTTTGTTTTGTTTTTGTTTTTTCTTTTGTTATATAAAGTAGATTCAAAAATATATACAATAAAGTTAAAACTGGTCTACTATGCATAAAGTTTCAGGTAAAACCAATAATAATCGCTGATGATTTGCTGGTATAATTTAACCCACTTTTACTAAGTAAAATATGACTTGGTGTTTATTTATGTGATTGTTAACTGTATAAGAAACACACAAAACACTTAAGATTAATAACATTATCTTATATACTAGAATTTCTTTGTGAGATCACTGATTTAATAAAAGTAAATGTTTGCACTCTCTGTTTACACTGAGATTTTGAAGTTTACTGGAATTCCCCAAATGCATTATATGACCGGCAGTCAAGACACAGTTAGTTATCAGCTCTTCAAGAATACAACAGTAAGAACGACTTTATTCTCATACAGAGCTTACAATTGACAAAATAACTGAATCAAAAGTTTCTGTGAGCGATGATGGTAAATATATACGCCCCTATGTCCTTTACAAGAAACCTTTGTTTTTATGTCATAGTTTATTACTTTTAGCTTAAATCAACTGTACATGTAGAAAATCATTAAAGATACCAGGATTATAATTTGTTACGCCAGACATGCGTTTGGTCTGTTGACATTTAGGCCAGATGATGCAGCTTTCAAGGAAATGTCGTCGTAGGTACTGTTAAAATATAAAATTAACAATTTACTGAAGCAAAATTTAACCCAATCTAAAGATATGAATTGTGACTTCCATATCTGATTTTTTAAAGGCAATTTCTGTCTTTATTGCTGACGGGTGACGACATATTGAGCGCATTATTAATATATTCTTCGAGTTGCCTCGGTTCCTGGCCAACTCGGCTTTGCGTTGTAAATGAGCCTAAATTCAAATTTATTGTTTGATAACCTATTTAAATCTTTGATTACGTGGAAATCCGAATGAAAAACTTCGTTCTTTCATTTGCTATTTCAAAATAGCCATCGTAGAGCAGCGACAAATAACTACTGAAGTATTCAGAGAAGTCCAGTTTATCATATTTCCATTCTATCGCTTATTTTGTCATTAAGTATTAGTATCTGTAAGACAAGCTTTATTGTATAATGAGTTTAGTTGTCACAACTGATGCTTTTTAAAAAAAACTCAAATTATAGTTCATTTGATCCAGTACTTATATTTCTCTGAACATATTAAATGTGCAGATATTAATGAATTGATTAAGTCGAAGTTGCAGAGCTATCCTGCCTTATATACATTACATTTGAATAAAAAAGAGTGGAACTTTAAAGCATGTATTTTATTATGTATCAAGAAGATATCGTTAAATACGTCAACATCTTAGTATTAAAATTTATTGATTAATTTCCCTGTTTTCAGTCTTCAAATGCACTAAACGTTTTATTAATTCATATTGATGTTCTTTAAAATAATTTGTGGGATGCAATTTTATATTATATTGTAATAATGAACCAATACCGATATAATTTACAATATGTTTATGTTAAATACTTCTCAAGTTTGTTATTATATATTTAAATACCTCGGACAACAAACTATATACTCAAATTACAAGGTCAAAAAGGAGAACAGTTTAAAATCAAATTGTTTGTTTTGAAACAAAATCATCAGTGTGCAGCAGAGAACTGAAAATTGAATAAAAGAAATCCTCAATAAGGGAACAAGTGGATGTTATCGCAAATAGACAAACGTGTTTTATAGTTTAATTTCCTCACTATTTTGTTTTGTCAAAATGAAATAACAGTCATGAATATACGATATTTTTATATATTATGACTATGCGTACGTAACTGGGAATTCCCAAATTGTTTAGGCTTCCTGGAAGTAATTACACAACGCTGCATACTCAACAGTTCAAGTAAGTATTTTTTTTATTCAAGACATAAATGATGGGTATGGGGAGTTACATTAAACCAATTGTAGAAAAGGGTGTTAATAAGTGCATCAAGGATTTTTTTTTCATAAATTGAAAGGGATCGGTTCCAACTTAGGAGCGAACAAATTGTTGAATATTTGTATTGCATATACTTTTTGACTTCGCCTTCTTTTTTCAAATTATGTCGGTGCGTCCCACGTTGTTTTTGAAAATCCTTGATCCACCAATGACTTAATGCTCCATAATCCTTCTTAAGTAACAAAACCAACGCTACGACCGAGCTTACGGGTGGGAGATATCCTAAGTTTAGGAGTGTTATTTTTTCCATATGATAGTAAGTCAAACATCATAAACTAGATAAATTCGACCCAAAACTCGAACGCTGTATGTACAAGAACCGATTTAATATGCTTCCCCTAAAGTAATGGTCTTAGCAAACAGACCCTTGGAACAGTTATAGTATTGGTATCTAGGTAAAACCATTTGTTTTTTTGTTAAAAAAAAAAAACCACTATGAGATTGTCTTATTCAGGACAGCCTTTAACTGTTTTAGCTAGTTTAGTCGAAAACTTGATCCTTGGTACACAATAAACATGTTCTAGACAATGCATATTTTAAAGTTTTTCTTGTCGTATAGCACACCAATGGGTCTCAGGATTGATCAAATGAAAGACCGACCGTAGGGAGGTCTTTTTTGGGCAACCCTGACACCACGAGATGTGTTTTACGACAAGAAAAACCTTAGCATGTGCATGATCTTACTTATATACCGTCAAAAGTATTATTTTCTGCAAAGATTTTCAGGAATTTTATCCTATTTTATCGATCACATTAAAGTGAGATATTCTTTTCCTAAGCGTTTAGGTATTAAACACGCCCTACGGCTCATTTTTATGAAAAATACAAGTCAATTTGTAAGTAATTTATCATATGAGCTATATAAAGCAATGCTACTTTTTTTTTCTCTTGTTACACACGACATCTTTATCACGGAAAAGTAAATATTCTTTCAACAATTTTTAACGAATTTTTCAGAGTATTTGTTTTCTCTCTTATGCTTGGCAATATATTTTCCTTCTTCAAAAAATGAGAATCATGATCAAGTATTATACCACCTCTTTTGAAGAACTTGGCTGTTTCCCTATAGAAAATAGGAATATTTTGTCATTTAATAGAGTAAATGGTATTTATTTCAGCCTAATAAACGAAGGAAAGGATTGTTTCTTCCTAAACTTTAAAGATAGAAAATTATACAGTAAAACCCCAATTGACAACAACACACGCATTATATGTTTAAGTACTCTGTAGTTTGCATTTTAATCAAGGTAAATAATAACCCGACGCAGGTCATTATTTTATGCCTTGAAGCTTATTTTATTGAAACTTGGTATCGTCCAGGTTGTTTCTTCAAAAGAATGACCTGTCTTTTTCAAAAGAAATAACTCCATATAAGTATATAATTTTATGTAATTGATAAGTGTAGTATACACCTGTATTTTATAATTCTCTGTTTTCAGTGTCTTTTCATATTTATACATTCTACTGGCAAAGTTATTGACCATTAACCGTACGTAGTTTAGATAAAGAAATGATCTATATAATATACAACATAAGTTTTATAACTGATTACTAGTATCTAAGTTCCATGTTTCCGTAATCAACAAATTAAAGCACTTAACGATTTCATAAATCATGATGCAATTCTAAATTAAATTTGTTTGTGGAAAGACTTAGGGTGTACTAGTGATCGTGAAATAAATCTTCTATAATATCGACTCAAACAATAATTTTATGTTTAATACTTCTCAAATTATAAGAGAAAGTAGATACCCATGAGAAGAAAATATTTGAACATTTCAAAATCACCTCGTAAAATAGGATAGGATTTAGCTGAATAGAGTGTGCTTTATATCTATTTGATTAAACACATACACATAGTTATTCGATATCATCGGATCAACTGTGTGAAAGCAAAATGCATCTAGGCTAGAAGTTGATAAAGGAAAGCCGTCAATTATGCGTGTATATTTATTTACTAAATCATGCGTGTTTTATCAAGACATGATTTTTTAAATTAATTTCCTCACTTTATTTTATTCTATTGTTAAGATGCAATAATGATCATGAATATAAGATGATTTGCCTAAGTGTTTGTTAGTTAGACTTCCTAAAATGTTTTGTTTCTCGGAAGTAATTACACAATGCTGCAAACAAATGACGAAATATCATCTGTTCAAGTAAGTTATTTCTGTTTTTAAAAACGTGAAGGAGTGATATCTTGAAAGACCTCTAAATAATTTATTCATTAGCTTTGTAGAATGCGGGGATGGAAACCTCATTTAAAAAATACAATATTTTTCAACCAAGAACTAATCAAAATATATGTATGAACAGCATTAAACTAAGACGACAGTACTTAACCGATGTTCAAATCTCGTAAATCGATTAAAAAGAAACAAATTATGGTAACAAACAAAAACAGGGGGACTCGGCATGGTTTCAGACTAATTGACTGCGTATTGGTCAATATTATGTTTTTATAGATAAACCCGTATCTCAGATGATAAAAATTTATTAAAGACACTAGACTTATAATTTTGTAAACCAGACGTGCAATTCGTCTACTAAAGACTAATCAGTGACGCTCGTATCAAAAGCATTTTGAGGGCCAAATCTATTACAAAGTTGAAGAGCACGGAAAACTGAAAATTCCAAAAAGTAGTTCAAAATGAGGCTATGCCAGATATACCTGTAAGTGATAGGTTAACTATATGTGATGTGAGAAATGATTACAAGGTGTACATAAACGGTGTACATTCCTATCACTAGTAAATGAAATTTCGTCTTAAACGGCCATTCTGATCTTAACAACACCTTAAAAGTCTGAACAATAAATTATATTCATGCTCATTCTTTAAGTATTTTTTCAGACTTATTGACGGTGGTAACTTCAGTACTGTTTAGACAATTCGCTTGCAGTTAATTCAGTTCTGTCAGAAGTAGACAATTGAAAATGACGTAATAATTAATTGTTTTCCCGGGAAAATACAACATTCATGATAACAAATGATTCTCGTGACAACGTCACAACAATACATAGAAAAACAAACGAAATATTTAATATAACTTGTCGTTTTATGGTTGTAGCATAAAAATGTAATTATAAGATTTGAATTCTTCATGTTGTAATTTTATAGGATTGTAAAAAAGTTGATCTGCAAAATGGATGAGTATAAAGGGTAGGAATTCTGACTGCCTCTTAAAATTTAGGACATTTTTGTTAGAGCCAAAATTTTGCTTTGAAACAAGTCACCTAAGTAGCCCTCAGAGAGTTGTTCTAATGATTATTTAACTACAAGGTACATTGCACTTTCCTTACATGAGCAATCGGATCTAATGTACCCGTTCTAAACAGACGTGGATGTGTATTTATACATCTCGCTCTTCCAAACATATGTCCTACTTTATAGGGTTTAACAAACGGATGGGATAATAAGGATAATCATATTTATATACCCAAGTATTGTGGTCTCCCATGAAATAGATTAGGTCTTATTATATAACGAAGATGAGAAAACTGTTTCAACAGCTTTTGTTTGATTGAACGTTTAGTATAATTAAATTGTAATAAGTATTACCAATCCCAAATGTTTTAGTAATGGGTTTTAGATAATAGGATTAAAATTTTGTATGCCAAACGCGCGTTTCGTGTACAAAAGACTCATCAGGAACGCTCGAATCAAAAAAGTTTAAAAAGCAAAATAATTACGAAGATGAAGAGCACTGAGGACCCAAAATTCCAACAAGAACAAATATTGCTAAGGTAATCTATACCTGCGATATAAATGACTTGACGCATTCAATCTATCTTAAATAAAATGGAGTTAGACACTGCATTGGAGTGATACACCATCTCTAAATATTTATTGAATCACTGTATCATTTGTTTGCCTATGAAAATATCTGTTCTGCAAATCGTAAAAATGTTTAAAGGGAGGAGCTTGCTTGTACTTTAACTTCCACACAGGATCGAACGACGTACCATAAAATAACTTGCATTTTTAGCAAGTTACAGTATAGGAAGGTACTATTTCCCCCGATAGTGCGTCCTATTGAAAATGACGAAGAAATATTCCACATGTACACATTCTTTCGATTTAATCTCTCTTCTAAACCTAAATCTGCAAAACAAATATCAAAGTTTAACATAACTTAATAATCATATAAACATACGTTTGAAAACTTACATTTTCTCAAAATGTTTGAAATTTACGAGAAAAAAAAAGCAATGATAATTTTTCATAATTACATCATTTATCGATTATTTTAAAACAAGAGACTGCCAAACTACAGCAAACCCGGATAAATTCTCAAAATCAAACCTGACATTTCAAAATGGCGATTCAAGATTTTGACAAGGAGCTTTATTATCAAACAGGTGGTGACTATTTCCGCATAATGTCTTCCACTAAGTACGGGATTAGATCCCGAAAGTAGTTGAAACCTAGTGAAATGAACAACAATTTCCCCACTATATGTTCATATACGAAACACATTAAAATGTCAATGATTAGAATTGCTGCGGTAGACTTTTTTTGCGAAAAATAATCTAAAATTGTACATGTTGTAGTAAAATTTTCATGGAAGGATTGATCGATTGAATTTTGCATAAACGCCTATTGGAAATATTATGTATTATATTCGAGACAAATACTTCGTCAACCAAACTTGATTCATGCGAAAAATAGTGTAACGTGTTTGAGTTCTATGCCATAAAATATTCTTACCTTTAGAGACTATTTTAACTACATGTATGTGTAGATCTTTCGGTAAAGGAAAAAATCCAAAACCTTTTTGCGCTTGGACTTCGGGAAAAGCGCCATGAATATGTATAATATGACAAAAACATTTACCATGGAAATCTCATATAACTCCTAAATTGTACTGTAAAATAACTAACTGATTTTCACTACTTTCTTTTTTTTTTTATGTTTTAGAAAATTCAGCATTTCCGTCGATAAAATTGGTTAATTTCACGTGCAGTTAAAAACATTAAAAAACAGTATTCATTCAATTTGTCCAAGGTTGAAGTTCATATCTATTCTATGTTTTCATGATCCGATTTCAGAGTCATTAAATGAACTTTTCTATAAGGTCAGCAATAATAATGGGTGTATGAAGGAACAAACTGAAATTATACAATTTGTGGCAAAATGTTTTTGATCGTCCGTTAAATGAAGATGAAAAGAAATGGATTTGGAGCAATGTCGACGTCTGAAAGACGTACATCCAGATTCAAATATAATTGAACTGAAATTTGCTATAACATCAAAGGTCTGCAGATCACTTGATGGAAATCCAGAGACATGCAACTGGAAAGAGTTTTTAGTAAAAGCTTCAGAATTTAGACCAATTTATAATATAAGGTAAGATACTTTGTAAAACATTAATTTTACATTTTGAACAAAATGATAACAATACTGGTACATCACTAAGGTATGATTATAATATCAGTGTGGGAGAAATGATATTGACTACAATGGGTACGTTCTAGACCAAACGTTTAGAAGCACACTACAACAAATACAACATAAATATATATGAACATTAAGATACTGCTAATAACATGCACGGTGACGATGTTCTTGAATTAGGGAAAGACATATTTTAAGACGTGTTGAGGTTTTGAGGTTCATATTTTTTTTGGGAGAGGGATATAAAAATCTCATACCTTTCAATCAATGGAATATCAAGATACACATTATAAAACAATTTAAAAAGATTGATAATATCATGCTTTCTGTAAATGGTTTGTTGAACTAGCAACCTGACAAACCTGATGCAATACCATCAAGTTTTTTCTAGCCAGATTTTCGAATGCTCGCAAATTTTGTACATGTCAGATATAGTTATTAATTTTTCCGAGGAAACGACAGATAGTGGTTAAAGTTTCAAGCATAACTTGGTCCCGGTAAATCTTTATTTACATTTTTATTTTTATAAATATTGAGGGACATAGCTAGCAATAGGAAGATGGCACTTTACAAAAAGTTTACAGTAAAATTGTATTCTTACAAAAAACGTTTTTATCGGAATACAAGTATCATTATTTCAAATGATATAGAAAATGCAATTTACTTGGTGATGTCGCTGCTTTTTGTACCTAAAAAATAACCGAGAGTTATATCGAAAATCTTTGTCACAATAAGAACGAAGACGCTACATCTAAGTATACGGAAAGCAAAATATGGCTTTGCATGAGCAAAAGAAATCATAAAATTGAGAGGGATAGGGTTATAACTGGAAGAAGAAGATAAAACCATATTTTCGTATCTTTTAATCGATTTAGAAAATTCAAGTCTTAACATTCTTGGATTGCTGAGTGGAGACCCCTTTGTTGATAAATTATTCAATACTTTACACTCTGTAACTGATTTCACCATCAATAGCTATCTGTAATTTGTAGATTAGTGGGTGCTTTTTTTCTTTGACTTATCTTCAGGAGAAAATATTTTATATAAATCTAGTAAACTTGTAGAAAAGTATGAAATTTTATATACAGGTCTTGATCGATTTGTTCAGAATCAGATTTGATTACTAGTAGTTAATCTTAGTTTTAAAAGAATGCAAATTCAACATATACATCATGCGTTGGCAGAGAATGTCGTTGTTGTTTATTTCAGAGGGGATGGAGTGAATATTATGGCATTTGACATGCGTTTGACTCCATATCTGAAATTATATATATATTTTTTTCAGTACTTTAGATGTTAATCATTTCGCAAGGAGCAATAGTCCTAGTGAAACAATGCTATGGAGATTGGGCTCTTATGGAATGGTTGCTTTTGAACTAGTTCATTTACTTGACCAGTTACGGCTAGAAAGTTTACTGATGGACATCAAAGAATATGGTATGCAGTTTTTACTTCTGACCCAAAGTATCAGTTGTTGCTATCATTTGGTAAATTTTTTTTATCCGTCTTACATAAACTTTTCACTTTTTTACCTTCCTGAAACAGTTTATCAGTTTTCAATCAAACTTGAAGGCATGGTGTATGGAACGCTAACTTCAAATTGTCCTAATTTGCTTCTAATCGGATATAATATGGCCGCCAGAGGCGATCTTTGATTTTAATGACCAATTTGCTAAATTCTTATCTGAAATTGCATCGCGAAACTGTTTTGAAACATACAATGTACTTAAGTAATAGATTGAGGGTTGAAACATGGTTGCATTAGTTCACTTAATTCCCCTTTAAAACCCAATAGAAAATAACTTTGTTCTTCTTCTTTTTAACTACATTGCACATTTGCAATATAGGAAGGACATTGGATGAAAGATCCCTTAAAAATGAATCCTCATTTGGTTCGGCTCGAATGAAAACATGGCCACCAGAGCTAATCTTTGATTATGATTGGCAATTTTAAAAATTCTTCTCCTCAAAGTACAATGCAATTTGTTTTGAAACTGTATATGCGATTGTTGATCGAAACACCCTCTACAAAAGATTGATCCTTATTCAAAATTGAAATTTTGTGGCATAGGTGACACATGTACCTGTTTTCCATTAAAACCCTATGGAAATATATTTTCATCTTCTGTAATGAATTTACTTGGCAAAGTATAACTTTACTTTGTAGAAATATAATATCTCTGTTATAAACGTTGGTTCCGATGGGATAAAAGCAAAATTTTCTCCTCTGAAAATGCATGGAGCCTCTTGTTATATTTCTAAATTAATAAAAGTAAAAAATTTACTGAAAGTATTGAAATAACATACCACTACAGTTACTTACATCTACATATAGGCTACTAGTCACAAAAATACGTACGGGGTTCCGCGGAACCCTGTGTCTCGCTGCTGTCAGTGTATAAGTGTAATGTTGACTTAAAAAGTGATTCCATTTATCAGTAAAATACAGAATTTAAAAAACAATATTCTTGGTCTTGAAGATTTGCTTCTGTCCAAGTTTCATAACTATCTAACTATCAAATTTAACATGTGTCTAAACTGTCTGTGAATGTTAACTGTAAAAAAACTAAGTCCATCTATCAGAAAAATACTAAAAATGAAAAAAATATATTTGAAAGGTTTGCTTCAGAGATTATCTCTTAATCATTAAAAACCTTCAAAATTTCATACAACTCTATGAAGGTTTGACAAAATAATCGATGTGTAACAAACTTTAACCCCAGACTGTATCTACTTGTTAACTTAAAAAAAACTAAGTCCATTTATCAGTAAAATACGGAAAAATTAAAATAAATATTTTCAAAACTTTTTTTTGGATACTGTCTTTTGGTCATAAACAAGCTTCTGTCCAAATTTCATAAATTTCCATGAAGGTTTGACAAAGTTATTGATGGCTGAAAAACTTTAACCACAAACTGAACCTAAATGTTGACGCCGCCGACGCCGACGACGGAATCTAGGATCGCTATGTATCGCACTACAAACTGCTCAGAGTTTGAAAAGACCATATTTTGTGCTCGGCCAGTAAGGTCGAGCACAGATTTTACTTGATAAGACTCGACATTATCTCGACAGTACTTAACTGTACTATAACCAGTATATTTTAGATGCAAGTATGTTAAAATGTGGAATTCAAATAATTCTTATAATTCAGTATTAGTTAAAGATATTTAGCACTAGCTTAAGAAATAATTTACTTGATAAATAATTAATATAAATCTTCACAATTTTAGATAAGTGTAAAGCAAATTATTATGTAATCCCCTGAGGGTTAAATGACAATAGAGAATTAAGGATTAGAGAAGTGTTATATATACAAAAGGGATTTCTTACTTTTTAAGATAATTTAGGTTATGTCACAAAGACTTGATATTTGGGAAAATAGATAAACTAGCATTATTATGTAAAGTAAATGTATTGAGTATTAATTTTATGTAAATTGAATAATGAAAAACAATATATATTTAGTTGACCATGTAGTTTGGGACAGTTGTGTTTGACACTTGTGTTTTAGACTTTGATTTAGACAGTTGTATTGGATTGATATTAGACATGCTGTTTTATTATCATTATCATGTCTCATGAACTTATATGCTATTGTGATTGCTGAATACTGTATGCTGAATTAATAAACATTTATATATAGAACTTGAATCTGTGTTACGTTAACATGTATTCATATGAAAGATACCAGCTAGTTCCCCCAACCTAGCAAGATGAGTAACAAGGTTAGGAACGAGCAGAGTACTGGCCTTGGTTATAGTACTTACCTGTTCTCGACTTTGGTCTCGACTTTACTTAATAAGTCTGATTCAGTACTTGATAATCTTGGTATAGTCTGAAATGGTCTCGACAAATGCTCGACCAGTCTCGACTCAGTCTCGACCAGTCTTGACTCAGTTTCGACCTGTCTCGACCAGTCTTGACCTTTAAATTTAGTCTAGACTGGTCTGAATCAGCCCATCTAACTCAATTATATATTGATCCTACAAAATTCCAGGTTTTTCGGTAGTTTGGTTCAATGCTGTCTTAATAGGATTTAATTAATAGGTAAAAAGAAGCTAGAATTTTCAGTTTTGATTAAATTCAGATCAATAAGTCACTTTTAATTATTTCTATAACTTTTCCAAGTTGATTTGGAATAGTTAAATAAATTTAAAAGTGACTGTCTGAATTTAGTCCAAACTGAAAATTCTAGCTTTTTTACCTATTAATTTAATCCTTAAATTTGACAGCAATAAATCAAACTACCAAACAACCTGGCATTCTCTAAGCTCAATGTATAATTGCAATAGCTGTAGAGTTTTATGAAAATCCAAGTTGATTTGAAAAAGTTATAGAAATAATTAAAGGTGATTATCTAATTTTAATCAAAACTGAAAATTCTAGCTTTTGTTTACCTATTAATTAAATCCTTTAATGTGACAGCAATGAACCAAACTACGAAATAACCTGGAATTTTGTAAGATCAATATATAATTGAGGTAGATGGGCTGATTCAGACCAGTCTAGACTAAATTTAAAGGTCAAGACTGGTCGAGACTGAGTCAAGACTAGTCGAGACAGGTCGAAACTGAGTCGAGACCATTTCAGACTATACCAAGATTATTAAGTACTGAATCGGACTTATTAAGTAAAGTCGAGACCAAAGTCGAGAACAGGTAAGTACAGTTAAGTACTGTCGAGATTATGTCTATGCTCGACCAGTACAAAATATGGTCTTTTCAGACTCTGAGCAGTTTGTAATGTCGCTTTCGGGAAAAAAGGTTAATATGATTCGGATAATGGACTTTCAATGTACGTTTACCACATATATCAAAGTCTTATCTATGCCCACAGAAAGGATGCAGGAAAGTTCATTCCAATTTCAAAGTTGTAATATTCATTATGATTAATTTCAGAACCTATTGTCATAATTAAGCAACCACCATCGCATAAAAGCATTAATGAAGGAACAGCATTACATCTACACACAGAAGGGAAAGGATTTCCTTATCCAAGATATCAGTGGTTTAAATCTATCAGCGGTAAATGGGAGAAACTACGAGCTGAAACCAATCATATTTTCAAAATAGTTAATGCAAGGTACATTTTTGCCTTTTTTATGTTATACTTTCATATGTGAAATATCGCTTACACATATCTTTATCTATTTCTACACTCTTATTGAAAATCAAACTCATCAAAGATACCAGGTTTATAGTTTGCTACGCCAGACGTACGTCTACATAAGATTCATCAGTGGATCTCGAATCAAAACAGTTGGAAGACCAAATCAAACAACGAAGAGCATTACAAACCGAAAATTTCGGAAAAAAAACGGTTATACCAATCTATGCATGGAGGTAGAAGAATTTTAGTGTTTCGAATTAATCATTATTTTATCAACAGTAAATTTACAGAAAAGGAACATATCAATAATATTTCATACCAAAACAAAAATATCGACAACTGGGGTGACGATACCATCGAGGACGACACTTTATTTTCAACCAAGTCTGAAAATGAAAATTGGATCAAAAGTTAACATCAGCAATATTTTGGCCAAGTTCGAAAATCAAAGTTGATCGTTGTTTGACGGGAAGGTATGCACCATTGAAAGGTACTAAGTAAGGAAAATATTTTTTTGTGAGGTTAGGAACTTCCTCAGGCAAAGTTGAACTTAGATGAATTTGGCTCTTCTATTTAGCTCTCTTTGGTCATAAACTACTTATGTATTCAAATATTTATACCTATTGGTTATTAAATTATTGGGTTTAAGCGACCCTGAAAAAGGTAAATCTAGAAAAGCGCTTCGGACGCATGAAGTTCACCAAGCGTTATTTTGATTAACATTTTTTATTTATGTTTGATGAAATTTTGTCAAAGGTTTACATCAGCTATATTGCATAAAATGTATGAAAATCTCTGGGCACTGATCGTTTCGTATGATCTATGCCCTTTTAAAATATAAGTTATTTATAACATTCAGGTATATATAGGCAGCTGACATTGGCAACTACTCTGTAACAATATACCTTGTCCATATGGTCCCTTAGGCTCGCTTTACTAAATACAAATTTATGTTAAATATGTGTTATGATTAAGTTGTCAAATATTTTACAATAACAAATATTTAGTGTATGCATTGCATTTCAATTTCAGACAACCAGATGCTGGCATATACTGTTGTAGGCTTCATAATGGCAATCATCGGCATCAAGTTATTTTCTCATCTCGAACTTCGGTATCGGTGATACCACCTATGCAAGGTATGTTTAACGATTAAGAAAACTTAGCTGCTGGTGTTCAGTGCGATAGGAACAATCGCAATAAAGATGTTATGTTAATGTTCAATGAACAGAATCGAGACCACCTCTATGTAAGAAAAGCAGACTAAGTCAATAATCTACAAATTCTAAGGTGATGACCTATTTTCAAAGACGAGAGAAAATGCCAATAATAAACTGACTTAAATATTTCTTTTGTCCCAAGAATGAAGGCTTTTCATGAATTTCATTAATTAGAATTGTGATTTGTTTATTAAGATCTTAAGATATCGCTCTTAAATTTGCTTATCTAAACGCAGACTGACTAAAAGCTGGTGACTGTGTCCTTTGTCGAAGACTGGATTTTGACCTCTACATGTCTAGTGTTGCGTTTTAAATGGTCTGTAGTACAGACTTTTAACAACGTCCCCTTTTTGTCATTGTTTTATAACATTTATATAAAAAGCTAATTTTCCTTTTTCTACATCTCAATGAACAAACAACTGAACTTCCTCTTACTATGAATTTTTTATATTTTTTTCATTTCCTTAAGAGTTTATACGGATGTCGGTAACATGACGACAAAAGACGCATTGAATGCTATGCATGATTTGAAGATAGTAAATTGAAAAAAAACCATTCAAACAACTTGACCATGCAAGCAGTTGGCTTATTCATACTCTAACATAAAAAAGTGATGCAAGCAAAAGGAAATTATTTTTATAATTATTTAAACAACAGGCAGGAAGTGTTCATGAGTATATAGTGCGTTGGAATTAAATAATAAATTCAAAATCAAATTAAGAAAAAAAAAAATCTATATGTTGCAGCTAGATGTATATGTCATCCCTTTCTCACTATATGGGAATGACATGACACATTTGTCCCTATAGTAAATCTCATTTTAACTGCTTATCAATCCATCGAAAACAAACGTATGCTTCTTTTATTATCACAACAGCTATTCAATTGTCATTAACACTACTGTACTCATCGCGAAACAAAATGATAATCTCTTGACCGAGAGGAATTCCTGTGACCTTTCAATTAAATTGTATATAATTTTTTCACTCCATTACCTGCTATTGTCTTTCTTAATATATTTTAGTGTGAGACTTACTGGTCAACAGTTTTAATACTTGAGCAAGGACTTGTATACTATATATCGATAGTGATACACTTTGAATTAAAAGACATGATTAACAAATCTGTTGTTTTTCAAACTGATCAATCACTAAACAAAATCATTAATAATTTTATTTTTTGCAAAGGAGTACCATTAGAACGAATAGTGATAAGCTACACATGAAAACTCATTGCTTTTACTACCCGAAAAAACGAAAAGATTCACAACAAAGCTTGATTACAATACAGTAGTTTTGCAACTACGTCGCAACTATTAGGTACCTTTCTTTATTATCAGAAATCTAGAAACGTACCACGCTGGCCCGTGTGTTCACTACGACTAACTTCGTCGGAATGATTAGCAAATGTATTCTTATCTACACGTGTATCTATCAGACAAGTAAAACACAAAGTGAAAATATCGAACATGAAGTAATTAAATATTACGATGTCAAAAGAGAAAAGGAAGGTTTTGGTTGTTTTGATATCTCGAAAGCGTTTAACAATGATTTTTCATTCAACTTTTTGACAATGAATGAACCAATTTTTAGATTCAAGATGACTTAAATTCTTTCACTATAACACTTATCTAAATTTGTAGAAGAAAGGGATGTTATTTTGTATGATGTTCGTTCATTTCGCGACGGAGAGGAAAACACAGAAAGCACAGACACATCTGCAAAGAAAGCTATGCCTGAAAGTCCAAGATTTGAAGGTGAGTATTTAGGTCGAAAGACACAAAAAAGCAACATCCAAACAAATAAGAGAATCTGTTCAATTTGTAAAATTAAAATCAAAATTTAAAAAATAGATAAAACGCGAACCCTTTATAAGTCATATAAAGTTCAAATTTAACCCTTTATCCAGTTCCTGTTATGTTTTGTTTTAGATAGATATGCTTATCAAGTTATAAGAACCATATTTTTCTTTCATACTCTTTTCCTCATAAATTAAAGTCATCATTGAGTATAAGTTTCAGTAAAATTCAAATTTTAGTATTCAGAAGTTCAAAGAAATTTGCATTGATTTCTACATCAGAAGGACGACATGTGTTTAAAAAAAACCCAGGAAAGACTAAAATGACCAATTCGCAAGTTCTAATGTCACTATCACGAATCGGTAGGATTTTATTTACAGCTTCTACTAGAGATATGTTAACTCTGTCATGTTCGAGATTTTTACTTCTCCAAAATTGTTTGCGTTCGCTTGATGTTCTGTCGGTAACATTTTATGTACGAATTTTGATTTTGACTTAATTACCATACTTATTCTATAATAATAGAGTTATTCAGCTACAATAATTCATCTTATCGTCATATAAAAACTGTGTAGTCATATTAGTTTTCAAATTACAGCAAGAACAAAGGTAGCACTTCTCATTGGTAATGCCGACTACCTAGCAGACAAGCCATTGTTTGATGTACCACTGGCAGACGTAAGGTTAATGAAGTCAACATTTGAAGATCTTGGCTTCCAGGTATTTTCTTATTTAGATTTAACCAAGACGGAAATGAAATCAACAATAGATTGGTTCATTGATGTTGTAAAAAAAATGGGAAAAGATGTGTATGTAGTATTTTGCTTTTTTGGTCATGGTTTTGAAGAATCAAGGAAATGCTATCTGGTGCCAACAGACGCTGCTCATGGATATACAACTAGTGACTGCATCTGTGCTGATGACGTTTTGTATAAATTTCAACGACATATTGATCCAGCTCTATTGGTTATGGCTTTAGACACATGCAGAATACGGTATGGAAATAAGCTCAAGTATCAAATGTTTCTTCATTTTCGGCATAGCTTGCTTCGTTTCGAAAATTCAAGTAACGTACATTGAGATGCTGATTTTTGTTAAAGATAAATATCAGTCTGACATTGAACCTCTGAAATTAGCAAAAGCTAGTAGAATTAGTCATTTACTCAAAATTCTTTAGATATGCCTTTGAGATTTGTAGAAATATATTTCAAAATACATACATTTCGTGAACTATGACAAAGTATTTATATAGAGCCAAACAACAGAAATCTACCATTGAATACCGTATTTTAGTTTTATTGTATTTTCTTGATCTTTACAGATGTCGCATAGAAATGCTCTTTGTCTATTAATTTATTTTTTAGAAATTCTAATGAAAAATCAATTAGGCAGTTTGCTAAATCTCAGGCCTTTGATAGTCTAAATGAACCAGCAACAAATGGAAACACAGTTGTCCTATATTCTACGTAAGGTTTAGACGTGGTTAAGACATATTGTGCTGTCTGTTTATTTGTATGAACTAGAGGGTACACTGGGGTTTAAAAATACCGTCTGCGCTGAACTTTTTACATCCGACAGTAAACCTCGTGCTAGTGAGCGGCGAACGTTAAGCTGTTCGGGATGTATAAATATTGCAGCGACTGAAGACGTTAAATCGGATGCCTCGACGTGTAGGGAGAGTGTCACGCTATCTGAACGTAAAGGGAACATTGGAGTCATAATGATAGCACCTATTGAATATACGCCCAATATATCCAGTGGCATTTGAAATTGCCGCCCATTTTATTTATTAGACCTGAATATGCATGATATATATTTTCAAAGACATATAATATTCACATCAATTATTCGTTTTCATTTACGGACCAAATCATTTTTACATACAATGATGTATTTGGTCGCTCCAAGTTTCACTCATATTAGGCAAATCACTTACTCGCTAGACGTCGATCCTCATTTCTGCAGTATACTTTTTCAGAACTGCAGATAAATGTAGAAGTGTAAGCGTACCATTTTGACTTCGCCTCATGAACTGATACACCATATCCTATCCTTTTTTTTCATCTAATTGTTTTATTTTTAGTCCCCTACCTACTCTGTCTATCTGTCTGTCTGTCCATCCGTCAGTCCGGCAAATCAGTTTTTATACCATTTTTTTCTTCTTGCTTGAAGATATTTATTTGATATTTGGTATATAGTTTTATCATGACAAGTTTCAGATCAAGTTCCAATTTTGTTCCGGTCTGATGATTTTGTCTAGAGTTATGGTCCTTGGACTTGGAAAATTCACTCAAATAATCAGTTTTCAACACTTTTTTTCGTCATGCTCGAGGATATAGATTTGATATTTGTTATATAGTTTACACCATGACAAGTTATAGACCAAGTTAGCAATTTGTTTCAGTACAATGATTGTTTAACCGGTAGGGGACTATGTTTTGCCAAAAAAATCAATTAGACAGTTTGCTAAATCTCAGGCCTATGATAGTCTAAATGAACCAGCAACAAATGGAAACACGGTTGTCCTATATTCTACGTAAGGTTTAGACGTGGTTAAGACATATTGTGCTGTTTATTTATTTATATGAACAAGAGGGTACACTGGGGTTTAAAAATACTGTCTGCGCTGAACTTCTTACATCCGGCAGTAAACTTCGTGCTAGTGAGCGGCGAACGCTTAGCTGTTCGGGATGTATAAATATTGCAGCGACGTCATGTCGGACTGAAGACATTAAATCGGATGCCTCGACGTGTAGGGAGAGTTTCACGCTATCTGAACGTTAAGGAACCATTGCAGTCATAATGTTAGCACCTATTGAATATATACCCAATATATCCAGTGTCATTTGAAATTACCGCCAATTTTTATTTATTGTTTATTTATTTTAGACCTGAATTTGCACAATATATATTTTTAAAGACATATAATATTCACATCAAATGTTCGATTTCATTTATGGGACAAATCATTTTTACATACAAAGATGTATTTGGTCGCCCCAAAAAATGTAAAGCAACAAAAATACCGAACTCCATGGAAAATTCAAAATGGAAAGTCCCTTAACAATTGGCAAAATCACAAGCTCAAACACTTCAAACGAATGGAAAACAACTGTCATATTCCTGACTTGGTACAAGTTTCCAAGTTTCACTCATATTAGGCAAATGACTTACTCGCTAGACGTCGATCTGCATTTCTGCAGTATATTTTTTCAGAACTTCCGATAAAAGAGGGACGAAAGATACCAGAGGGACAGTCAAACTCATAGATCGAAAACAAACTGACAACGGCATGGCCAAAAATAAAAAGACAAACAGACAAATAGTACAGATGACACAACATAGAAAATTAAAGACTAAGCAACACGAACCCCACCAAAAACTGGGGGTGATCTCAGGTGCTCCGGAAGGGTAAGCAGATCCTGCTCCACATGTGGCACCCGTCGTGCTGCTTATGTTATTACAAATCCGGTAAATAGTCTAATTCGGTAGGTCACATTCGTGAAAAGGGAAGGGTATTGTAGTTACGACATAAGGAACATATCCGATATCATCTGTGAAACGGTTATTCCATAACGGTCAACCAACTCGTGATGGCGTCCGTAAAATTTACGAAGGGATGATTTCAACTTCACCATTTGGAACTTAGATAAATGTAGAAGTGCAAGGGTACAATTTTGACTTCGTCTCATGAACTGATTCACCATATTGTATCCTTTTTTTCAATCTAATTGTTTTATTTTTTAGTCCCCTACCGACGAAGTCGAAGAGGACTTTAGGTTTGCACTCTGTCTGTTTGTCCATCGGTCAGTCCGGCAAATCAGTTTTCCACACTTGTTTTCTTCGTGCTTGAAGATATTGATTGATTATTGGTATACAGTTTTATCATGACAAGTTTCAGATCAAGTTCCAAATTTGTTCCATTCTGATGATTTTGTCCACAGTTATGGTCCTTGGACTTAAAAAATTCACTCAAATAATCAGTTTTCCGCACTTTTTTTGTCATGCTTGAAGATACTGATTTGATAATTGGTATATAGTTTTCTCATGACAAATTACAGATCAAGTTTGAATATTGTTCCGGTCTGATGATTTTGTGCAGAGTTATGGTCCTTAGACTTGGAAAATTCACTCAAATAATCAATATTCAACACTTTTTTTTACACCATGACAATTTATAGATCAAGTTAGCATTTTGTTCCAATACAATGAATTTTAAAGCGGTAGGGGACTATGTATTGCCATGCAATACTCTCAGAATGCTTGTTATTTTTTATTTTTTTAGGAGTAGAGGAATGTCTGCATATCAGAACAATCAGAATGGATTTTTGGCAAAATTCTTTAATCAGAGAATAAAACAGAAAACCGATGTAACTAGTGTAATGCAAAATGTGTTGGAAGGTAACATTGTTATTTCATTCATATATTCTAGTTCTCATCGTATGTAGTCTTGAACGAAGATACATTTTTTTTTACAAAGACAACCGTTTTACAAAGAAAATAAAAATGTTAAAGATTTAAAAGACAACAAAATACAATACAACCCAACCCCCCAAAAAAACCAGTATACTTGTTCTCACGAACAAATAAACTACAAAAACAGATCACACAATCAAAAACAGTAAGAAATACAAACTCAGATATAAAGTTGGATGGATATTACAGCAATTGTAAACTACTACTGGTGAAAGATTAAGTATTTTTTCCAATACACTTTTTAACTAGATTGGTTTACTTTTCAGTTGTTTCAAAAATGTCGCTTTAACAATGCATATATATGTTATATAATTTATAGATATGGGAAAGGAAATGAAAAAATACAAAGAAAATCAGACACCACAGTTCACGTCATCACTTAACGAGCCAAGATCTTTTTATGACATAATTCGTCCTTGTAGTGAAATAACAAAAGCATATGACAACATAAATGCTGTTTTCTGTAAGTAACAAACAAGACATGACACCCTAAAACTTTTTCACGCGCTGGATACAATTTTCGAATTGTTTTTTCAACTTGTGTTTTGCTATCAACGTGTGCCAAATCCAATTCGTAACCACTAAAATTATCTTAGAAATGACGAACGTTGGTAATTAGAGATTAGGTCTTTCAATCGCTCCGTAAATTCACAGTATCACAGTATCACGGCTTTGTGTGTGCACTATTAGGTTTTAACAACAAAATAGCAAATTTGAAAAAAAACATGCTTAACCAAACCAAAAATTTTATTCGAAGTAAATATATCATTGTCTTTCAGCGATAAACATGAAACGATGGAATAACTCATGGATATATATAATATATAAAATTCTTGAACACTCATTTAAGTATATTTTAAACTACACGATTTCATGCTTTATCTATAAACACCTAACACAATAAGATTTGTTTTGTTATACATTTTTGTAAATCCTGAACCATTCATTACAGAGTTTAAAGACACAAAATTTGTGTTTGAATAATAGAAAAGGTAAATCAATTTTTCAATGCTTTAATTGAAAATTTCATCACGTCACATTTTTTAATTTATAATATAATTAAGATATGTTCTATACGTAGCACCTCCTCCTTCAAGAGAAGTATTTGTACCTGGTGCTAATATCAAGTTGTATATAGAATGCCAGGCAGACACCCTTAACATGATGACAGTTTATATCAACACTAGAACATTAAAAGAGTGTGACACTATTGCATTAGATGACATTGATATTTTTGTGGAAACCTTTTCACCAGTAAGTTTTAAATACATTTATTTGTCCAGAAGTAAGGGAATTTTTGAATGCTACAGTATCATGCTCCTGAACATAAATAGGTGCACATATATCCTGTTTGTTTCCATTTGTCATTGTTTATTAATGTTATATTTCTGTTGACAATTTATGATGTGCTTGCATGTTACGACAGTCCAGTGATACAAGGATTAAAGTTTTTGTTAAGTACAAGCTATCGATAGATAAATTTATCAGTTCAACATAAATTACAATGAACAGTAAGAAAAATTATGATAGATTAATGCTTCATCTGCTGGTGATCTCAGGTTCATGGTCCCTTAATTCTTGAAAGGAGAGTCTTGCGCACTGCAAATGGGGATAATTATACAACTAGAAATTGTCTAAGTACTATTTCTGGTTGAATGTCTGTCTACATCTATCCATCTAGTATATAGTGCTCTGATCCTTGCATAAGTGAAGCGAAACATTACGACTGTAAATCAATCTTTTATGAATCGTGCATTTTTACAATCATGCATATCAGGCAGAGATAATATCCATAATAAAGGCTTCAGATCCTTTGGTCTTTTAAACTTAAATATGTATGTATTTTGAGTTATCCTACTCTCTGTTCCCAGCGTTTAATTAGTTCGTTCTTATTTAAAAGTTTAATGTTATGCAGCGTTACTAAACCTTGTACGAATAAACTTTTATTTTATTCTATTCGCAATAAAGCCTGTATCAATATTTTGGTAGTCATTAGCTGTATACAAACGTTTATATAAAGCTTTTCAATGAATAAGTCATTTTTTTTATTGTTTTTCATTGATTTCTGAGTCTTATTTCAGAATTTTAAAATACACAGCATAGATATGGTCAGTGGAAGAGGAAAGTTTGAGATAAAAAATATTCAAAAACTTAGGGTAGGTATGATCAGTTGAACATATTTTAATGGTTAACGCATTCGTCATTATCAATGTTTAAAATTGCTTAAACACTAAGTGGAGTAGCAACTATTTAAACAATTAAATAAAGCTTTTTAACAATTATTTACTAAATAAATGACTCATATAAAAATAAGAATATGTGATATGATTGCCAACGAGACAACAATCCACCAGAGTGGGTAACTTTTTTTCCATAATACAGACATACTAGTTCAAAAATCTACAACTGAAGCCCAGTACTAATTGGTAGAGATTTATATCAGTTTGCTCTATCATTGATATTCATGCTCATTTTTCACACATTTAATTGCAGTATATTATCGTTACAAATGACAAATTCCGGAGCATAATAATATTACCATGTTTTAACTTCTAATTGCATGTCGGATGATTCATGTCCTGCATGCTATACTTTCTCTTATCGTTTGAAGTTTGATTCATTTAAACTATTTGCAATCCAATGTATCGTTTGTAACTTACAGGTTTGATGTAAATTCGATACACTAGACGATGTGAGCGTTGATTTTTAGAAGTGGATTAAGGTGACTTTTACCTGGCAAAATTTGAAAAATACATTTTTTTGAATTACATGTTCATGAAGTTAAATCCTTTTATTCATACCTATATAACATTGGTAACATTATCCGATGTAAAATACTTTTTTAAGATGTACAATTTCTTGTGGAGAGTTGTCTCATTGGCAATCATACCACATCTTCTTATTTCTAAATGTATAGCCTTTTTCTAAGATAGGCGTTTCTCTTGTTGGTTTTACTTAAAAATAATGAATTTATCAAGAGCCCAACATACTTTTATCAACTTGTTTTTTTTAAATGTAAACTGACAAGACTACCAAAAATACAATAAAACTGTCATCGCACAACTCACTGTTATCTTCAGTCAGTCCTATACTAGTCTAAGAATAAGTTATGGACAGACATTCCTTGTTTATAACTTTCTGTTGTTTTACCATTGAATGATTTTTTGCTTATAGCAAACCTTTGCATCATAGAATTCATTTGAACATTGTTAGTTTTTGATGGGTTCGTGTTGCTCAGTCTTTAGCTTTCTATGTTGTGTTTTGTGAAATGTTGTTTATCTGTTGTTCTTTTTTTTTTAGCCATGTCGTTGTCACATTTTTTTCGACTAATGCGTTTGAATGTCCCTTTGGTATCTTTCGTCTCTCTTTTTTAGAGAACGGATCTACGGTATAGTAACTGGAAAATAAATGAAGACAATGTATTGACCTGTAGATGATTGCCACCATTTTCTACATAAGAAAATGCCTGTACCAATTCAGGAATATGATACTTGTTTTCTATTCGTTTGAAGTGTTTGAACTATTGATTTTGCCATTTAATAAGGGACTTTCCGTTTTGAATTTTCCGTGGAGTTCAGTATTTTTGTTATTTTACTCCTTCCGTGGTAACGTATTGCACAAATTGATGTTCATAATTGTATCACTAAATTTACATTTCAGGATGATTTGTTGTTGAAGATCAATGTCAGGAATAAAAAAACTAACGATTTAATAGGGGATGTTGATATCAACCTGATGAAACCACTTATATCGACACTAGACCTATGGAGAAATAAATAAGGAGGATTAATTGTACAAAAACGACCTAAATCAAGAAATTGATTTCGTGGCTTCAAGATGATTTATTATTTTGCTCTTAACCTATCGTTTATATTTTGATATTCAAGATTTCATTCTCGTTTTTCATCGACTCCTTACTACTTTGAATTCAATTATGACATCGAAAATCTTAGTTGTTTCCTGGTTTAAGTGCTGTAAAAAGAAAATACACCAAGTCGAAAGAACAAACATTTTAGATGAACAGACAAACTGTCGAAGTCAGATTACCTTCAAAAGCATTATACTACTAGATCTCTGTGCATTAGTGTAATTTGTAATTTATTTGTATTTATATATGGTAAAGTCGTTTTTGTTGCTGCATTTGTACGGATTATGCATCGGTGAATACTTAATTATTGACAGTATTAAACTTTTGTATTTACTTCTACAGTGATCAGCTGTAATGTCATACTATGATAAATCAAATAAGATATGAACTATATATATTAAATTATATGATAATACTTTATCATGGCCATGGTAATGTCAGTTTGTTTTCTACTTATGATTATGAAAATCTCTTTGGTATCTTTTGCCTCTCTTTTGTTAGATATATTAATATTTTTACTCTCCGATTTAGGCAACAGTAGATTACCAATGTTCAAATCTCGTCCATCGATTAAGAAGACAAATCAAGGTAACAAACCGAAATTTAGGACATCGCAAAAAATCCAGAACTATCGAGACCGGATGAATCGATAGGGTAAGCATCTCCTCTCCCGTCGACGAGTGTCCTATATTTATCATTCGGACTGTCAGTCAGATCTTCAATGTCGTACGGTAAGTCAAGATGGTCTCGAGCAATTTTCCAAATTGTTATGAACAGTGCTAAAACCTACAAAAGGAGGGAAATTTCGTTATTTCGAAATTTGACAAAATATTTTTTAGATAGCAGTTTTTGTTTAAAATATTAAGAAATTTTGAGAAACATCTTTGGTGTTAAAATGTCAAAATAAAACAAATTGACAAGTCAATTATGTATCAGTTTAATTGATTTCTGGAGCTGGCATGTCAGTAACTGCTAGTAGTCCTTTGTTAATTTATGTATAATTGTCATTTTGCTTAGTTTCTTCTGTTACCTATTCTGACATCGGACTCGGACTTCTTTTAAACTGAGTTTTACTGTGCGTATTGCTGTGTGTTTGTTTATTCTACATTGGCTAGAGGTATAGGGGAGGGTTGAGATCTCACAAAACATGTTTAACCCAGCCGCATTTTTGTGCCTGTCCCAAGTCAGGAGCCTCTGGCCTTTGTTAGTCTTGCATGGTTTTTAATTTTAGTTCTATTATATGTTTCGGAGTTTAGGGTGACGTCCATTTTCACTAAACTAGGACATATTTTTGTTTAGGGGCCAGCTGAAGCCCGCCTGCGGGTGCGGGATTTCTCGCTGTCTTGAAGACCATTTGGTGGCTTTGGGCTGTTTTTTGCTCTTTGGTCGGGTTTTTGTCTCTTTGGCACATTTCCCATTTCAATTCTCAATTTTATATGATATACTTTTTGAAATTGATTCGCCATGACAAAAAAATTAGTTTTGTGATAATTTGTGGAAAAAGTTATTGCAAACGCGTCGATTTCAAAATGTTTATAAACTTTTTTTTTTTATAGGTTTTCAATAAAAAAATTATATAGTGATACGATAAGCTATGCCAAGTTGATTCCAGGTGTCGAAAAAAAAAACTTTTGTAAAACTTCTAGTTTTCTCTATAATTATAAACATACGTTCATTAAAGATTAGAAAAATGAATTAACAAAACAAAAATGAACAGTAATTAAGGTGCAGGTATGGTACGCTTTTCCAAGGTCCTGTTGTAGTATTTGCAGTTAAATAGTGAAACAAAAGGTGATGCAAAGTTTTTTTTAATCACACATATTGAGAAATGTCTACTTATTTTAGGATTTCATCAAACAGTGATATATGAGTATGATAAGCTATTTCAAGTGATTGAAGTAATTGCATGTGTCAAAAACAAAAGTTGGGATCAACTTATTTTTGTCAAAAAGTCTCAAATTGTGAGAAATATCTTTTTATGTCGTCAACAAAAATTGATATATAGGTATAGTGTATCATTCAGAATTGATTCTTCCTTTCACATATGGGGTAAAATGTTAGTGGCACAAAATACAAATTTTGAGACACATCTTTTTGTATTAGGATTCCAACAAATGTTGTTATATAGCTAAAGGTCTAATATGCATTTTAAATTGTTCTCTGATGTCAAAATTGAGGTAAAAACTAACTTCAAAAAAGATAAGATAACTTTCGAGAAACGTCTATGTTTATGTAGGATTTCGTTGAATATCGACATGCAGTTATACTTTTCTATTCCAAAATACTTTCATGTGTCAAAAATAATTGTTTGCCACCCAAAACACATATGCATAAGCCATAGATTGTAACAAAACTTTCAGGTATTCAAAACACATTGTTCATGTATTTCTGGTTTCAAAATTAATAAAAAATGAAACCCATGAACATCAACTACTTTGGTTACATACGACTCTTGCTGATATGTCAGTTTTCTAGTTTAGTGTCTCAGTCATCTAGCTGATATGTTTATTTTTCTACACTTTTAATGAAGTGCTTGCTCAATTTCGTTTGCTATTAAAAGACAATACTTTACACTCTATTGTTTCTAAGTTGTTTTGTCTTTGTCTCATTGGAATATACTGCATATTCATCATAAAAGGGCCTCGGTGGCCGAGTGGTCATTCGACTCCGAACTTTATTGACTAGGATTATCAGTTTTCTTGTCGACGGTCCGTGGCTCTCTACTTAAACTCAAGCTTCATTCATTAAAACTGACCGCTACGAAATAGTCGAAAGTGCTGGAAGTGTGGTTGAATACCGACCATCAATCAAGCAATTGATAATAAAGATTCCATTAAGTAATTTGGTGTTTTGGTTAATTGTAATTGGATTCCCACAGTTTTTGTATGAAACATACTGGATGAAAATACACACGCGCATTACAATATTATATTACCACTGTTATGCCGGTGTGTTGTTACGATCAGTTCCCGATTGAAGTCTCTACCCAGCAGATAGTGCTTTGATTCAAGCATGTTTTAAAATGATGCTTTCTACTGGTGACATTTTTTGTTCCTAAAGATTGTCATATTATATATATACTAATACTGTTTTAGCTTCTGGATTACTATCAGTAACAAGGATGTTTCCTATGCTCTATAGAAAATGCTACGGTACTTTCATCATTATGATTTATATAATTGCATCATTATAGTTTTTTTCATTTCAACGTTTGAGACTTTTACAGTTTCAAATTCTTTATTTCTCACAAAACTGTCAATTTCTACGAAGACTTAATAGACAAATATTCAGTGTCAACTTCACAAATAATACATGATGGTCTTAAGTTATAAATTCTATGTGCTGACCTTGTATATCATAAAAATTGCTGTTGCAGTTTCTCTTTTATTTTTCTTTGTACTGTTGTGTCCCGTTTTTTCGTATGACACCTGCCGTTACTCGGTGTTTGTGCATCCGGCTATCGTTTTTGTTTTTAATGTATGCGGCTTCGAACGCATGCAATTTGTGATTATTTTCTTTTTGTGTACCCTCGAATTTATATTTTACTTAATATTTTCTTTATCGGGGAGTTTATTCGGACAACAAAAATGGCTTACTTAGTAAAACAACAAAAGCAAGACAAACATATTATTCATAACCATAAAACCAAGTTCAACCCACCATTTTTTCTTAAAATGTCCTGTACCAAGTCAGTTATCAGACAATCTGTTTTTATGTATGTTGGCTTTTGCTTTTGTTGTAGTGCAGTGTTTCTGTTGTTCCGTTGTTTTTCTCTTATATTTGGTGAGTTCAAATGATATAGATGTAACCAATTACAGATCCCAGAACAATTTAAGAAAAACAAATATGACAGACATGAACCAACAACAACCATTGAATTACAGGCTCCTTGATATTTCGATAAGCACATCAAGAATGTAGTGGGGTGAATATAAAAATAAGGAGATGTGGTATGATTGCCAATAAGACAACTATCCATCAGAGTTCAAATAACATGTTTGTGAGAATTAAACCCTCCCCAGAAACTGGCACAGTGGTTAAATCGCACAACATAAAAACAAACTGTAACTATGAGTTAAGCTTAGCTCAATAGGTCGGTATGAAACACAAAATAAAACCAACGAAAAAACAATTTACACAAAAATAATAGTCTTAAAGCATCAAGAGTATAGGTACTCGCAGTTACTGAAAGCTAATTCAAAGTCAATTACAACTAATAAATGAAAAATGTTCTCCATGACTAAAGTATTAATCAGTGTGCATACAAAGGATTTAGTGTAAAGATGTCATAAACAATATGTTAAACGCATGACCTTATGCAAAATCAAAATATAAGTAAATAGTACAGGATGTAGGATCATAAATACTCATAATTGTACACGTATAGTAATGAATTTTGAATCATATTATATTTTATGCAGTAAACATAAACTATGCTAATGAAATTAAATGTTCTTTCTAAAACAATTTGGGTGATGTATGTTTAGGCAAAGGAGTAATTTGGTTTGTTTGAATAAGGTCAACGTTTAGTATGTATGAAGCTGTCATACTAAATCATAGACCGCTTTAGCATTGAACTGTCGGTAGTTTGATTTATAGCTGGTAGACTTTTCTAAAACTTTGATATAATGTGTCCCAAAAGTAGTACTACACTGTAAAAATCTATTTGAGATAGAGCAGAAAACATTTTTTTATTTGAATTTATTGCCTAAAAGAAATGCACAACACAATAACTGGGTTCTCGGGCCAGTTAACTACAGTTTTTATTATAATTCTTCGACTGTACTGCCTATTGCCTACTCATTCCGTAATTATGATCCCAATTCAAAGCTTTAACTTTCGGCTTCATTTACTTATCTATTTTTTACAATGAAATATAATGATTTGAAAATACGGTAAAATTACAAAAAACTCTCCACACTTCGGATATCCTCGTGCTTGAAAAACCGCAGTCCTAATATACATTCAACTGCCACTAATCGAAATTCACCATTCAAAATTTAGTACATTTCACAATTGTGTTAATGGAAGCAATGCATTTGCAGCTATGCTGTTCAACAAAAACGCACACGGATATTCACAAATAGTCCCGTGCAATGCCAGAAAATAACAAATTTGTTCCAGAATATCTTCAGATAAAATTTTTCGGCCATCAGCATACGGAAGAACTTTTTCTCTCTTCTTCACATATGACATTACTTGAAAAATCCAAAGCCTCATATATCTTGTAAATTGGACAAAACCAACATGTTGTATTCAATATGTAGGGCAAACTGGACCTGCATTTTTCAAACAAACAAAAGAACATAATATACTAGTACCGCTTCCGCAGACCTAAGAAATTGAAACGTTTAATCTACCAACATTTAGAAAAACATTAACACAATATTAAATTTATGAAGTTCCAACCAAGAAACAACCAGGACGATCACATAAACAGTTTTAAGATAACAGACAACGTATCCCCTAGGTCTAAATGACAATATCATGGGCCAAGGGAACAAATCTAAATCTTCCTCTATTGATTTCATGTCTTATGCTGATAACAGACAAATAAATCATAGGTTTCATGGCAATCGCATTAACAGCAATCAACGAAATACTCATCGTTCTAATTTTACATATGGTGATCTTTCGTCTACATTTAAAAACAATGGTAGACATCAATTATTATGCAAACTGGGTTAAATGCCAATTAGTTAATTACATAATATTTATAAAGGTGTGATGTAATATCGATTTTCAGTCCAAAATATGGGTGTTTACGTATTATTGCAGCTTTTTGTCACCATAGACTGTTCCCTCGAATTGACAAACCTGAAGATAATAGAAGAGTGGCGAAAGATACCAAAAGGACATTCAAACTCATAAGTCAAAAACAATCTGACAACGCCATGGCTAAAAAAGCAAAAAGACAAACAGACAAACAATATACAAAAACACAACATAGAAAACTAACGACTGACTAACACGAACCCCACCAAAAACTGGAAGTAATATCATGTGCTCCGGAATGGTACGCAGATCCTGCTCCACATGTTGCACTCGTCGTGTTGCTAAATTGTATGTACAAACTCGGTATTTTCTAAAAATTAAATACAATAATAGAGGTATTGATTTTATCAATTTGTCTAGTATTTTTAATGAATCTACCGTCCAAAACTTCATACTTCCATATTTTGATAATATAGAGCCACCTATGATTTCTATTTCGTATAGGAAACCATGCAGAAGTTTAATTTTTTAATTATACATGAGTTACATCAGACGTCAGTTTAGAAAATAATGCTCATCCAATATAAGACTGTGAAACATCGAAGTTTAGATATGATCCATATGGCCACGTAATTACAGGGACCTCAATATCCTTCAAGACCAAGAGGTAAACAACGTTCTGAAAAAAGGACCAAAATGTCTTCCACTATCGCAAATCAATTAGAATCAGGTCTTTAAAGGAGCTCTTTCATCCTATTGTAAAAATTAGAAATCTGACAAAAAGTCACTTGATTCCTATTTAATTAAATGTCTCGATATTTTTGATATTTGCATATCACATTTCGAAAATAACTTAGAAATAAATAAAAGCGTAAATAATACGCCAATTTCTAGGATTCAAATAAAAGCGTTTTGCATTCGGACCTTCTGACAAAGCAGCAAACAATGTGGTGGTACTACGCGGAAATCCTTAAGAATGAAATGATAGATTCAACTACATGCAAGGCCGTTCGCACCAAAGAGAGTCAAATATTAAATTAGCATGTCAGTACCACAGCTCAGTTCATGTATTGGTTACCCAAACTACACAAAAATATCGTTTCATCTCGGCCCCTAGTAAGTGTTCTACTACTAATCCCTCAGTGCTTTTACATCAACGAATTATATAAGAGTAACACGACGGGTGTCATATGTGGAGCAGGATCTGCTTACCTATTGGAGCACCTGAGATCACCCCCAGTATTTAAAGTTTGTGTTAATCAGTCTTTTGCTTTGTGTGTTGTGTTTTGTGTGATGTTGTTTGTCTGTGTGCCTTTTTCTGATTTTGCCATGGCGTTGTCGGTTTGTTTTCGACTTGTGAGTTTGAATTTCCTTTTGGTACCTTTCGCCTCTCTTTAATGAGGTGCTTAACTACTTTCAAAGAGCTTATAATTAACTTTTGTAGATAGATACATAGCAGAAAAATATCTAACAAAACACAGACCGAACGTGGGAGGGTCCATGATGGTCCTTTTGATTTGGTTGACAGTTTTGACTTTTCAACAATTTATACTACACTTCCACACAATCTCAGTTTTCCTATTTAAGTAAATAGTCGTTTGATTAATCTGATTGTTGATGTATTTTCTGCAACTCATATGAAAAATTCTCTGTAATGTAAAAGGTAAATATTCTAGATGTACCTACTGGAGGTGTAATTAAAGCTGTAAATTTTCTCCTTGATAACCCTTATGTACGTTTCGGCAATATAGTTTATCGACAGGTTGTAGGTATTCCTATGGGCACCAATTGACCTCCTTTTATAGCAAACTTGTTCCTGTACTGTTATGAATCACAATTTATGGCCAAACACAGTAAAGACCCGTCTAAATTCGAATTAATTCATAAATTCAACAACACTTACCGTTACCTTGATGATATGTTTTCGTTGAATAATTCGTTTTATCAATCCTTTAAACAAAATTATTCTAAAAGCGTACCTATTCAGCACTGTAATTATATCTTTGAATATTGTTTTTATTGGTATAGATATTGATTTTGTTATCAGTAAATCAAATCCATACTAAATATTATTGTTATATACATATACACATTCACGATACTATACAATCTGTCGATACCTATATTTTGGCATTGCACAACGTTATATTTTTCGCTGACTGTTAATGACGTCTCTACACTTTTGGAAATTGGATATTTCTTGGTTGATATTTTAGACTTATATACATGACTTTTTATTAGTTGTTATTGGCTTTGAACTAGCTGTCAGTATCTGAGTGTACTCTCAGATTTTTACTTAGTGTCTTTTTTGTTGTGGGATGTATGGATACGCTGCCACGTCTAGTATGTACTTTCGTTAGATGTTTCTGCTTTGTATCGATCTGATAAGTTAAGCCCTTTTCAACTGATTTTTATAGTTTATTCTTATGTTGTACTGTTACAACACTGTACATGGTAAGGGGGAGGGTGTGGCGTCAGCAAACTAGTTTGATCCCGCAACATTCTGTATTTGTCTGTCCCTAGTCACGAGCCTGTTGTTCAGTGGTTGTCGTTGGTTCATGTCTGTCATATTTGTTTTTCGCAAATTGTTTTGTTATAAATTGGGCCATTAGATTTTCTCAATTGAATTATTTTTCATGTCGGTGCCTTTTATAGCTGACTGTATGATATGGGTTTTTCTCATTGTTGAAGGTCGTACGTTTGCTTATTATTGCTTACATTCACTTCATTTGAACTTTAGTGGATAGTCGTCTCATTGGTAATCATACCACATCTCCTATCTTTATACAAAAAGCACAAACTTTGTTTTCAAAATGTGCACTGAAAGTAAACACATTAAATCCCTTTAATCAATGTAAAAGAAATCACACATAGATACACACAACAACATTCAAATCTAAAATTCCTATATTTTCTTTCTATTTTGATAGTATTCATCATACAAGTAATGTAAATAAAGAAAAAATATTTTCTACACAAATGTAAGGTAAGAATCTATCAAAAATACATTATCTTACTAAGGTAATTAAAGCATTAAGCATTAAACCCTTTTCAGTTTCATATGAAATTTCTTCTATAAGTATATGTAAACACAACGAAACTATAAGCTAGGTATCATAAGTATTTTAAATAACTTGCACTAAGATGTGGTTCGTATGTTTTAGTGTTTTGTACAGAGTTGTTTGTCTTTTTTGTCATGATTTTATCAGTCTTTCTAATTGACGAGTTTTGATTCCTCCAATTGGTATATGCCGCCTCTTATTTAAAAAAAAAAAGATACCCCATACAAATCCACTATAAAATCATCATTTATGCTAAAGATTATAGATTCGCAACACATATAGGTTAGTGGACATGCTTACCAAATTATCTATGTAAAAATAAAGAGATTATCCCAAAAATGGATGCTTACCAAACTATTTAGACTTCCCATGTTTGTTTCTTTTTGTATGAAAACAAGGAGTTGTGTTATGATTACCGATGATACATCTATCCATTGACCAAAGTACAATGATGTAAATGTAGTTTTTTTGCAACTGGTATTCATCAATATTAAATTCTCAAAATAAAATAACATGTGTATAATGTAAGATTATAAAAGAAGTATTCCAGTAGCGGCCTTTGGGCGTGAGGAATTAATTTCATTTTATCTAAATTATACCTGGGTCGGTACCTCTGCTTGGAAGACTATTAGTAACGGAGGATGTCATCTGCGAACTAGCTTAAATCAAAAAATACATTTCATCTATAAATGTACAGCTCCCAAAAAATGTAACTGTGCAAATGTTGAGGTAACTAATAAATGAGGAATGTATATTTTGATTAGATCTTTAAATAAATGGTAATAGGAAGTCTGATTTCTTCATAGAAGACCATAACGTGTATCATTTAAGGGAACTATTGTACCAGGATCGATGATTGAATATCCTCAATTAATTTTCAATTAACAAACCAAGATTAACAGAGTGAGAAAATTGTCAGAACCAACAAAACGAGACAGAGTCCGTCGGCAGGCGCGGCATCTTCTGCCTGACATGAAATACTTGCCTTAATAATCCAAACTTAGTAACATGGTCTCGATAAGAAATATAGTGCAATCGGTTAATGAACAGATTAAACGACTCTCGTGAAAATGAAAAAACAGGTAAGAACTGCACAAGAAAGGTAGAATGCAAATTGAAAACAAATTAGGCCAAAATCAGAATACGAACGACATATCTTGTTGGGTCGCAATTTACAATTTGAAATAGTGTTATTGTCCTCAGAAATAAAATAATGCGGATCAACTGTTGTTCTGTCGAAGCTCATCTTATCTTCAGAAAAAATTGTTTGTGATATATTGATAAGGTGTGTATTGTAGAATGTAAAAACTGGCCAAAGTTTTACATTATTAGAAATATTGAGCATCTCTGATATATGGATAATTTTACGGTTTGACATAAGAACAAAATGTGATTTATGAAGTTCCAGTGTCAGCTGCCCTCGTACATATTCTGAATCTCGTTCAAATATATCGCTTTCCAGTCTTTTAAATACATTTTCTAGTACATACAGACATATTCCTAGTCCCTCATCACATCTTTGACCTCTGACAACAATAATTGGACAATCAGAAAGTAAAAGAACTTTTAATGTAGTAAAACCAAATTCAAATAGTATTTCACCATCATCAGCTATTTCCGGATATAATAGTTGAAACTTTATAATAATATCAAACTGATCTGAACTACCAAAAGTTAGACTTCTATTTCCGAAAATCCATCCATACATGTGGGTGTTTGAACTAGCAGCAGTGAGACAAAGAAATCGCAGGAGTTCGTTGTTGTCTTCTTTCTTGTTCCTTTTATTATTGGCCTTTGTACATGTAATGGTATCTGTAAAAGAGGTAAGATAACAGCCTTCGATAAAACGAAATGAAATGACATACATGTATCGGTCAATATTTAAAGACCTATTTGCTAAACTGTTATACACTAGTAAATGAATATTAGTTTGAAACGGTAATTTTGATCTTAACATCATAGGAAAAGTATAAAACTGAACACATAAAATGTGGTTTGAGAGTTTAAGTTATTTTTCAGATACTTTCTTGTAGTCAATCCAGTACTTTTCAGTATCTTTTCAGACATTTAAGTACCAGTATGATGTTGTTTCGTGCAGGAAAATGACTGCTACTGATAAACGTAACATAGAACATATTTTAAATGATTACAAGCGAATTGTCTGTGCAGTACTGAATTTACTGCTGATGATGGGAGTTTTTAAGGACCTTTACTGGCTATACAGCCATCGCACGGTCGGTCAAGAATTTGCTGCAGTGGATAAGTCTGAAATTTAACTGAAAGACCTAACACAATTTAATAATGTATTGTTCAGTCTTTTAAGAGCTGTTTAAATCAGAATACTTTAAAATGGGATTTGTTCAAGGTGTATCAATATATGCAATATTTGATTATCTGATTATATTGACTAATATGATGTATTTACTTTGTAATGACTGTTGTGGAAGTATGAATTGTTTTTATATGCACCTATGTTTGTTTTGACAATGATGTTCTATATGAGTACTAAGTATGCTACCTTTCCAATTTCGGAAACTCGGGAGAACTCTTAGTTATTTTTTTTTTCTCTTGAAGATACGACCGTCATATTCCTAACTTGGTACAGGCATTTTCCGAAAAAAAATGTTGGGTTAAACCTGGTTCTATAGCTAGCTAAACATAAACATGATGACAGTGGATGCCATTATACAAAGAGTTTCTTCTTTTCTAAAATATTAACTCAAATATCTCTCGTTGTCGAATGCTGTATTGCATATTGAGGTTTTCCTTTATTTTCATCATATTACAGAAAATGTATATTGTTGATGGAATTGTCTTCAGAATAGACGCACAACGAAGAGCAGAATACACATAAATACTGAGGGTATGTCTATCCATCATGACTTGTAAGAGCACCCACGTTTACTTCGTATCTCATTTTAATATATAAATATATCAACACTATCTTGGACAATTTCGACAATCAACACTGAACAACCTTATATCTAAGGTTTATATCTTTATTACTTTGTTTAAACAAATATTTCTTTATACAAATAGAATAAGTCAGTATATCTGTTTACCTTGTTCGAATGTTACTTGCTGAAGTTCGGTTTTAAGTCTTCTATTTTCATATTGAAGAATATAGTAAAGATAATCATTGTTGCACTTTTCTGTTTTTTGTGGTCCATCTGTTTGTGAGCAATAAGTTCTCATTTCCGTTGATAAACTTTCTAACTGAAAAAATATTCTTAACATATCTTCTGTTAGTTGAAAATCATTCTTTTGGTCCTCTGAAAACATATGCCATAGAAAATTAAAATATAACTCAATGAAGTGGTCACATCAATCAGAACTAAGGCTTGAGCTAAAATACAAGTAAGCATTGGGGATGACATATTTGATTTCAAGGTATCAATATAAATTTTAATTCGTATATAATAATCTAAAATAGAAAAGGAATTTCTGGCAATAATTGTTTTCCCTTTTACAGTAAATTAAATCTGAAAAAGCACATAACAAGAAGTTATTTTTTTTTCAAAAAGATGTGTTTACTGAAGCATGTGTTTAGCAATTAGACCTACACAAATCAGATCATTTAATTCAATGTTCTTTTTTCTGAAAAATCAGTAACTTACAATTATTATCATTTTGTCAAAAATAATCATTCTTCTCAATGTTCATTTTATTCCTTTAACCGGTATTCAACTTGTAAAATTCAACAGATTCAAATATTTGAGACATTGTTCGACTTTTAATTTTGTCAGGAAAACCATCCAAAATAAAAGAAAATAACTGATCAAGAAACTGAGTAAGAACAATCCCATTAACAATTTTATGCTTATGATTTATAACAAAAACTCTCGATTTATCAGCATGAGTGTCATCACTGGCGCTCGAAACACAACTGTTTCAAGTCAAAATTAAAAACGAGACTAGAGAGCATTTAAACAAAGAAATCAAAAAGATAGTGCCAGAATACGGTTTTCTGTGCATTGGGTAGAAAAAATTTCGAGTAATTCAATATTTGATGAACACTAAATTTAAAGATAATGAACGTATCAATGATTCTGGGTTGATGATACCCTTGGGTACGAATCATCCACCAGCTTAGCATCGACCAAGTTGTTAAAAACTCATTAAAGAAACCAAGCTTATAATGTGGTACGGTAGATACGCATTTCGTCTATCGTATATTAGTAGCGCTCGCATCAAAACAATTGAAAGGCAAAATCAAAAACGAAGTTAAAGAGTATTGTACATCAAAATTTCATCGAAAAGTTATGCCAAATACTGCTTAGGCTATCTACGGCTTGGCGTAGAAAACTTTAATATTTCGAAAACATTGAAATTTAATAAACAGTAAATTTGCAGAAAATGAACCTATCAATAATATTTCATGTCAACCTAAAAGTGATTACTACTAGAATGGTGTTACCCTCGGGTACAAAACGTACAACAGCAGTTTCATCGATTAAAAGAGGTGGAGTGAACAAAGAGGACATTCAAAACACTACATAGAAAACTAAGGATTGAACACAAACCTCATAAAAAATCTGGGGTAAACTCAAGTGCTCCTGAAGGGTCAGCAATTCCTGCTCAACATATGGTACCCGTCGTATAGGCATTGCAAATATAAATCGGTGATTATTTTCACTAGGTGATGTCTCAATCTAGGAACGGTCTCGATATTTTTGATATTTGCATATCACATTTCGAAAATAACTTAGAAATAAATAAAAGCGTAAATAATACGCCAATTTCTAGGATTCAAATAAAAGCGTTTTGCATTCGGACCTTCTGACAAAGCAGCAAACAATGTGGTGGTACTACGCGGAAATCCTTAAGAATGAAATGATAGATTCAACTACATGCAAGGCCGTTCGCACCAAAGAGAGTCAAATATTAAATTAGCATGTCAGTACCACAGCTCAGTTCATGTATTGGTTACCCAAACTACACAAAAATATCGTTTCATCTCGGCCCCTAGTAAGTATTCTACTACTAATCCCTCAGTGCTTTTACATCAACGAATTTTATAAGAGTAACACGACGGGTGTCATATGTGGAGCAGGATCTGCTTACCTATTGGAGCACCTGAGATCACCCCCAGTATTTAAAGTTTGTGTTAATCAGTCTTTTGCTTTGTGTGTTGTGTTTTGTGTGATGTTGTTTGTCTGTGTGCCTTTTTCTGATTTTGCCATGGCGTTGTCGGTTTGTTTTCGACTTGTGAGTTTGAATTTCCTTTTGGTACCTTTCGCCTCTCTTTAATGAGGTGCTTAACTACTTTCAAAGAGCTTATAATTAACTTTTGTAGATAGATACATAGCAGAAAAATATCTAACAAAACACAGACCGAACGTGGGAGGGTCCATGATGGTCCTTTTGATTTGGTTGACAGTTTTGACTTTTCAACAATTTATACTACACTTCCACACAATCTCAGTTTTCCTATTTAAGTAAATAGTCGTTTGATTAATCTGATTGTTGATGTATTTTCTGCAACTCATATGAAAAATTCTCTGTAATGTAAAAGGTAAATATTCTAGATGTACCTACTGGAGGTGTAATTAAAGCTGTAAATTTTCTCCTTGATAACCCTTATGTACGTTTCGGCAATATAGTTTATCGACAGGTTGTAGGTATTCCTATGGGCACCAATTGACCTCCTTTTATAGCAAACTTGTTCCTGTACTGTTATGAATCACAATTTATGGCCAAACACAGTAAAGACCCGTCTAAATTCGAATTAATTCATAAATTCAACAACACTTACCGTTACCTTGATGATATGTTTTCGTTGAATAATTCGTTTTATCAATCCTTTAAACAAAATTATTCTAGAAGCGTACCTATTCAGCACTGTAATTATATCTTTGAATATTGTTTTTATTGGTATAGATATTGATTTTGTTATCAGTAAATCAAATCCATACTAAATATTATTGTTATATACATATACACATTCACGATACTAAACAATCTGTTGATACCTATATTTTGGCATTGCACAACGTTATATTTTTCGCTGACTGTTAATGACGTCTCTACACTTTTGGAAATTGGATATTTCTTGGTTGATATTTTAGACATATGTACATGACTTTTTATTAGTTGTTATTGGCTTTGAACTAGCTGTCAGTATCTGAGTGTACTCTCAGATTTTTACTTAGTGTCTTTTTTGTTGTGGGATGTATGGATACGCTGCCACGTCTAGTATGTACTTTCGTTAGATGTTTCTGCTTTGTATCGATCTGATAAGTTAAGCCCTTTTCAACTGATTTTTATAGTTTATTCTTATGTTGTACTGTTACAACACTGTACATGGTAAGGGGGAGGGTGTGGCGTCAGCAAACTAGTTTGATCCCGCCACATTCTGTATTTGTCTGTCCCTAGTCACGAGCCTGTTGTTCAGTGGTTGTCGTTGGTTCATGTCTGTCATATTTGTTTTTCGCAAATTGTTTTGTAATAAATTGGGCCATTAGAATTTCTCAATTGAATTATTTTTCATGTCGGTGCCTTTTATAGCTGACTGTATGATATGGGTTTTTCTCATTGTTGAAGGTCGTACGTTTGCTTATTATTGCTTACATTCACTTCATTTGAACTTTAGTGGATAGTCGTCTCATTGGTAATCATACCACATCTCCTATCTTTATACAAAAAGCACAAACTTTGTTTTCAAAATGTGCACTGAAAGTAAACACATTAAATCCCTTTAATCAATGTAAAAGAAATCACACATAGATACACACAACAACATTCAAATCTAAAATTCCTATATTTTCTTTCTATTTTGATAGTATTCATCATACAAGTAATGTAAATAAAGAAAAAATATTTTCTACACAAATGTAAGGTAAGAATCTATCATAAATACATTATCTTACTTAGGTAATTAAAGCATTAAGCATTAAACCCTTTTCAGTTTCATATGAAATTTCTTCTATAAGTATATGTAAACACAACGAAACTATAAGCTAGGTATCATAAGTATTTTAAATAACTTGCACTAAGATGTGGTTCGTATGTTTTAGTGTTTTGTACAGAGTTGTTTGTCTTTTTTGTCATGATTTTATCAGTCTTTCTAATTGACGAGTTTTGATTCCTCCAATTGGTATATGCCGCCTCTTATTTAAAAAAAAAAAGATAAACCATACAAATCCACTATAAAATCATCATTTATGCTAAAGATTATAGATTCGCAACACATATAGGTTAGTGGACATGCTTACCAAATTATCTATGTAAAAATAAAGAGATTACCCCAAAAATGGATGCTTACCAAACTATTTAGACTTCCCATGTTTGTTTCTTTTTGTATGAAAACAAGGAGTTGTGTTATGATTACCGATGATACATCTATCCATTGACCAAAGTACAATGATGTAAATGTAGTTTTTTTGCAACTGGTATTCATCAATATTAAATTCTCAAAATAAAATAACATGTGTATAATGTAAGATTATAAAAGAAGTATTCCAGTAGCGGCCTTTAGGCGTGAGGAATTAATTTCATTTTATCTAAATTATACCTGGGTCGGTACCTCTGCTTGGAAGACTATTAGTAACGGAGGATGTCATCTGCGAACTAGCTTAAATCAAAAAATACATTTCATCTATAAATGTACAGCTCCCAAAAAATGTAACTGTGCAAATGTTGAGGTAACTAATACATGAGGAATGTATATTTTGATTAGATCTTTAAATAAATGGTAATAGGAAGTCTGATTTCTTCATAGAAGACCATAACGTGTATCATTTAAGGGAACTATTGTATCAGGATCGATGATTGAATATCCTCAATTAATTTTCAATTAACAAACCAAGATTAACAGAGTGAGAAAATTGTCAGAACCAACAAAACGAGACAGAGTCCGTCGGCAGGCGCGGCATGTTCTGCCTGACATGAAATACTTGCCTTAATAATCCAAACTTAGTAACATGGTCTCGATAAGAAATATAGTGCAATCGGTTAATGAACAGATTAAACGACTCTCGTGAAAATGAAAAAACAGGTAAGAACTGCACAAGAAAGGTAGAATGCAAATTGAAAACAAATTAGGCCAAAATCAGAATACGAACGACATATCTTGTTGGGTCGCAATTTACAATTTGAAATAGTGTTATTGTCCTCAGAAATAAAATAATGCGGATCAACTGTTGTTCTGTCGAAGCTCATCTTATCTTCAGAAAAAATTGTTTGTGATATATTAATAAGGTGTGTATTGTAGAATGTAAAAACTGGCCAAAGTTTTACATTATTAGAAATATTGAGCATCTCTGATATATGGATAATTTTATGGTTTGACATAAGAACAAAATGTGATTTATGAAGTTCCAGTGTCAGCTGCCCTCGTACATATTCTGAATCATGTTCAAATATATCGCTTTCCAGTCTCTTAAATACATTTTCTAGTACATACAGACATATTCCTAGTCCCTCATCACATCTTTGACCTCTGACAACAATAATTGGACAATCAGAAAGTAAAAGAACTTTTAACGTAGTAAAACCAAATTCAAATAGTATTTCACCATCATCAGCTATTTCCGGATATAATAGTTGAAACTTTATAATAATATCAAACTGATCTGAACTACCAAAAGTTAGACTTCTATTTCCGAAAATCCATCCATACATGTGGGTGTTTGAACTAGCAGCAGAGAGACAAAGAAATCGCAGGAGTTCGTTGTTGTCTTCTTTCTTGTTCCTTTTATTATTGGCCTTTGTACATGTAATGGTATCTGTAAAAGAGGTAAGATAACAGCCTTCGATAAAACGAAATGAAATGACACACATGTATCGGTCAATATTTAAAGACCTATTTGCTAAACTGTTATACACTAGTAAATGAATATTAGTTTGAAACGGTAATTTTGATCTTAACATCATAGGAAAAGTATAAAACTGAACACATAAAATGTGGTTTGAGAGTTTAAGTTATTTTTCAGATACTTTTTTGTAGTCAATCCAGTACTTTTCAGTATCTTTTCAGACAATTAAGTACCAGTATGATGTTGTTTCGTGCAGAAAAATGACTGCTACTGATAAACGTAACATAGGACATATTTTAAATGATTACAAGCGAATTGTCTGAGCAGTACTGAATTTACTGCTGATGATGGGAGTTTTTAAGGACCTTTACTGGCTATACAGCCATCGCACGGTCGGTCAAGAATTTGCTGCAGTGGACAAGTCTGAAATTTAACTGAAAGACCTAACACAATTTAATAATGTATTGTTCAGTCTTTTAAGAGCTGTTTAAATCAGAATACTTTAAAATGGGATTTGTTCAAGGTGTATCAATATATGCAATATTTGATTATCTGATTGTAATGACTAATATGATGTATTTACTTTGTAATGACTGTTGTGGAAGTATGAATTGTTTTTATATGCACCTATGTTTGTTTTGACAATGATGTTCTATATGAGTACTAAGTATGCTACCTTTCCAATTTCGGAAACTCGGGAGAACTCTTAGTTATTTTTTTTTCTCTTGAAGATACGACCGTCATATTCCCAACTTGGTACAGGCATTTTCCGAAGAAAATGTTGGGTTAAACCTGGTTCTATAGCTAGCTAAACATAAACATGATGACAGGGGATGCCATTATACAAAGAGTTTCTTCTTTTCTAAAATATTAACTCAAATATCTCTCGTTGTCGAATGCTGTATTGCATATTGAGGTTTTCCTTTATTCTCATCATATTACAGAAAATGTATATTGTTGATGGAATTGTCTTCAGAATAGACGCACAACGAAGAGCAGAATACACATAAATACTGAGGGTATGTCTATCCATCATGACTTGTAAGAGCACCCACGTTTACTTCGTATCTCATTTTAATATATAAATATATCAACACTATCTTGGACAATTTCGACAATCAACACTGAACAACCTTATATCTAAGGTTTATATCTTTATTACTTTGTTTAAACAAATATTTCTTTATACAAATAGAATAAGTCAGCATATCTGTTTACCTTGTTCGAATGTTACTTGCTGAAGTTCGGTTTTAAGTCTTCTATTTTCATATTGAAGAATATAGTAAAGATAATCATTGTTGCACTTTTCTGTTTTTTGTGGTCCATCTGTTTGTGAGCAATAAGTTCTCATTTCCGTTGATAAACTTTCTAACTGAAAAAATATTCTTAACATATCTTCTGTTAGTTGAAAATCATTCTTTTGGTCCTCTGAAAACATATGCCATAGAAAATTAAAATATAACTCAATGAAGTGGTCACATCAATCAGAACTAAGGCTTGAGCTAAAATACAAGTAAGCATTGGGGATGACATATTTGATTTCAAGGTATCAATATAAATTTTAACTCGTATATAATAATCTAAAATAGAAAAGGAATTTCTGGCAATAATTGTTTTCCCTTTTACAGTAAATTAAATCTGAAAAAGCACATAACAAGAAGTTATTTTTTTTTCAAAAAGATGTGTTTACTGAAGCATGTGTTTAGCAATTAGACCTACACAAATCAGATCATTTAATTCAATGTTCTTTTTTCTGAAAAATCAGTAACTTACAATTATTATCATTTTGTCAAAAATAATCATTCTTCTCAATGTTCATTTTATTCCTTTAACCGGTATTCAACTTGTAAAATTCAACAGATTCAAATATTTGAGACATTGTTTGACTTTTAATTTTGTCAGGAAAACCATCCAAAATAAAAGAAAATAACTGATCAAGAAACTGAGTAAGAACAATCCCGTTAACAATTTTATGCTTATGATTTATAACAAAAACTCTCGATTTATCAGCATGAGTGTCATCACTGGCGCTCGAAACACAACTGTTTCAAGTCAAAATTAAAAACGAGACTAGAGAGCATTTAAACAAAGAAATCAAAAAGATAGTGCCAGAATACGGTTTTCTGTGCATTGGTTAGAAAAAATTTCGAGTAATTCAATATTTGATGAACACTAAATTTAAAGATAATGAACGTATCAATGATTCTGGGTTGATGATACCCTTGGGTACGAATCATCCACCAGCTTAGCATCGACCAAGTTGTTAAAAACTCATTAAAGAAACCAAGCTTATAATGTGGTACGGTAGATGCGCATTTCGTCTATCGTATATTAGTAGCGCTTGCATCAAAACAATTGAAAGGCAAAATCAAAAACGAAGTTAAAGAGTATTGTACATCAAAATTTCATCGAAAAGTTATGCCAAATACTGCTTAGGCTATCTACGGCTTGGCGTAGAAAACTTTAATATTTCGAAAACATTGAAATTTAATAAACAGTAAATTTGCAGAAAATGAACCTATCAATAATATTTCATGTCAACCTAAAAGTGATTACTACTAGAATGGTGTTACCCTCGGGGACAAAACGTACAACAGTTTCATCGATTAAAAGAGGTGGAGGGAACAAAGAGGACATTCAAAACACTACATAGAAAACTAAGGATTGAACACAAACCTCATAAAAAATCTAGGGTAAACTCAAGTGCTCAGCAATTCCTGCTCAACATATGGTACCCGTCGTATAGGCATTGCAAATATAAATCGGTGATTATTTTCACTAGGTGATGTCTCAATCTAGGAACGGAGAACGGGATTGTAGTGAAGACAAACGGAACGTGGTACTGTGTGACGCAGATATTTCGTAACGGTCAACTAACTCATGATGGCTTTTAAACTTTTAAAGGGATGACTTCAACTGTATCCCTTGGTCTGATAGCTTTCATGTAAAGCAGAAATCCAATATCAAGGAAATGATAATATGAAACACTGTACCATTTCCTACTTTATGTGGCCTTTTTTCAAAACTTTTTTTACTCCAGCGTGACAATGAGTATTTTGTGGTTTCTTGACGAAACGCAAGTCTGGCGTAACAATTATAAGCCTGGTATCTGTAATGAGTTTATTTGTAAGCAGACGAAATACTGCCAACGCCATGGCAAAAAATTAAGAGCGACAAAAAGACGAACAAGTCCCAAAAACATTACACAGCAAACCAAAGATTAAGCAACACGAACCCTAATAATTGTATTGATGTAACTACCATGGAATATAAGAAGAACATTTGTACATACGCAGAACGGTTAAACAAAATTGAAATGGAAACTACAAGTAGATAAATATAAATTTGATAGAAATGAGTCAAATACAGTCAAACCTGCTTAAGAGACCACCTGTTTTAATCAAAAACCTATGTTTTAAGACCATTAATTTTAGGTCCCTCTGTAGTGCATTTCATATAGATTAAACCTGTATTAAAAGACCACCTGTCTTGTGAGACCAATTTTTTGCTCGCCCTTAATTGGTCTCTTAAAACAGGTTTCACTGCATAAATAAAATCAAGAAATGTACTAATCAAAATAAGCTGATACATTGTACTAAAAGGCAAACATCTAAAACTACACAGCAACAGCAAACACAAATAAAATTAACATATTCTCAAACGCATTTGTACTTACTATATACATATTTGAAACCTGAAATATATAGAATGAGTATGTTATGTTAGAAACATGCAAATGAATCAATTTGTTTCTTGATATTGTTGGTGTTGCTAAAAGATAACGGGTTCTGATAATTTTGATTTGCATTTGAAAATGTTACTCCTGTCTTACTTCATTAAATTAGCCAAAAGTAGTTTACCGATATTTAAATCTCATAAATCGATTCAGAAGACAAATCAAGGTAGCTAACAAAAAATGAACACCAAAAGAAGCGAGACCAGGTGCGTCGACATAGATAGCGTTTCCTGCTATGTATGCATCACCCACCATGCAAATCTACTCAGTCAGAATGTTAGAACCGGTTATAGAACAATATCGGTCAAATTACAGATTATACTGATATTGTAGTATCTAATGATATAAAACTAACGGTGGTGCGTTGAGACACAGACACATAATATCAGTCAACCAATACGTGATGGTTACTGTAAAACTAATTTAGTGTCGATTTTATTCATTCTCCCCAATAACTCTGTTGGAGCAGGGTTTTTTTATAAGAAGCATACCCCTGCTAATGAGGTCCGTGGAGTGTGAAAATGCACGAGCGTAACGTATAAATTGAGATGTTCAAACGCCACACAATGGAGCAGAGGTATGGTACTGCTGAGAAATGAGAGGTCGACAATTGGAAAGGTTGAAAGTTATAAGGAATACTTGCCAGTTCTTGCCTGAATGCTTTCATACTTTTCGGTAAAATTGGAACAAAACGCATTTTTTCAAACAGATTTTAACCTTTAGACAAAGCGTACTGTTTGTATGCGTTGTTAATCAAACTGAATATTAATGGAACGAGCCTTTTAGTTTATATATGTGACTGTCTTTTCAATTGTGATGTCGTTTTTGATAAAACTAACTGGCACCTCATGCATATTCTTATGATTTCTTTTAGATATTCCATAACTATGAGTATTTTATTTTCTTTCGTGTATTTGCCAGTAAGGTTTGGTTATGATGCAAAATGCAATTCTTTTGTCTAGACTGTTAGAACAACTTCAACTTCTTATGTTCTAGCCAATAATTTCTAGCTCACTCATTCTTTACTCATTATGGTCATCCCTTAGTTTTTCAAGCTCAGATGTTGTAGCTACAACATCTGACTTTACTCGATCTTTCTTGATTTCTGTAATCATGCGCGACAACCGGTCTTCTATATTCTCTGACTTGTTGGCTCGTGAACATCATGTTAAAAAAAAGAGTTCTTATGAATGAGCCCTATTTTAGATTCACATAGACTCTCGTTAATAAAATTTACGACAAAGAGACGATTTGTTGATCCCTTTTTTTAACTTTAATCTTGTGGACAGCGATGTTTTTTGGCCCTTTTTATGGTGTGAATTTTTCGAAAATCGCTATGAATGTTTTTTGTCTAATGCTTTTACACTATTACAAGAGAAAAGAAACTTAGATTGTATGTACCCTAAAGATCGTAAGTAGCCACATCTGATTCACGCGTCCCTAGCATGCAGGTAGTTTGAAAAAAACTCTGATGTACGACTTTGCTTGCTCATAAGATAGATATTAATAATTTGGAAAGAGGTTTTCATGGAACGTTTGTCAAACCCAGCAATATGTTACATTGATTGTAAGGACACTTAGGTAATTTTGGTATTCAGTGCAGTCAAGGAATACCAACTTCTTTAATATTCTTGAAATTCCATATCTATATAGAACAGACCTAAAATTGAGCAGTATTTCTAATTAGTTCAGTGTCTTAGGAGTAAATGTTGAGTTTCCTGGTAAATAATCAATTCCAAATTCCTATATCAAGCAAATCATGTAATGATAGTTTCAAACAAGAACAAAGTTGTTTGGGCCTTTTCTTGGAAAGAGTATCTACGTCTTCAGGTAACCAGTAATGACGTGACCAGGAAGATTATATGAATGGGGAACTAGTACATGTCCATCAGGAAGATAAGACTTGAAGTCGTTAATATTGAGATTTTGCAACACGTTTTTGTAGGTAGTTGAAAATATTTGTCTCATTAGCAATCATACTACATCTCCTTTCTGTTTTTATAGTAACTGGAATAAAAAAACCCATAAGTCAACTATACGATCTACCCTCTAAAGACAATAACTACTGAACATGTGTAAACTATTTAAATATAGTACATAAGTCAAAGGAGTTGGGTAATAATAAGTTATGATACCTAGCAAAGTCCCCCAAAAAATTAATAAAAAAATTAAAAATGAAACTTCAAAACCCAGCCTAAGTGCTCGCTTTCTATGAACTACATTGACCTTTGGTTTAGTTGAAATAAGTTTTTGGAACATAATGTCGTTGTAATAATAATGCTTGAGATATAAGAAAGGAAGAATATCGCTTTTTTAATGAATTTGTAATTTATCACGTACATTTTTAAAGCTTGAAGCCAACAACGGGAATGTTTACATGCTAGATTGTAACCTACATACACTTGTGGACAGTGTATGCCTAATAGGTAAGACATAAAAATTGTATGAAATAGTCGAAGAATAATAACGTATCTAAAGTAAAATAAACCTAAAATATTATTGAAAGCAGAGTAGTCAAGCTTTCAACGCAAATCAATGTTTCATCTCTTCTGTATTGAGTGCCCTAAATATACAGTTTGCTGAATATCTTTCCTTAAATAAATCTTTGGAAGAATTAATCGTGGGTTTCATGTCCTTAATCGATGTTAACCAACTATTTACAATTACAATCGTTTAGATTGATTGATTGGGACGGCAAGGGGGAAAGTTAGACTTTATCTATATAAACAAGCAATAGTCCGGTATGGCCTTGAAATAGAGTTGCGTTTTGACTCATCAGAAATATTGCCCGGATTTATTCCATATAGCACAACGGTCATCTGTCATCAAGGCTCAAACCATTAACAAGAGTAGTCATGTCTACCACATACTTCTATATACTAACCAATCCTTGGGGCAAAATGTCTAGACATTGGTTGTTGTGAATATTTTGCTCTATGTGTTTGTAGTAAATGCTTTCATGATTTTTTCAGCGTATTTAGTCAAGGATTATTCTTACAACTTTGTTCAGTTACCTTTCTTAATCAATTTCACCAGGTATCTGAAAACCTGAAACAAGAGATACAATAAAAGTAGGACTATGGTGATTTATTTAGGATGAACAATCCTTACACGCTCTTGATAATTTATAAACTCTTAATGCTGTTCTTCCTCTCAAAGTCACAGTCAAAATACATTTATGTACTACACTGAAAACACAAACGAAATTAAACTAAATACAACAATGACTTACCAATTAAGGTAACGAAAAGTGTCGTTAAAGATAGAATAATCGTTAAAACAATACCAATACATCTCCAATTCATTTTCTAAGACAGCCCCAAGTGTGTTACATTATTGTGCTGTAGAACATTCAGCGTCTTTAGAAGCTTTATTGACATCAACGTCACCACATTCTTATTTATGTTTTATTAATCTTTCTTTACATCAACTGGTTTCTCAAATGTTCTAAAATAGATTTATAAGCAATGAAAAACTAAATATACCAATTTGTTTTGTTTTCCATAGTATTAAAATTATACACTAACAGTACAGAGTGCCAACTTACCTGATATGTCTTTATAAATGTATTTGTAACAGCTACACATTATAAGTAATCTACGTTCATATCTACGGATGTTAACGTAGATAACGAATTTATTCCCGCTCTTAGTCCGAATCGGGCGATTTTATGGGAAATTCGGGTACAAAGTGTAACGTAAAAGCAAGTCTTTTTTCATTATTTAAAAAAGTGTTATTGAAATTTGGAAATTTGACATATTTTCTACGGGATGTAGGGTGTTAGCTTCGGTTGAACCCTAAAGGTAGTCAAAGGAAAGACTTTTTAATCCAGAGACAGAAAAACTAGAATAAATCTGTGGGTCATGTGCATAACTAGGTTAGTAGTCGCGTTCATTGGCGACGTAGTCTAATTGGCGACATGGTAGCAAAGTGATGCATTTACTAAAATGATCGGTATAATAGGTTGGAATTGTTAGTGGATTACATATTTAATTACAGACATCATGGCTAATCTGCAGAATTCAATTTTTCACTGGAAACAACCACGGAACTAAGGAAACTACGCATGAAGTTCTACGGGGTAATGGGTAGCAACGCCAAGGTATATGGGTTATAAACACCCGGGTCTAAGGTTTTTTTTTACAAAAGTCAGTAGCCAAATCAAAATCCGAAAAATATACTAAGCCGTGAATAAATGTTATCGATGGTTAGATATAGGAATGTTTACATATTATACGCTCGGATGTTTAACCTTGTAACTTGTAAGGTTTTACAATTATGTTACCGTAAACATCACAGTATGGGCTTGAAAAACCAATTTTTATGAAATACCTACCGGTAAAATCATACTTTGGAAGTAAACATACATTTGAAGGAACAACAGAAATTTGAAAGTACAGCTAAAGCAATGAGAGTCCACCGAATAAAGTCCAAAATATTAAAAAAAAACAAAAAAGTGTGAATTGGTTAAACAAGTTTGCAGTGCGGGTTTTATAAAGCATCATCACAAAAAATTATTGGAATCAGTAGTATAAATTTTGTGACATATAAAATCTTCAGATCACCAGAAGCAAGAATCGGTGATAATATCCCGCTCGGAGCAAAAGCTGAAATATTTAAGAAATTTTGTTTTAGTTCTTTTAATGATGGGTGGTCAAACCCGTCCAATATTATATATATTACGAAAGACATTTACATATAAGATGATAATAATTCACTTTAATTTTTTTAACGAAACTATTTGAAAGTGTGCGGTATCCATAGATTGGAAAAAAATTAAACCAATGTATGACATCTTTATTTTCATGTTGTAAAATAATTTTCCAAAACGAAAATTACACGGATCTGTTATCAAAAGAAAATTATATATTTGCCAAAAAAGAAGAACCAATGGAACATCGCCTTCTGGAGAGGTAATTCAAGGAAATGAAAAAAATATACCCGTTGATCAAGGATTTTAGCATGAAGATTTCAAGTACCATGAAATTTCATTACGAGACCAAAACAAATACAACAAAGATGAGATATTATTTTTTTACATTAGAAATATTTTGACTGTTCAAATTCTATGTCATATATAAATATCTGCAAGTATTGATGAAAATATCTACACTGTGGTCTTTCTCTGTATTAAATAAAATGGCTTCATAACTGTAGACAAAGTAACAAATCTGGATAAAAAAAGAGGCGAAAGATACCAGAAGTGCATTCAAACTCATAAGTCGAAAATAAACTAACAACGCCATGGCAGAAAAAGAAAAAAAGACCAAGAGTCAAACACCAGTATACACAACACAACATAGAAAAGTAAAGAATGAGCAACACAAACATCCCCAAAAACCGGGGGTGATCTCAAGTCCTCCGGGCGGGTAAGAATATCCTGCTCTACGTGTGGCACCCGTCACGTTGCTAATGTAATTAAAAACCCGGTTTTAAGTCTAATTCGGTAGGTCACAATCGGGGAAAGCAGGATGGGACTGTGGTTACGATTGGAATATATCCGGGAAAGGAGGACGAACATTCGGAGGGATGATTTCAACTTTACAACTTGAAACTCTTGGTTTGATATCTTCCTTTTGGGCAGCAACCCTCTATCAAGGAAATCATGAAAAGAAACAAAAGATACTACATTTAGTAAACACCGTTTATACAGTAGCTTTTGATTTTTTGACCACTAAATTTTTAATATGTTTTGGACCACATTGGTGAATACTTTGGTATATTTACATTACCCGTTGTTATGCTCCATAAATAAAACCTACCTGAATTACAAAGTGACGAATAAACTATTTACTTCCTCGTCTTTTATACGATTCGCAAGTTTAACATTTTTACGTAAAAGATATTTGATGATATTTTTTAATCTTTGATTGAACTGTAACTTCACTAAAGTAATGTTTGAACTAGGATTTGCCTTATTTGAGGCACACGTAAGGAAAATAAACTCATCAAAGATACCAGGGTTATTACTTTGTACGCCAGTCGACGTGCGTTTAGTGTACACCAGACTTATCAGTGGCACTTGAACTAAAACAGTTGGTAATGCCAAAATCAAATACGAACGTGAAGAGCATGAAAACCGAGAATCTAAAAATAGTTATGCTTAATAAGGCCTAGGCTAAGGTTAAGGAAATGATACGAATACTTTGACTTAAATAGCACACAACACCAGCGTTGCCTAAAGTATTTTGTTTTTGATTATCGATTTTCATATCGATCAAAATATGCACAGTTCGTTTCAGGTAGTTGACAATGGTAACCTTTTCTTCCATTCCTCTGTCCACATCGTAAACTTGGATATGTATGATGGCTCGTTTCAACGCTAATACATTTTCTCAGATGCGGTTAAATATTCGGGACACGAAATGAGATTAAATTTTTCACAAATTGTGGATCCACGAAAGACCCCACTTGATGCCGCTACAGCAATTAAAAAGTCCTTATTTTCATACAGTTAAATTCTCTGGAGATTCAGTTCTGTACAAACATTTAATATCTCAAACGTTTTTACGTCTTTATTGTACAGTTTCTGCACAAATGGTTAAGCTTAGTCAATTACTAAAAAATGAATCATGTCCAATATCATTGCATTCAGGGTTTTTTCTATATATAGCTGAGTACCTCACTTTCAGGCGCAATAGGGATATTAACCCGAAGATACAAATTAAGTAAAATATAAATACAAGAGTAAACAAAATGAAAATAACACTGTAAAAACCTCTTGAATCCGAATCGCTAGGGACCAACCTTAACCAAGAACGCCTAAAGCCAAACACTCGATAGCTGGAAGCATAAATACAGTGTCTAGTCGAGGATCACACGACCAAAAGGAACATAATAGCTTACAGACAATAAAAGGAAAAACTGTAAAGTTAATAAACCGATATACAACTTCAGCACATAGAGTCTATAACTCAAGACCATGTTGTATCATTTGTGAAGTAAAACTTAAATATTTGTCCATTAAGTCTTGGTAATTTCCGATTAAACTTCTGAAGAAAAAGGACGAAACGTTTGATAAAACCCTGGCTCATTCATGTTTTGCTCAGACAGTGATGAAGTTTACAAAGTCTGACTCGCAGCTGCAAGCTCTTGAATATCATACGAGTTGAAAAATGTATACTCCATACGCGGGTGAAGTTGGTTTATTGCTTAATTGGTAAGGACAATTCATTATTTCAAAATTAAAATCGTCTCGTTTGTCATAGATTCTAGTACTGAGATGATCGTTAGAGTCAAATTCGAGGTATATGTCATGAACTAAATTTGAAGAAGCTGTATCTGTGGTTTCTTAAAGCAGGAGGATATATTAATGGAAAAAAAATAATTGTTAATGGAAAGAGCATTATCAATATACCTGTATGTGAAATTAAATGACCTATCTTCTTTGATCTGCTTGGTTTTTTTCAAGTGTATGAAGTATCTCCGACTCACATGAAAATAAGAAAAGGTCGGTCTGGAAAGGTGCACAGTTGGTTCCCATAGGATTGCCGACAATCTGCTGTAAAACTCTACCTCCAAAGTCAACAAATATGTTGTCAATTAGAAACTCCAGCATACTGATCACTTGTTCTTCAGAGAAGCATACTTTGTTTTCGGACTTATTTTCAACAAAATATGCCGAACTATACTCCAAAAAAAATAAGTTTGTAGCGTGTGGTACCATTTTTGTGGAGGAAAGCTTTGCAGATCTTTAACACGGGTTTTCCATTTTTCAAGTGGTATGGTGTGTAAAGGGTGGACAGAGCAAAGGTTTTGATAGAATTTTTGTCAGAGAATGACAGAGATATAAAATTTTCCAGAGGTTCTTTTGAGTTCTTTAGAATCAACAAATAGTTTATGCCACTACGCGAGTTACTAATGTCACAGTATTTCTGTAATCGTTCTTACACTGCAAACAAAGAACATCACCGTCAAAAAATAAATATTACCAATAGGGAACGTATCGTTTGTCGTAAATTTTTGTTTTGATTTTTCCGTGTAAAATTTAAATATCTAAATCTAGAAAGGACAATTATTGTGTTAATATTTGATTTATTGAAAGTAAGTTCTTCTTGGTAAACTTCTGCAGTATGATAAAGGAATTCATAATTATGTAAAACAAAAATACAATCAAAGTCAAAATATCAATTAAATGTAATCTAGACGAATCTTTAATGAGTTTTGCCATAACCAGTGATTCATAAAAATACAAAATTTTTCAAAATTAATAATAAAACACAATGAAGGTAAATATATCAATTAAATGAAATTTAAACAAATCTTCACGAGTTTGCCATTAACTGTGATTCATAAAAATACCGAAACAAGTCTGCTTTTAAAGGGGCAGAATTGTTGCAATTGGCCAAAGGCAAACAATACGCTTGCAACTAATAAAACGTGAATATAAATAAATGACTTTGTTTATTAGATATGAACAATAATTGCTTAATCTCCAACAGCTGATAGTTATTTACATACATGAACAATGTTTCTATGCATTTCCAAGGACAACTTTATGTAATTCACATAAAAGACGAGATTTATACGATAACATTCTTGTAATTTTATACATACAAAACGGGAATATCTAAAATTCGACAATGCAAAGAAATCGCAGAGATGCGAGGATAACAGCTATATGTATCTGTGTTGCTTCCTACTTCTTAACTACGACAATTTATTATACAATATGCGAGGCATACTACTAAATGCGCTGCTTTTTATCCCTTGAAAAACCCGGGATCCTTGATGTAGGCCAAAGTGTAAACAAAGCATAGACTAATGAACTCAACCTGGCTCAAGTATTTATACGCACTTTACCGGAAATTAATATTTTAAGCAAAAACGTTACATAACATCAAACGTTGACAAAAATATGGAAGACCTCGACTCAAAATGTTTTTTATAATAAAATATTGTGGCTTAACCAATCTTGGCATATCAATTATTCCAGTTCAGAAATTATAAATGTACACGTTTGGGTATACGCTTAGGATATTGACAAAACTATAACCTTTTTTACAATACAAGTCAATTTTGCGCCATATTTGACGCTAACGATAAATTTTATAACTCAAAGTGAAACGTACGTAATATGCTCATCAAAATAAATTTGAAACTATGAATAACTACAAAATAAATCATTTAAACCATCAAAATACAAAAATGACAATATTTCACCAGTGCACACATTTATATCACTGCCTCTCCCAAAGAATGTAATGCGTCTTCGAAGTATTGGATTGTCAATTTTGACAATATATATCAGACTTTTTACAATATTAACGTATATAAACCTCTTCACGTTTTCATGCAAGTAAAACGCTTCGGAAGCATGAAACTTATATCGTTCTGTTAATTTTTTTTTAAATGTTTAATTTTCCCCTATTAAAAAACACCCCGAACAAATGCATCCATCTAAAAATTAATGCATATATAAATTAACAACTGTCCTTTTAAAGTCAGTATGAACTAATAAAGGCAACAGGAGTACTGTGGATTTATTATTTTTCGTTGGATACCAATTTTTGTTTGATTTCGTGGGTACAGGTGAACCACGAATTTAAATGTTCAACGAATTACAAGTTTTCCATAGACTTGTATGTATACTTTAGCAAAACCACGAAATTGAATATCCACGAAAGTTTTCTTTAATCCACGGAAATTGGTACCCACAAAATAAATGAATCCACAGCATACCGCTGTTCAATAGTCATAAATCGATTAAGCGAATACAAATCCGGGTCACAAACCAAAACCGAGGGAAAAACATCAAGTATAAGAGGAAAACAACGGAACAAAAGAAACACTGAACTGCAACAAAAACAAACGCCAAAATATATAGCAACGGATTTTTGATAACAACTGCCATATTCCTGACTTGGTACAGGACATTTAAAAAAAAATCACACTGACATCACTTAACTAATATAAAGTATTAAACAAAATTCCTGTGGAATTGACAATTCAACAATATTATATACAATAACTTCATCAAATCAGTTCAATACTATAACAATGTACAAAATATTATAATTATGCTCGCTACCTTAAATGTCTCAAAAATCGAATTGCCCTTTTAATTACACAACAGTCTCTTGTTTAACAGCTTTAGGATATTCTCTAGGCAGTCGCGCCTAGGACTTGTTAGTTGTCTTCAGAGTGAATGTATTCATTCAAGTCATCTTCGACAAATTGAAATGTAATCCGTCAACAAAATAGTAATTTGTTTAAACCATTTTTTTTAGCTAAGAAAGTCATCACCATATTATTTGACTTATAATATGTAATATGATGTCAGCAATTTTATCATAAAAGGAAATACAACATAGTCAGCTATTGATTGTTTTCAAAATGTGGTCGCATCGTGATTCAATATACATTTAAATATAATTGTTTCTTGTGTACAATTCATCACAAAAAATATATCAAAATTTCTTTCTGCATCTAGTTTCAGCACTTATATACAATAATATATATAATAAAAATAGAAGTACAACCAATTATAAATAGTAATCAGTAATTCCCTTAAAATATCTTAAATGGTGAAGGCAGCATACCCATGGTGTAACAAAAATATATATTGCAACCAAGTTTAAACCTTAGTCTATATTTATTCTCGTGCCAAATATACATGGCAAACAAAGTATCCCATAGTGCTAATTAACACCACAAAATACAGCTTTACATAAAACAAGTATTTAACAGTTTTACTGCAATATTTCAATAACCCCAATAGGACCAACACATTCCAGCTGTTCATGTAGATATGTTGGTTGATTTTTTTCTTGCTTCTAAGCTTTAATATTTTTTTTTATCTCAGTTAATCCCTGCTTCATATCTTAAATATCGATTTTTTGTTCCTTTCGTAACTTATAATTACTTTTCGTCCTATATACCTCAATGGTTACTGTATTTTACTGGCTTGCACCGCCTTCAATTGTATTTACTTCTCTTACACCATACCTCATCCCTACATTTTGCCGACAGCATTCGTTCAACGAGACTAAATTAATTGCCCCTGTATAATAGCTGGTATCTGTATAACTTCCTCAAGAATTACTGATTGATATGGCAGCCCTTTAATAAAGTAATCTGTTTTGAAACTTACCAGTATAATCAAGTCATTGACCTACCTACTAATCTATCAACATGAGAAGCATATTTTTAAAAACTTTCTCTTTGATCCGTTCATTTTAAATCATTAGTTCAAATAACCATTAAATTTATTTTAAAACATCAAAATGGTTTAAAACTACTTTTAGTTAATACATATTAGTTAAAAAATAAAAAAAAAAAAGAAAAGATGATGTGGTGAAGTTGCTTATTAGACAACTCTCAACCAAAGACCAAATGACGTGGAAATTATAGGTCACAGTACTGCCTTCAATAATAAGCAAAATGCATACTGCATAGCAAGCTACAAACAGCCCCAACATGACAAATTAAAGCTCTGATTCATGTACAAAACAATTACGGAGAAACAAATTTAATATGTAGCAAGAAATAACAACCTCTGAATTACAGGCAATGTGACTGGGTTAAAAAAGAGAACACTTTATAAATTTCAGACATTCGAAGCGCATTTCTAGATTCATCTTCATCAGGAATGCTAAAATCCAAATATAAAAAAACCAATGATGTATAAGAAACGAAACAGTTGACGAGCTATATAAAACATGTTTTCAGGAGCCCAGAAACCCTCCCTTAACAAACATAAGATTCTTACTGCTCTTCATACGCTATCGACGAAGCTACGCCTAATAGATCATCTTATTTTAAATCGAGTATTGGTTCTGACATAGCGGGATCTTGTACAAATATGCAAAACGGTCCCTAACGAGCTGCACTTAATACGAGCTTCGAATGAAATTATCAATGCTCATTTTAGCGAGGTGGGGCAACAGCTGAACTTGGGTAAACTATAAAGATCAGTTGAAAATGGCATAACTGGAAGGTAGTTCAAAACGTATAGCAACTAATAAAAAATGATGTATCTAAGATAAAACATCAATCAGTACACATCCGATAGATTTAATGTGTAAAGACAGTATCAAAACAATCATAGAAAAAGCATGATCTTGTACAATGCATAAATATAATTTTCAATAGAATGCAGGATAGTGAATGTTAACTGCTGTATAGTAATACTATCTAGGTATATGTTGATAATAATATTATTAACATGGTTATTCTATAAAATATTCAAGATGACCTATACAGTGTATTGCAGTTTCATATTTCTTGATAATAAAAACTATTCAGATCTGATGTATTGGTCATTGATTAACTTAAAGGATACTATTAACATCTTCAGTATTTTTATAGCATTTGTTTTCATGGCCACGAATGGTTATTTTGGTTTTATTTACTATATTCTTGTGCTATATAATTGTCTTTATAAATAATTGTCCAAATTTCAAAAATTGATCACAAGGTATATCATATTTCAATATTTCAAAAAGAAATTTGTTTCAATGTCAATGTAAACCACAATGAAATAGGTTTTTTTCCCTTTTATGAACGGTGATCCTTATATTTTGATTTTGTTTTGAAAACTCATATTTGAAGTATGAGAAATTAACATCGTTTATTTTTTACTTAAAAAAATGAAAACAACACGTTATAAGTTTCATACGTCCGAAGAGCTTTTCTAGATTTACCTTCATCAAGGAACGCTCAAAGCCGAATATTTGAAAGCCAATGATGTATAAGGACCGAAATCGTTGAAGAGCTATAAACCAAAAAGGACTTAAAAAAATAGCCCAATCCATCCAAGGCCAACTATGCCTGAGGGAGTTGAAACCTTAGTTTATGTATAATTTCAAAATTTATAAACGGGCAATTTTAAATAGTTTGTTATAAAAATACGACTGGGAGAGGAAATTGTTCAACTAAGAATGAAAGCAAAAATTTTGGCAGATCAGTATTTTTTTTAATATCTTGACGTGTAGGTCAATACTGCTATAAAGTAAAACACTTTTTAATAGAATATTAGATAAAAGATACATCTGATCTCTTTACAAAAGACCGCAACGTACGTAGCACAAAGAAAAGTGATAATAGCACATGGTATGGGATTTAATTCCATGGTTTTATATTTTATCTGATAAAGTAAAAGTCCAAGCAACGTACTCACTACTAAAAGCAATTGTAAGGACCAATTCATGAAGAGGTAATATAATGAAAGTGGTATACAAAGAAAACATGACACGCACAACGTAATATTACATAAGATTTGAAAAAATTTACCATTAAAGTCATTGCAACAAAAAAACAGGAAGCATAAAATTGTAGAAACAGTGAAGAAGGCAATTTCAATGAACAAAATCCTAATATCCCATGCAGACAAAATTGTTCTTTTCGACCGCAATTTAAAATTTGATATCGTATTGTTGTCTTCAGAAACAAAAAAATGTGGGTCAACGGTTGTTCTGTTGAAGCTTATTTTGTTCTCGGAAAAAATAGTTTGTGATATATTAATAAGATGTGTATTGTAAAATCCAAACACTGGCCAAAGTTTCACTTCAGAGGAAAAATTGAGCATATTTGAAATATATAAGTTCTTCTGGTTCGACATAAGAACAAAATATGATTTATGAAGTTCCAGAGTTAGTTGCCCTTGTATATAATCCAACATCTGTTCAAAAACATGGCCTTCCAGTTCTGTCAATGCATTATCTATTACATAAAGACAAATTCCAAGTTCTTTTTCACATCTTTGACCTCTGACAATTATAACTGGATAATTGAATATTAATTCATCAGCTAACGTAGTAAGACCAAACTCAAATAATATTTTACCATTATCAGGTATTTCGGGATACAATAATAAAAATTTTGTTATTATATTGAAATGATCTGAACGGCCAAATGATAAGCTTCTATTGGCAGAAACCCATCCATAAATGTTGTATGCACTTGAGACCGAGCTACAACTAACTTGCAATGGTTTTTTTCTACCTTCTTGTTGATTCCGTTTATTATCATTGTCTGCACATGTTATTGAATCTGCAAAAGAAATAAGGCCCACAAAATTTGCCAACAATTTAAAATCTTAATAAAATCAAGGACGCATCAGAGCAAACGTTATCGTTTAAATTTGTATTTACACATAATGGTGTTTGCTGAAAGCTTAAAACTTGACACTTATTCATTCTAAAGGTGGAATAATTAATTCAGAATTTTCCTCAGATTTTATGACCAATAAAATGTATGTAAGTTGTAGAAATATAGATGGAAGTCTATAATTTTATACCAAAATGTAATTTCAGGTAACTATTCGAGTTTTGACAACCAGGTTTTGTTAGAGTACAGGGTATGCTAATTTCCCATTGTTTGAAAATCTGCAGACCTCCGAGTGACTCATTTTTATTTGTGCGATAAGAACAAACACACTTCAAGACGTTATGCATTTTTAGCTGATTTAAAGAATGCAATAGCAACACCAAATTGTTTGTCCAAATGTCTATATAACTGCATACGACGAAAGGAGATTCCATTTAAAAGGTCGGTCATTGATTTAAAAGTTGCGAAATACATTTACTCAATAACGAAATATTAGACTAGGATTTTATATGAAATATGTTTAGATACTGATGTAAATTCCGAAACCATAAGAGCACTTTTGAGGCTGACAAGTGTGCCGAGTAATAAGTCATGTTCTGTTGTAACCAGACATATATGATTGTCAGGTTCTGTTGTCTCCAGGAAGATACTTTGGTAACCGAAGGTGTCTTTTATCGGTGAAAAATTGAAACCATATATACATCGGTTTTGCATTAAATCCAAATTTCATGGTTGATAGACTTCTTTTACAAATAGTATTTCATCTGTTCTTGAATTGGAAATAAAGTTGGTAATTTTGATATTCATATATAAATAAAAGTAAACTAAACTTTTCTAGATTTCGTTTTTTGTAGTTCGGCTTTCAGTCTCCTGTTTTCTTCTTGAATAACATAGTAAAGATAACTAGTGTTAATTCTTTCACATGTTTGTGGTCTTTCTGTTGTTGAACTATAACTATTTGTTTTCGTTGATAAACTTTTCAACTGATTTGATATTCTTGAAATATCTTTTGTTAATTGAAAACTAATTTTTTGGTCGTCTAAAACAAAATAAACGACAATTTAAAGTTTCTCTGTCAGCAATTCAAATAAATAAGAAGCAAGAAGTAAGATGATAAAGACGAAGGAACGGTGTGTCGTGACGGATATAGTTGACCTTAACTTATCAATAAAAAGTGTTGATACTGCGTAATCTAATCTAGAAAGGTATTGAATTTGGATTATTTTTCTGTTTATTGAAAGAGAAACATAATTTTTGGAGGTGTCTACTATTTTGACTCAACCTTTGGATTAAATGAAACACTTTAAGGTTGTGTTTTTTTGTTTATTTCAAGGTTACATTTATGAATAAAAAGCTATTTCTTCGAAGAGGAGACATGCATTTTCTATGTGTTAGGACTGTTTTGAATGGCATATTTACAAAAGGATACCTTCTAAAATATGATACTAGTTAGTTATGTAAACAGGAAATTACGAAAAACCCAATTTTATATCCATGGATACCCGACTGAATCCAAGACAACAAAGTTGCTAGGTATTTAATTAACAGAAAGATAATTGCCGAAATCATCAGGGCACATTTGTGGCTTACAATAGTGCTGAGTGTTAGGTCATGTTCTGCTGTAAACATATGGTTATCAAGTGATAAACACTCTTCTACAAATAATATTTTCTTCTATTACTTGTTCTTGAATTGGAATTCTGTAATTCCGTAATTTTAAAATTCATTATTAATGTTCATATGCAAACAACAAAAAAGCAAACATCTATTACCTTTTCAAGATTTAGTTTTTTGAAGTTTGGCTTTCAGTCTCCTGTTTTCTTCTTGAAAAGCATAGTAAAGATAACTATTGTTGATTTTCTCACATTGTTGTGGTCCATCTATTGTTGAACTATAACTATATATTTTCGTTGATATACTTTCTAAGTGATTCGATATTCTTGAAATATCTTTTTTTAATTGAAAACTATGCGTGTTATCATCTAAAACAAGATGAAGGATAATTAAAGTGTCTTTGTTGGCAATTACCATAAATAAGAACTGATGCTTAAGCTGATTTAGACGAAGAAACCGCGAGCCATGACTGGCATATTTGACCTTAACTTATCAATAAAAAGAATAATGCTACTTTATTTAACCTACAAAGGTAAATTATTTGCATTAATGTTTTATTTAAATGAAGACGAGTATAATATGTTTTTATTGTGGTATATAAGAATTGTTGCAAAAACAGAACACAACATGATGTAAATGTGCTAATAGTCTTTGCTCCTGGAGTTTTGTTTCACTAATTTACACTTTGAAAAAACTTAAGGATTTGTCCCCTTTCTCTGCACTGCCATTGCATGCTTCTGACACTGTCTATTTATATCATGAAGTCCTTGTCTTTTATGCCGTTGTCATATGACATATACAGCCGCTAAAATAACATCGTATGACGGCATGATTTTATATAGACAAGTTTGGATTTTAATCTAAATTATAAAGTACATTCGTTGATTTGAGTAGTCTTATCTTGTGGTTTCGGTACCTTTTATAGGTACTGTGCAGTTTAGTACATGTACGTATTTATATTGTAGGTCAATTTATTGCCTATTTTTGTAACTCAACTGATTAAGAGGGGTAGATGATTCAGTCTTTAAATGATTAAGCACCTCCACATGTTTAATACATAACAGTAAACCTGTCATTAAAGATACTATAGAAACTAGAAGGTCTGTCTCACTCTTGATATTGCACAGATTGACGAATTTAAATGAGGATCTAGTATAAACGTATACAAATAAGAAAATGTGGTTATATTTGATAATGCCACGACAATAAGTATCTTATCTTATTCAAGAAAAAAAGATTCTCGGCCAGCCTGAGAATGAGAACAGTGAATATTGGTAGACTAATTGCAATGTTACTAATTTATTTGAATAACGTTAACGTATCCCGTAATTGTCCTAGACTATTTAAAAAATGGTCGAGTTAATGCTAGGTATAGGATTGTTTTTAATTATTTCCTAGTTTTAACTAACATTTTTCAGTTCCAATTTGATATTTCTCAGTTCTAACTTGACATTTCTCAATTCCAATTTGACATTCAGTCACTCTCAACTTGACATTCAGTCAGTTCAACTTGACATTTCTCATTCATAACAGTCTTAACTTTGTCTGTAAAAGTCTTGATACTTTTAAACTGTCTAAATATTTTCTGCAGTAAAAACATGTACGATTTTCTCTGTCGGGGAATTTCAGGAGTTCATTATATGTACAAGCGAAACCTAAAGAGCATGGTCTCAACCAAATATAGAAAATTCTTTTGACTATTGTTGTCTTTTAAATTCAAAAATTGAATACTAATTATCATGTCGTATTATTTCTATTTATAATGATCAAACAATTCAAATATAAAATTGAAAACTGAAAAAATTAATAAGATAAGAACAACAGTTCTTTAATATCAATTTCAAATATATTGATGATGTTCTGTCATTCAATAACTCACATTTCAATTAGTGCTCACATCGTATGTATCCTTGTGAACATAGGATTAAGGATACAACCGAATGTAGACGGTCTGCTTCATATCTTGATATTTTCCTCTATATTTACACAGATGAACGACTTGAAACTAAAATCCATGGCACACGTGATGATTTCAGCTTTCCAATTGACAACTTCCCATTTCTGAGTATTAACATATCCTCTGCCTCATCGTATGGCGTGTACATATCTCATTTAATACATTACGCTCGTGAATGTTTACATTAAACGGACTTCATGAAAAGAGGAATGCTTCTTACATAAAAACTGCTGCAACAGAGTAATTAGGAAGAACGACTGAAATCGAGAATACTTAAGTTTCCGGTTACCATCACGAATTGGTTGACTGATATGATATGTCGGTGTCTCAATTCTCTAGCGACATACTTTCGAGGGATCTTAGATCTTTAGATACCAGTATATTTGTCTAATCTATAATTTAACCGATATGTTATGAAAAGATTCAAAATATAAAAAATATGTTGTGACAAATTTAGAATGTTTAAAATTTGTTAAGAGGAATTGAGAATGTTAAGAATATGTTTAGACAAATTCAATCATTATTGTCACTTTTGAGAATTTTAAGAACGTACTATACTTTTCAGAATTTAAAGACAAAATTCATACAAATGTGGAAAATTCAGAATCTGGGGATTTTGTAATGAATCGTTGTCGTACTAATCGTACCCCATCCGTAATTCAAAGCATTGGAAAACATGGAAACGGTGTTTGACAGGTCCAAAAGCATTGAAACGTTTCAACTTATCACTGTTTAGCTAATTACCAAATATTAAGTCATTCCGTTTTGTAGTTTTTGAGAAAAGTGTGACGAAAATATTTGTTTTCATTTCACAAGTTATCACAAATAATCGGCCATCAACATTCTTAAATTTGTCTTAAAATCATCAAATATCCATGCAATTAAAAAATCCATAGTTTTTTTTCTTCAAAGCTATAAATTGTTGGTACATACATTTCCATTTTAAAGATTTCCAATAATAATAGCGTCACCGCATTCATATTTATGTTACACATCATTCAAGATGGTGTTCTAGATAAATAAAAAAGAGTTCACAATGCGTCGAAATAAGCGGAACGTTTTCGCCTTGTAGGCCATGAATCGTCGATGTTTTACGTGTTTCACTACCAACGAGGTAATAGATTGGTTAATACACAGAGAAACAACGTCGGTGACCATATGATAATTTGCAATCACTTAAACGGAAATTTATGTATCAACAACATATATATTTATAGACAAACCCAAGGATTTGTAGTTGGAGCTTTGTTGAGTTAAAGACAAATTTAAAAACGAGTTTCGCCGATTTTATGTACTTTCTATACAAATGTTCGGCTATTTTGAAAGAATTCAATCAGTAATAGTTCGTAAAATAAAAGTGATACATGTTTTTTGTTTCAATTATCAGATATAATTCAACGAGCCAATGTTGAATATAAAATGTGACATAGCCCATCTACTGCAACTAGACCTAATGTCGACAAGCCACTTTTATAATAACAGTAATAATAATATTATTAACGAAATCAATTTTACTGCATCATATGCGCATCTCGACAATTTATGTCTCTGTACTGATAATCGAGCTCAACATATTAAAAAAAACCAAAACCTATTACAAACGTTAACGAGCTGATGAAAGATAAAAGACCAAACGTAACGCCAACTGCGGGCACGGAATCAGAGCTATACCTTCTTAAATCTGATTTCATTGTGAAGATGATGACAAAGTCACTCTGTTCAGCAGGACTGGAGAAATATGTGGCGAATAATAATATTTGTTTTTATTCAACGCGTTAAAAATTTATAAAATCGCCAAATACGAAGTATGTACTCAAGATAAATAAAATAAACGCTCACACGTAACAACTTATCGTTGTCAAATTTGACCTCATGCTGTTAAGTAGTACCAAAGAAATGTGTGACAAAAAATTTAAGTTCTTTTGACATGTTAAAATATTTGAAGTATCGGCAAACATGAAGAAGGAGTCTGACAGATTTTTAAAGTGTTTACACGTTACACTGTGCCGATGCTTACCAAATACGAAGTCGTTCTGTTAAATGGTTTTTGTGAAAACAGTGACGAATATTATTGTTCTGCAAACAGATGACGGATGGGAAAATTTATTGCAATATAGCCAAAATGTTTGGAGTGGGGGCATTATATAAATAACACAACCATAGATTTGTAACATTGATTTAAATGTCGAATGATTAGCAACTATATCGTCGTGATTTTGTAATTCTTTAAACAAACATTGATTTTGAAAATATGATAAGTGTAGGTAGGTTTACTAAGACGGCTGACATTTGCATTATACATTTTTAATACAAAGTATTTCGGTAAATGGTTCGAAAATGTGTTTTTTTGTTCATAAGGTCACGAACATTCCCACAAATTGATAAACATGTAGCATTTTATTCAACGGCTTCAATGTCTCCATTTTGGTCTGATATTGCTGCGTAGAGAACGAAAATAGGAATACGACTTACCAGTTGAGATAGCGACAAGCGTTGTTACAGACAAAACTACCGTTAACACAATGCCAATAACAGATACCATAGTGCCAATACATATGTAATTTAATTTATTAGGCAGAACTGAGTGTATGTCAGACGTATGTTTTGGAGATTTTACAACATTCACTGCATCGTCCGATCCTTTATTCAAATCTTCGTCACTGCAATCTCTATTGTCATTACCATCGCTGTTACAAGTCTGATTCTCCATTGTTCTAAAATTTAATAGATGGCATTTTGAAAATCAACCATATATTTCATATTCTCTCTTAAAAAAAATTAAAACATACGCAACAGATTTTTTTTTGTTAGTATTCAATTGATTATAACTAAACAATCCGAATCGTTAAAGTATGATGTATCGATAGCAAATCGAAGTAACACGTATATGGAAAAAAAGAGTCCCGACAGTTTTAATACAGTTATTTTCCATCAATATTCGATATCGTATGAGGTCGTTTGATAATACACTGAACAATATTGATGTGAATCATAAATCAATCAGATTTAAAGTCAGGGAACAGTTAACGGAAAATGTTACAGATTTTGGTAAAATATTTACGAAATAGATACATACTTAGAAAGCACAAATAATCGGCCATCAACATTCTTAAATTTGTCTTAAAATCATCAAATATCATATTAAAAATCCATATTTTTTTTCTTAAAAGCTATAAATTGTTGGTACATACATTTCCATTTTAAAGATTTACAATAATAATAGCGTCACCGCATTCATATTTATGTTATACATCATTCAAGGTGGTGTTCTAGATATAAAAAAAAAAGAGTTCACAATGCGTCGAAATAAGCGGAACGTTTTCGCCTTGTAGGACATGAATCGTCGATGTTTTACGTGTTTCACTACCAACGAGGTAATAGATTGGTTAATACACAGAGAAACAACGTCGATGACCATATGATTATTTGAAAACACTTAAACGGAAATTTATGTATCAACAACATATATATTTATAGACATTTGTAATTGGAGCTTTGTTGAGTTAAAGACAAATTTAAAAACGAGTTTCGCCGATTTTATGTACTTTCTATACAAATGTTAGGCTATTTTGAAAGAATTCAATCAGTAATAGTTCGAAAAATAAAAGTGATACATGATTTTTGTTTCAATTATCAGTTATATTTCAACGAGCCAATGTTGAATATAAAATGTGACATAGCCCATCTACTGCAACTAAACCTAATGTCGACAAGCCTCTTTTATAATAACATGAATAATAATATTACTACGCTCACACGTAACAACTTATCGTTGTCAAGCTGGTGATCAAATTTGACCTCATGCTGTTAAGTAGTACAAAAGAAATGTGTGACAAAAAAATTTAAGAAAAGAATTCAATCAGTAATAGTTCGTAAAATAAAAGTAATACATGTTTTTTGTTTCACTTATCAGTTATAAATCAACGAGCCAATGTTAAATATAAAATGTGACATCTATTGCAACTAGACCTAATGTCGACAAGCCACTTTTATAATAAAATGAATAATAATATTACTAACGAAATCAATTTTACTGCATAATATGCGCATCTCGACAATTTATGTCTCTGTACTGATAATCGAGCTCAACATATTAAAAAAAAACCAAAACCTATTACAAACGTTAACGAGCTGATGAAAGAAAAAAGACCAAACGTAACGCCAACCGCGGGCACGGAATCAGAGCTATACCTTCTAAAATCTGATATCATTTCCAATTTTTTTTACAGCATTTCAATAACTTTATACCCTTATTTTGATGCCAGTTCCGAAGTACTAGCTTCTTTGCTAGTAATACCCGAGGGAGTAACATTCAACAAGCCAAGGTATCGACTTGGAGTATACATTAAATCTATATTATCAATTATAATGCACCAGACGCGAATGTAGACAACACATGTCTCATAAGTGATACTCGTGGCCAAACGTTGAAGAGCTGATGATACCAAAATGAGTCAGGAGATAAAAATACGTTACTTAAGCTGGGGTTTCTTTCTACTATTTGGAATTTGAAATAGCAGATAACAATCGGTCTAAATGAAATGTGCAAATTTCGAGAGTAGTATGTAATTCATGTGTAAGACTTGTCATGTTAATATAGAAAATTATATGTTTTATCATATTTACGACTGTATTTTACAAAAAAACAGAATGTTTTTGTTTGATTCATTTTTTTTTCAACTTTGCCAAATAAGGGGAGATAACTCAGATATAAGGGAAGATAACTCAGATATAAGGGAAGATAACTCAGATATAAGGGAAGATAACTCAGATAAAGTAACTTTTATAATAGAATGTGTTGCGAATTCACCTATTTTATTATGTACCAAGAAACGAGTCCGGTGACCCCATTTTTTCTTGTTCTTATCTGAAAGCACATTATTAGAGCTATATTTTCATATTTTATCTTAACTTTCTATGGTGTAGTTTTCTTTTTATCACACAAAATTGGATTTTCCATGCATTATCTATACAAAATCTGACAATTTTGCACAACCTGTAGCGTGAAAGAAAGCCCGGTGATCCATACGTTTTATTATTTTTTTGAAAAAAGCATGATATAAACTACATTTTGATAAATTATTAAAAAATACTATGGACTTTAATGTAGACCCCCCCCCCCCCCAATCTACCTTAATCTAAAATGATTTTCAAAATTTATAATAGATTCTGTTTGAAGACAATGATAAAAACTCATCGTAGGTACCATGCTTATAATTTGCTACGTCTTACGCGCGTTTATTCTACATAAGATTTATCATTTGCTCTCGAATCAAAGCATTTGGAGGGCCAAACCAAATACGTAGTAAAAGAAAATTAAAAGCCAACCATTCTGATACGGTTAAGGCTATCTATGCAATGGGTTCGAAAAACCCTGCATGTATATAAAGAGATCAAATATCGTTGCCTGGCATGACTGAAGGAGTTATTGTTTATGTTGTCAATGATCTTATTAATAATTGATTAGAACCAAAAAGTAAAACCTCATCAAAAATGCATGCATATAAGGTAATCTATTGAATTTGTGTGTTTTCTTAATTATCATTCATCATGTTTGACAAGAGAGACGGAAGATATCAAAAATGATATTCAATCATATGAGTCAAAGACAAACTGACAATGCCATTTAAAAAAATACGATTAAAAGATAAACAAAAGTCTGTACATTAAAACATAGAAAATTAAAGGCTGAGTAACACAATATCAGGTACTCCGGTAGGTCAAGCAGATCCTGCCCCCATCGTGTTACTGTTAGTGCTAATTCGGTTACACTTTTCATTCAGTAATTTTAAATAAAAGTAGAGGGGAGTGTAAAACAACGATTTGCATATATGTGGTCTTCTGTATCATAGATATTTCATAAAGTTGAACCAGCTCGTGATTGTTTCAGTAAAACTTTCGAAGGGACTGCCTGCATTTTACCACGGATTCCTTTGTTAAATATATGACTTACGCGTAAGCATCCACACAAAATAAATATATTCATTACAGGGAACGCAGGCTGCTCTTAAATATTGTATCACATAAAACACCACCAAAAGCATATATTGTCTAATAATATCAAATTGCAAAATAAATGTAATATAAGCATCTTTTAAGCGGCCTAATTTACATGAGATGTATTTCTTTAGTTGATTCATTGATTGTTGTTGCTTAGCGTCCATGGCACATATTTCATGAATTTTCAGAACGAGAATAGATTGAAAATCAATACAAAAGGTAGATCCTGCAATATTGGATCGACCGGTACAATTTAGAATGCCACTGAAAATGAAGCTATCTTGGATAGGGACAAACAATTAGTGATGAAACAGGTCACCAACGAACCCATTAAAAAGTTGTTGACATTGTTCATAATGTGCAGAGAGCTTGACATTCATTATCATACATTTACTTTTTATACGTTATTTGGAACAAACAATATAAACTGTGTTCTATGATGTATTGTTGAAAATTTCTGTGTGATGAATAGAAACTCTTAGAACTTGCGTTTTAGATTAGTTTAATTTTTTTTACGCTGTGTTTACATCAAAATGTAAATCAAGTTCATTTTTGAAAATATTGTATATATGTGCGAATTTGTTCATTGTTTAGATATGTAAAATGCGCGGATTATTTGAAGATTGAAAATCTTATCAAAGGAATGTTGAGATTTATGTCAGTATGATCTTGCTCCCCAATCTTGTGTCCATAGATTATGTCTTTTATGGATATTTTAAAATAATTATTTATGATTTTCTAATATACCATTCCATAGGTCACCATACGGCCTTCAACAATGAGAAAGCCCATACCGCATAGTCCGCTATAAAAAACCCGAAATGACAAATGTCAAAGAAACTCTATTCATAAGATGATGACTTTATGAATCGGATATGTAGAGGACCACTGTAAAACACGGATTTTACAGACGACAGATCGATACCTCAAATCATAACTGTATTTCTAAATGAAAAGCAATATTAGAAATCATGACTTTAACTCAAGTTAATCTCATTAACATTGAAGACATTTCAAGCAAGCGGACATTACGGATATTGTTATGTAAAAAACACTGTTACAAATATGTAAATGACACCTGTCAATCAGTTATAAAAGTATTACCTCATTGAATCTGCTATACAGATTAATAAGATCAAAAGATCGATTAATTAGCATTAATCCTGACAGAATTTAATTCACTCTTAATAAGGTCTTCTTTTCTGTTATTGTGTATGTGTTTTTACAAGCAAACATGACATAACTTTTAATCTCTTTTAACATTGATGAACCGGAAAACATCACTTGATGTACTATACATGTAAAGCTGTTCACTTTCTATATCCTTTATGAAAATATTTATATAGGCCACAGGGAAATCGCGAATTCAAAACAGCGCGAATTTAGATTGTGTTCATATACTTCTGATTTCTTTTCTACATATTGTGGTTATATCCAAGGAGACCAGCATCGAACTACTCCGACACATTAATGCCGCTTTTTTCCCCTTATTTAACGGATATGTTATTGCCATAGATACAAAAAAATAAAAATTCTTCAACATATGAAACAGTAAAAGAATAATATGACATCAATTGCAATGAAATGAAAGAAGGACAAATTCTTAGAAATTATTCGATAAAACTTTCTTTTCTCGAGTTAAGGAAGAAATATTAAAGAAGGTTAAAAGTCATCGAAAATATATTACTTACACACTTGTACGATGTTGTCAGTCTTTTGACATTTACGAATTACAGTAATGAAATTGTTTGTGATTTTGAATAGACCACATTGGTGGAGTTAAAAACCTTAATATCTTTCAAAATTGTGTAGATTACCCGTTGTTAATACCTGCACATAAGTCCAACCTGGTGTTTACACGGATAAACCGTTTACTTCCTTTTCACACTATTAATCTACGATACGCAAGTATAACATTGTTACAAATGCATAAGTGTTGATATCTCCTTTTAATCTGTATTGTTTGATTGGCAAGATACAGAAACTAAATAGGCAACAAATTATTTATACGAATATTTCTGTCAACTCTTACATTAGGACTATTTTAACGATCCAGAGGAATTATGAAAGTGCCTGCAATGTGAAAGATGCATTGATGATATGTGAAAAATAACATTCATTAGCAGCATCTTTAACCCAAGAGTATAAATGTGAATGTTTAAAGAGTATAAAATTAAGAAAAATAAAGAGACAATGTCGAGGAAAATATGAACTCATCCTCTCAATATATATTGTGTGATGGAGTTAAGCATTTTACATTTCTATATTAAAGATGCTTGATGTTTGTTTTTTAAAAACTAAAACATTACTAGATGTATATTTACAGGTTTTGAACATTCATGATCATACATCCTGCCCATACAGTTTACTTAAGCTTTGACATTACACATGGTCATGCGGTTCTCATACTGATAATGGCATCTTTACACTAAATCAGTACCACCTCCAAATTTCCATACATTAAATAACACTAAATGTACCCATAAAATGCATGGTTAGAAAAATATGCAAAAGACAAAAAAGTCATATTTCGACTTGACAAATTTAGCATGAGTTTCCAATCTACATTTTCTACCTAATCATTGTTGCCATGTACAAACCAATTAGTATGATGTTGTTTTTATTTTGAGTTCTTACTACCTTTGGCAAACATTTTAATGATGCCTGTCTTTGAAATTTTTTTTGTGTGTGCTAGGTTTCATATAATTGGTTACGAGAACAATAGTTAGTGACAGAACTAATGAAAATCAAAATGCATTTAACACTTCGAATCTTTTTGGTCAAATGACTTGTTCTCTAGTACGAGAAGTCTGATCAAAATAATCAATAGACTAGTTCATATTACACCCTTCCCCTCGATTCATCTTGATCAGAGTTCTATTTCTGTAGTTCAGAATTACTAGGTGAATAGTACAGGGTATACTTAACCCTTCCAGTCATCGCGATCATTTGGAAAGTTCACGAAATACCCAACCCTTCCAATCATCCTGACGTTTGGACTAAACCCATCCAGTCATTTTGATTAGTATGAAAATATACTAAACCCTTTTAACCACCTTCATCAGTGAAAAATAAAATAACAAAATTATCGATCTCCCAGGAAAAAAACTCAAACACATCAAACGAATGGAAAACAACTGTCATATTCCTAAAACCTGGTACAGGCATTTTCTTATGTAGAAAATGATAGATTAAACCTGGTTTTATAGCTAGCTAAACCTCTCAATTGTATGATAGTCGCATAAAATTCCATTATAATGACAACAATGTGTGAGTAAAACAAACAGACATAATAGGTAGAAATGTCAACAATTGGGGTACAGCAGTCAACATTGTGTTATAATCTTAATCACTATAAAAACAAATAACTATTTCAACAAAGAAAAACAAAATGGTATATAGACACTCTATAGACAAAGTGTATATTAAGTAAAAATGAAAGACAAGAAAACAAAAATGACCATAGCACAATAACACAATGTCGGGATGAATAAATACCGAGCCACGTCAAAAGTATATTACCAAAAAAGGACTGAACAGTAAAGGTTAAAAATATAGTTCAGGATGTACTCAACCATTCGTTTCATGTTGATTATGATCAGTGGACTGGTCAGGATGTTATTTACCCTTACAATAAATTTGACGAGTGTACAAGATAATGGTACATTCAACCCTTCTAGTCATCCTAATCAATTCAGTATGTACTCTTCTTTTCCTTCTAAACATCTCAATTATTTATTATTTTATGATAAATTCAGCCTTCCAAATCACTTTGATTAGTGGACTTATTCAGGCTGTTTTCAACCTTTACAATCACTTTGATGAATTTACAAATTCGGGATGTATGCAACCGAATTATTCATATTGCTAAGTAAACAAGTTAATGGTGGATGTACTCAACCCTTTCATTTATCTTGCTCGTTGTACTAGTTCACATGTTCCGGATATACTCAAATTATCAAATCCTCTTCATCAGTTCACTAGTTGAGGATGAACTAAACCCTTAATGTCATTTTAATTTTAATAAGGAGACTGTTGTAGGAAAAGCTTAATCTTTTTAACAATCTTCATATGTGGACATGTTCAGGACGTACTCAACTCTTCCATATATATTTGGTTTTGTATAATACATTAGATTGTTATCTATACAAAATTCTTGAGGTTATAAAATTGCTGTTTATTGGGGAAAAGATAATATATTCATCGGCAGAGAAATACTTATGATATTTTTATAGTAACAAAGAATACCGAGGAAGTCTGTTATACAAGAATGGCGTGTGTTTTCGCATATATTTATAATTTCAATTGTATCCATTGCATAAGATTTGCCTTAATATACTACAGACTTACAAAACACACTAATAATTAGTCAGTCATAGACAGACAATATCATATATCTATAGAAATAAAATAAAAAAGCGATTAAAATGCATGAAAAGTGTAAACAATGAGTTGATAAACTTGTCTTTTCTTTTACATAGTCTTCTGATAGCAATACAAACAGTACGTAATTATATTAGAAAAACAGTTCCTATACTAGACGAATAATGGAAGAAAAAAAATGAGAAAGGTTAATATGATCTACTCAAACACATTTTAAAACGTTTTACAAAAATCTACTATATACATAAAAAGGGGCATAGTGACAAAGAATGCTTTTTCAAAGTACATATAAACGATTTCGAAACTTAATTGATGTACCTTTTCGAATTGTAAATGCCAATTTGATATTGTATTGTTATCATCTGAAATAAACAGATGTGGATCCAAACTGGTTCTGTTGAAACAGATGCTGTCTTTTGAATGAATTGTAAATGACATATTTATTAAATGTGAATTGTATATTCCAAACACTGGCCACACTTGCAAACCACGTGACATATTAAGTTTACTTCCGACGTATATATGCTGATTTTCTGACATGAGCATGAACCGTGAACTTTGAAGTCCCATGGTGATATGTCCTTGAATCCATTCTGGTGTTTGTTTGAAAACACTGACATCAATCTTTGACGATATTTCATCTGAGACCACTAGACAAATTCCAAATGGATGTTTACATCTAAAAGCCTTCACAGTTAACATTTGATAATCATAAACGTCTTTTACTACATATTCTACAGAGGATGAAAGTCCAAATTCAAACAATAGCGTGCCATTGTCAGATATATTTGGATGGACTAGATTTAGTTTGAAAATAACATCAATGTAATCTGTACCAGTGAAGCATCGGTTCCCATAGGCCAATCTATAATGACTTGACGAAAGATAAGCAAGTTCATTTATATTCCTCCGCTGTTGTAGCGTGTGTACATCTTTAACAGTTTTGATTGTGTCTTTAGTATCTACAATAAAGAAAGAGAACGGAATCAAAGGTCAAATATATATAGACAATGCATTGGCGACACAAAAGACGAAAGACATTAACAGTGCCCAAACCCACACAAAGGTAAACGTTTTTAAAATATCAAGCATCTGCGACATTTCCTGTTCCACCATTTACATAACTTAAAATATGCTATTTGAGTAGTTGTCATTTTCGGGCAGTGTTTTATATGTTTATTGTAAGACAAAAATATTTCAAACGTCTTTTTCAAGTATTTAAATAATCATTGATTTGTTAAATGTTTCAGTTTTTGATATATTTCCAAACTTTTGATATGTTTAAAGACAACAATTGCCTTTAATATTATAGTTATCAAGTGTTTACAAATTTCAAAACTTGATTGAACTGAACAAAATTTACTAAACAGAAAACAAACCAACAAAACAGTATTTGACTTGCAATATTATCATAATTATCAAACATATTATAAATATAGTTATCACAATGACGTTTGGTTGAGAACAAAACTTTACGACAACTAAAAAGATGATTTCAGCCTCCTAATTTTAAACTTTCCATCTCTATGTAGAAACACACCAGCAACGCCTGCATATGTAGTATATATCTCCCAGTGTATACGATATTCTAGAGCTTGTATGTACTAACGTGATTTCCTTCATAGATGGTCGCTGATAACAAGGAAGCTATCAAACTAAGGATTCTGAGTTGTGAAGTTTAAGTGATATGTTCGAATATTTTATGGACGTCATGACTGTTGGTTGACCATTATGGATTATCTGTTTCACAGATGACGACAGATATGTTCCATTTATCCTATCGACATGTGGAGCAGGATCTGCTTACCCTTCTGGAGCATCTGAAATAACCCTTTGTTTATGGTGGGGTTCGTGTTTTGGTCATGTTTCGATTTTTGCCACGGCGTTGTCCATGTGTCAGCAAAACATGAGTTTGAATATCCCTTCGGAATCTCCCGCCTCTCTTGTATCTCTGATAGTAGTTTACCTTTTGTGGAATTTAGTAGTTGAAAGTCTTCCTTTAGTCTTTTAAATTCACCATGTAGTTGATCACACATACACTTTGTTGTTTTCCTTTGTTGCTTAATACTCTTACCATATGAATAGACTGAAACATGCTCATTCATCAATAACACGCTAATGTTTTCCAATTGTCTTGAAAGTCTAGAAATTTCTCCATGAAACGGAATAGAGCAACGTAAAATTTCTAAAAAACAACAACAACAAATGTAGTACTATCTTAAAAATGAGATAACCAGTATGACGATTATAATTTCAAAAAGCACTTTAAGATATATAGCAATTACTTGCGCTTCAAACGGTGTCAGGAGCCGTCTAAAACGTGGATTACTTTTGCTACGTGTTGAAAACCTTATCTAAGGCTGCTGTATCATTAAAAATGCTGTTCATGTGCTTTTGGTTTGTTAAATGTGTGTATGATTTTGTATCATGAATCCATTATTCCTTCTTTCTCACTTCTCATAATTAAGCCAACAATTCAACATTTTGAATACATTGA